TGTTGCCTTAACTATTGTTGCCTTAACTATTGTTGCCTTAACTATTGTTGCCTTAACTATTGTTGCCTTAACTATTGTTGCCTTAACTATTGGTAAGGCTATAGTGGTATCCTTGGAATGAGCTTACTCTAGTTACTATAACTTCCTCCCTAGTAGTGGATCCATGGGCTCTTACTTGTATGCGGAAGCTAGTGGACCTCTTGTTTATATATCAGGTATTCCCTATCTTAAGTATGTGGCATTCTGGGACTTCTGTAAATAGAATGAATACCTTGTAACAACTTTGGTATTTTAAGCCTCTGCGTGATATACTTAACGAGTTAATAATATATGGTGTCGAAGACTAAATATAGACGCATAGAATATGGAATAAGTTGTAGAGTCGAAGAGTCAATATGTACACACATATATATATATAGAGTAAGTAATAAGTTAGAGAGCCGAAGAGTCAATATGCATACACAGCCTGTAAAAATATGTCTATGTATACTCGTCGCCCTCCAGCCCGTACTCCTCATCCATATCAGGATCATCTTCATCAAACCCGCCCTCGTACTCCCTGCCGCCTCCAAACTCTTCACCATCGTAGTCAGCCGTCTCGTCATACTCTGGATACTCCTCGTCTTCCGCTTCAGGCTCCTCGTTCTCGGCCTGACCAGCCACCGGCTCGAGTGGTTCGCCGAGCACACTGCCCGCCACGCTGGTCTTGCGACTCGTCGCCTCAGAGCCAAGCCCACCGCCAGGTCCTGAATCAAACATGCTCCGGATGGCATCATAGTTAATCCTCTTGCTCCAAGCTCTGTCCTTGGCGACGCCAATTGCAGCCTCTGCGGCAGAGCTGGCTGGACTGGTTTGACCTTCGCCCATGCGTTTCTGCTTTTTGCGTTTTCGTGTTTGCTTGGGCTTGTCTGCTTCGACCTTTCTCCGAAACACCTTCTCCTGGTGCTGCCGCAGCCATTCCTTGTTCTGGTTGACCCAGATGGTCTCCTTGATGCGTGCTTCGTCGGGAGACAAGAGACAGTTCATGACCTCGGGGTCATTGGCGAACTCGTCCTCCTGTACTTCGGCGGACATGCTGACCTCCTTTAGGGGACGCTGTTGCAGAGCCCAATGAGAATGCATGCGTGCCCGCTGCTCGGCAGGGTTGTACACTAGGGCATGTTGTTGTGTTAATGGGTCGTTGAAGATCTCTTCAATCTGATCCTCCAGCTCCTGCTCGTCCTCTTCCCACTCCTCGTTGATCGGCAGCTGAGACTTCTTCTTACGCCCATCTGCCTGCTCCTGCTCCTCCATTTCGTCCCCAAACTCCTGAACCAGATTCTCAATCTCCTTCTCGGCCGCCGCATCTTTCTGTTCGTCTCGTGGTATCTCGGACGGCTTGAAGGGCACAACAAAGCCGTCAGCGTCGCGACGGTACTCAACCGCGGGCGCTTTCGACATGTCTGCACCTCCAGCAACGCTCTCTCTTCGTCGAAAGGGGGCTCCCTCCCCAGCGGGTCGCTTTCTTTTCAGTCCTTTATCCTCCAGCAACCGCTGATGCTCCTCAGTTCTGCGGTAGAAACTGGGAGGGTCATGTGCGCTTTCCAGGAAATCTTGCTTCAAAAAGTCCTCCACTGTCATTTCACTCGACTCGGTGACCTTGAATTCGGAAAGGCGATTCTGAATCGTATGATTCGTCACTTTGACAATGTAGACCACCTCGCGCACAGTCCGTCGAAAATTGTGCATTCGTGCTGCCATGAGTAGACAGGCGCCACAAATCCCAGAAGGTCGTCGGCCCATGACCATCCAATCTCGACTCATTCTCTTGACCAGTCGTACTGCGTCCTCGGCGACTTTGGCTGTGTCTTGGTGGAACTCCATCTTGGTAGCGAACCGCCAAATCAGGTCTTCAGGATAAACCGGTATCATGCCGTCGTTTCCGATAGGCACAACCTCATTCAGCTTCTTGAAGATGCGCCCAAGCTTGAAAACGTTCATCTGCACTAGATCCGCCAAGTCAATCAGCATGAGCTTGCAAGGTGGTTCGGCACGGCACGCAGCATAGAGACACACAGCCGCCACACTCATGATTGTCCGGCCCTGCACAAAGTTGGCACTCGAGGCGAGCTTGAAGACTTGCGTCCCTGATGTGACCAGGCTTTCGCTAACATTGAGCTGCTGCGCGTATCCCTGCATGAGACCCCTGGCTTCACGAATGCTCTTCTCTCGATCCTCCGTTCCTCCCACGCGTCGAAAAGCCGGGCCCGAACTACGGACACCAGCCTGGTCCGCGCCGATGAAGCTCCCCTGCACCATGGCTGCACCACTGCTCGTCTCTCCGAACTGGACTTCCGCCACGATGTTGGACTCGTCTGCGATACGACCACATGTTCGACAGGTACCGTCCACGACGTTGGGCTTTGGACACGCCTTATTTGGACATTGCTGTCTCGACGAGCTCACCAAAGGAGCCGCCGCCGCAGGTTTGGTGGATGGCGCGAATGAGACGGAGGCATTGCGCGAGGACACTTGCGCGCTGGCCTGTTGGCGTTCTTGACGCTCACGTAACGCGCGCGCAGGATTGTGCGGCCGCGTACCAGCGAATCGAGGTTTCGGACCATCTTTGCTAGCATTGGGCTTTCGTAATGAAGACATTATGGCGCGTTGGATAGCGATTGATGAGAGCCCTATACTGGCGACGCAACAAAGAGGGACGGATTTTTCTTGGTGGGGCACAGAGGTTCTCGTGGTCGAGCGGACCCGAGACGGGTGGGTGGCGCAAGCTCTGAGTCACCGGGAAAGCCACGCATTCGAATCCCACACAGAGATCTACTTGCTGAGTTTTTGAAGCTTTGCAACTAACTTATGAAATTTTCGGAGTGGACGGGAATAATGGTGCAAGTTTCTATAGGGCTTCTGGTTGCCTCGTGACGGCAATTGCTCTGACTGTGAGATTGGCTTCGCTCTTTCCTCGAGCCTCGGGCCACCCGCGTGGACTTGAGGTTTTGCCGGGCCTTTTCCGTTCCAGTCCCGTGATCTCCATCATAAACCCACATGACGGCCCGACGAGGCGTTTCCCAATCCAGTAACACTTCCAACTGAACGCGTTGAAAGCTGAATCGCGAGACTGACATTCATAGCCAACATGCTGCATGCTGGATGCCTTGGGTGAGGGTCTCATTCGTGTGCACCCTGAGTTCATCGATTTGTAATTCCCAGGCCTCGTAACAGTCTGGGGCGCCGCTGTCAACGTGGCTGTAGGCCGAGTATAAAGTGCAGGCGGGATCCCCTCACGAGGTCATGCTCTCACGATAGCACGACCCCAAGTCCGCACACTACGCGATTCAACCTCTCGCAGGCACTCCGTAATCAATCATGTCCACCAAGTCTCCCTTCAACCTTCGCGCAGCACCGTCGACTGACCTTTGGCGCATACCCCCTTCCACAGACCGCAACAATGGCAAGTCTGCACCGCAACCGCTCGCCAGGCCACTCACTAAGACCAATACGCAGCTCCCAGCCTCATCCATGCCTCCAACGCCCTAGCGTCTCTCGACTCTGCCACAATCTCATTCAAGGCATCATATATCCACCAGTTCGATCAAGCAGGCCTCTTTGTTCGCCTGACACATCCGTCACACCCCTTGCCCAAGTGGATCAAGACCGGAATCGAGTATTTCGACGGTGAGCCCCGTATCAGCGTCGTCTGTTGCGATAACTACTCAGACTGGTCTGTCGCGTCCCTTCCCGCCAGCATCTCTGATGCCGTCACCAAGGGCGAAAAGGAAATCACAATCCGGCTAGAGGTCAAAGAAACTACCGTATGGATCTACCGGGTTGACGAGGACGGCAACAACGTGCCCCTGAGGGAGATTGCCTGGCTCTTCGCCGACCGAGGTAAAGGATGGACAGCGGAGATTGGTGCTTGCGTTGCTAGGCCGGCTGAGGAAACCAGGGATGAGTTTGAAGCTACGTTCACCAAGCTTGAGGTACAGTGGAAGTAGACATTCACGCAATGTGCACGAAAGCTGAGGCGTCAATTTCCATTACCTCGACCCTGACGGCATGGGATGTGACCATACCCAGGGAGGATCGCATCCAGCGAACCTTGTTTTTTTCATTTTTCTTTCGTGCATGCCCACCATGCAGGTCCCGTACATTCCGCACTATTTCCCACGTGTGTCTCGTAACATTGACAAAGGAGAGAAAACAACAACAGTGTGTGGAGGAGTAGCAATCTGTACAACAAAAGATGTGGAATGACAGGACGTCCTCATCCAGTGAGGATACCTCGCATTTGCAAAAACCAGTCCCACGAGGGGACTGGAAAATCATGCGAGGGTGCCGAGCAGGGCCTCCAGGCAAGCGGTGGCTCGTGGGTATCAATTTGGGAGGTCCCTGAGTGAAGTCAACAACAAGCCAACATTCCAATCTGCCAATCCTGTGTGTCGTGAATTGACCAGCGAAGGAAAGTCTAACCAACACCAGAATCAGCAAACGGTCCGTGGTAAAATCAAAGCGAAACAAGCATCAGCCTCCCGGCAACAGCCGCCAACCTTACAAAGTGAAGTGTGTTTGAATCGCACTCCCAAATGGTGACTCGGTCTGTGGGAGGCATCAAACGCCAGTCTCTCTTTTTTTTCGATTTTCCTCCTTGGGTGCCCTGTCGGTGTCTTGGTGCCACGTGTCTTCCCTGCAAGCAGCTCAGACAGTCTTTGGCGTGCGTGCATTGGTCACGTCAATGACATCGTCCAAGTGATTGCACATGGCCACAAACAGGTCAAAGAATAACTTGCTGCCACCAGCCTCCATCTCGGCCTGCATGGTCCCACTGCGCTTGAAGGTCTTGCGGCAGCGGATAATCAAGGCGAGGTAGTGCGCGCGCAGGCGGCTGTCCGAGTCTGGTGTGTGCGCGTAGGCGTACTGCGCGGACCGCAGGATGGTTCCGACATCAATACCGGCCTGCAGTCCTTGCTTGCGCAGAGCAAGGCGCTTCAGCTCTTCGAGACCATAGCGCTCCGCAGCACAGTATACGACTGTGTCGCGAAGGATATCGGCGTCGATGCTCGAAAGATAGACGGCAGCGTCGACGGCGGGCGTTTGGCCGCCTCCATTGTGGGCGGGGTTGGGTGAAGGCCGAGGGCTCTTTGTAGTCGGCTGGTGGTCCTCGAGCTCCCAAGAGTTGCGGTGCCTGTTGTGAATCAGGCGTGGGTAATAGTCGCCCTTGTAGAGGTACTCGAGGACAGCCGAGAAGACCTCGGGTTCTTCTTCGGGTAGAGAGATCCTCTTACTCTGCGCATCGGAAAAGTGCTCACGGCAGGCCGCCTCGAAAAAGGGAGCCTGCCGCAGCACATCTTCGTGCGCCGCAAAGAGCCGGCCCTCGCGACCGATCGTGATAGTCACAATCGGCGAGGGCGCAACAGGCTGTGTCATGGACACATCATGCTGCTCATGGTTGAGCGACCTTTGCAATTTCGACAGCTTCGTAGGATCGCGCACGGCGCCTTGCTTCTTCAGACGATGGGTCTTGTCCACGCGAATGTGGTCCTGGTGGGACCGAAAAGAGCGCTTGAACATGTTGGAGGGACTGAAGAGAGCGACGAAACGAGTGTCGAGGGACGTGATCACGGTGATCGAGGGTAGGGGGGCGTGGAGGGGATGACGCACAACAGGGAAACGATTGACGAGGGGCCCGGGCGGGAAGAAGACCGTGTTGACGCTGCGCTTGTATCTTCGTCAGTGAAGGCGACAATACAGAGCGCAGAACGGTAATCCTCGGAAAGCTTTGCGACCCTTGGGTGGTTGTGAGTGGGGAGGAAAGAAGAGCATCGTGAATGGGGATCGTAAGGCGGTAGATGTAGGCGGGGGCGCAGCCTGCCCAGGCTGCCGTTGGGCTACCCTGGACGTTGGGCAGGCGCGTAAATCATGCCTTGCAAAGCGTGGCTACCTTACGCCTAGGAGACATAAATTTGTTCTCTAAGTTACCTATGAATTTCCAATACCCTAAAAGGCGATTGAGAGATTCTTGGCCAGAAGCCGATAAAACTATGTAGTTGCAATGGTCGCTTGCTTGGCACTGAAGCTTGTACAGGTAGGAAAAAGAGGCGCTAGTCTAATGATTTATCACGTTGGATGCTTCCTAGAACAAGGTGAATCCAAGTCATTTGGTCGGCTCGATACGCATTGATTCAGTTAAGCGTGCATAGTGCATCATATTGGCCCCAACCTCACGGACGATTCTTGACCGGGCGAAGCGTTGACTTCGTCAAAGTAAAAATATAACATGTATGTGAATAGATTATAAACTTGGTCCTTTCAAAAGCCGCCAATTAGCAGTGACAGGCAGGACAAGTCTCCCTCTCAGAAGTCAATCGCAAAGGAAGCAAGTGCGAGACACAGGATGACATCAAGCTAATCACAGCCTTTGTGTTCTTAAAAATATCGCCATGCTGCGAATATCACAATGTGGCGACAGGCTTGCCCCCAGCAAGCTGCGCAGAATGACGGATGCTCACAGAGGGATGGAATGTTCAGCACAAAAAGGCCAGTGAGTAGGGATGGAAGAGCATATCAAGGGTGTCAGAAGCAATCTGGGACATGAAAACCCTAATACCGTGGTGTCTTGTGACGATGAGCCCTAGTCTGGAAGTTCGTCGACGGTCTGCAAGAGGGGCATTCTGTTCACTGAGGGTCTCTGAAGATGTTCAGGGTCGAGTCGTGCGGTAGAAGAACCGGGAAAGTACCTGTACAACTTCATGTTCTGGAACAGAAACCGAAGGACCTGTGCTCCAGTGATGCCATGTCTTGCGCGGCGAGCTGAGCTTGAACGATTTATTCATTCCACGACCTATTGCTCCTTACTGATCGCGCCCTCTCTCTCCATGCCCTCGCACCCGGTAGCCTTGCCCACGAGCTCCTCAGTCTTGCCGTAGCCCTGCGTGGGATCGCGCTGCTCAGTGGCCATCTTCATGGTGTTGACGCCCGACTCTTTGTCATTGACGCCCGAGTCCTTCCACTCTTGCGAGCCGGTCACATTGCCAATCACCTCCTACGCACGTGTCAGCTCTCTGCTCAATGCGAAATGGCATGCGAGACACGCACCTCTGTTGCGCCCTTGACGTATTGGGCGTGACCGCCAATGAGGCCGGCTTGCTCCTGAGACTTGTCTGCCATAATGTATGTGTGTGGACTTGATGTAGTGTGTCAGAGAATAATTCGGTCTTGTCGATACGCCGGGAACTAAAGTGTTGACAATCATAAAGAGTGGGTGACGCCATCCTCGATCTGAACAGTCGAGGCGCACTGGGATGACATCACCGCGTGCAGCCTGCAACACAGGCGACCTGGAGTTGGCCCTACTAGACTCCCTCAAGACAAGCTTATCGCGTGCATTCAAAACTGGTCCTTTTCTGCACGCGATCTTAGATCGAATGGAGTCCTGATGATCGGGGACGGAGGAATAGGGTTAGTTCCGTCTGCGATTCCCGTAGTCTTGTCGTTGAATCGGATCGCGGAGCAAAGCCTCCCGGCAGATCGACCTCTTCTTGCCCTCCACACCCTCCAGTCAAACAGATTACTCGTCCGTCCATGACGTCTAGCAGCGGACACATAGTGCATGCAATGGAGACGTCTAGATGCTATTAGCTTGAGGGTCTCAGTCCGCCATATGCCGTTTCCATCCTAGCGTAGGGCGGGTGGTGATTCATGCCGTGTCACAAATGCACGTGAATCTGTGAGATGATGTGTGGTCAGCCGCGTGCGGGTGGGCGTGACATCCGCGATCGTCTGCCCGCCGAACAGGCAGGGAAGACACAGAACGTCATGGCATTGTCCAAAGGAACAGCCTCTCAAATAGGGGCCCCTTGCCAATATCCAGGATCATCGTATGCAAGCTTCGATCAGAGCTCATCTTAGCCCAGCCTGTCCGACAACCACTTCTTTCCCCCTGCTCGAATGGTTCCTTCTGTAACTCTGTTGCATCATTGACTTTGCCGTTCGGCAGCACTAATAACAGCGGCTGAGACAGGTAGCCGCTTTCAATTTCTCTGTTTCCCACAGTTCCCCTTCAACCGTCACCACGTCTACCGAACCGCTACTCCGTGCTGCCAAGATGGCAGCTTTGAAGACTCAAGATGAGTCTTCGAAGGACGTGTCGTCCGAGCCCATGCTGGATGTCGAACACTGGGGTCCCGGCCTGGATATGTCCGGGCTCGGTGGGCTGACGCTGTATGAGAAGAAGTGCGTGTTGGTGAATCGAGAGATTGATCATCAGGGCATGGGAAAATACCAGTGGTACATCTGGGGTCTCTGTGGCTTCGGATATTTCCTCGACTTGCTCTGGGCGCATGCCTTTGGCCTGGTCCTCAGTCCGCTGCAGCAAGAAATGGGCTTCGGGAATGATGAGTCGGGCAACATTTCCGTCTGCTTCAACGCTGGACTCACGGCCGGTGCCTTTTTCTGGGGATTCATGTCTGACATTGTTGGTAAGTTGAGACACTTCCCATCCTGGCCTCGCCTCCGTATTCTGGTGATGGCTAACGTCGACAACCAGGTCGCAAATGGGCGTTCAACCTGACTTGCCTCTTCTCCTCGATATTTGGTCTTTGCCTCGGTGCATCGCCAAACTACTTGACCTTCCTCATCCTGACTGCCTTCGTCGGCTTTGGCGTCGGTGGCAACATACCCATCGATACGTCCATCACCCTCGAATTCATTCCGCAAAATAAGCGCTTCTTATTGGCGTGCCTGTCTGTGTTTCAGCCTCTAGGTGTCGTTGTCTGCAGTGCCATCGCCTTTGGATTCATTCCCGTGTACTCCTGCTCACCCAACTTCTCTGAGGAGGGCGCGCTGAAAAGCTGCCAGAATGTGGCAGACGGTGTCGAGTGTTGCTCAAGGGACAACAACATGGGATGGCGGTATCTGCTCTTCACCCTAGGTGCCGTGACCATCTTCATCTTCTTCCTGCGCTACTTTGTGTTTCACTTCCGTGAGACGCCCAAGTTCTTGATCTTCAAGGGCAAGGACGCTGAAGCGATCCGGGTACTGCAGCACATGGCCAAAACCAATAAGCGCGAGTGTCGTCTGAGCTTGGAAGTCTTTGAGGCCATACAGAGTGGGCACGACTCCATCAACAGTGAATCCACCGACTCCAGCAGCCATCCCGTGCTGGGAGGGGGTGCCAAGCAAAGGCACAGCAATTGGAAGAAGAAGAGCATGCTCGAGCTGGACCGATACAAGATGCTTTTCGACGGGTTTCAGATGTCGCGGCTGACCATCCTAGTGTGGCTAACCTACATCATGGATTTTTGGGGCTTCACAGTGGCTGGGTTTTACCTGCCGCGGATACTGGCTTTGAAGAACGGAGCGGCCGAGGTGAGTCTCACCGCGACGTATGCTTCATACATCTACACCTACGCGCCCGGCATTGTCGGTGTCCTGCTCGGTGCTTGGATGTACAAGGTGCCCTCGGTTGGTCAGAAGTGGACCATGGTCATCTCCTCTGGACTAATGGGCGCCTCCATCATTCTCTTCTCGACTGTCGATACGGTCGCAAAGAACCAAGGCATATTTGCCATGGAGTACTTCTTTCAGAGCATGTTCAATGCGGTCCTGTACGGATGGACCCCTCAGGCGTTCCCCGCGCCCGTTCGTGGCACGGCATGCGGTGTGGCCAGCTTCTGGGGCCGTCTCTTTGGCATTGTCAGCCCATTGATCGCGCAGTCGCTGTACGGACGTGGCGAGAGCGCGGATGGCGATATCAACAGTGTGTTGTACCTGGCTGGGGGTGTCACTCTGGGCTGCGTGATCACAACGGCGCTGCTGCCGAACAAGCTGATGGAGACAAAGGACGAGCGCTCATAGAGCCCTTCATGGGCCTTACTTATAGTGAATGGAATAAGAGCTTTGTTTCGAGCATGCGATTCTGAGTTTGCGACGCCAGTATTTCCGTGAGTTGTGCCAGTTACTGCCACTGTGGGTCACGGGCAAAAGTGGGACACAAGCTCCCCGGGTCCGTGCGTAGGCCAGATGTCCTTAACGCTCGGTGATGCGCGACTGCAACACCTGCACCGAGCAGAGAACCCCAGCACAGCGCGACTGACTTTCAATCTTTACACATCTTCGATATCTCTCCACGGGGAGCTCAGAAAATATGCTTTCCGCCCTAGGCAACCCTCGCCAGGCCGCCGCGCAGGTCTTGAACTTTGCGCTCGTGCTGTCCACAGCTTTCATGGTGCGCGAACCGCCTCTTGCTGTCAAAAAGACTGACTGACAAGGAAAGATGTGGAAAGGCCTCTCTGTCGTAGCCGACTCGCCCTCCCCGATCGTCGTCGTCCTCTCCGGCTCGATGGAGCCCGCGTTCCAACGCGGCGACCTGCTCTTCCTCTGGAACCGAAACCTGCTTCAAGAAACTGCCGTGGGCGAAGTCGTGGTATACAACGTGAAGGAAAAGGATATTCCCATTGTGCATCGCGTGGTGCGCAAGTTTGGAACAGGGTTCGTCATCTCCGCGTACATTACAGACGGCAGAGCGCTGACAAGACAAGTGACGAGGCAAAGCTATTGACAAAGGGTGACAACAACCAGGCAGACGACACGGAGCTTTATGCGCGGGGCCAGGACTTCTTGGAGCGCAAGGACATTATCGGGTCGGTGGTGGCATACATGCCCTTTGTGGGCTACGTGACGATCATGCTGTCAGAGCATCCGTGGTTGAAGACGGTGATGCTCGGCATCATGGGCTTGTTTGCTATATTGCAGAGGGAGTAGCCGGCGTTTGAAGGCGAATGCATTTCGTGGCATCTGTCCCAGACGTGGAGACCGTTGACAGCCGTCAGCCATTGACGAATCCCTCCCCCGGCAGCATTTTGTGCGCGTCACTGGAAGATGTCGCGACGCGCGCGTGGCCCCCTTCCTATGTGCCTGTGATCCAACCTCATGCCGGCTCTTCACGGTATCCTATGCATATCGTGCAATATCGGCGAGTTGACGCCAGTGCATCTCGCACCCAGCTCAGCCCTGCAGGCCTGTCTAAAAATCTAGATCCTCCTGGAGTCTTGGAGGCCTAGAGTGGATACCAAACACGGACGAAATGGGCGACTCCCGAGCGATATTTTCGTCCTAGCCAATGTGCGTGCGGCTCAGCGACGTCCTCCGGCATCCACCCCTGCGCCGTTTGGTGTCTTGGCACCGATTTTAGCGATGCGCGCTTGGACAGTCATTTCCCCCGTTCACGGGGTTTCACAACCGGTGTCTTCCTCTTCATTTTCTTAATCAGTCATCGGCGGTCGCTCTTTTATCTTCACTCGTTCTCACTGCCTCTTGTTTCGTCACTCGTTTCAGTTGGCTGTCTTGCGAACGTCTCGGTTGTGGTCTACAGCGCACTCCCCTCCACCATCCCAAGCTCGCCCGCGACATGGCCGACACTGTTCGCCACGATGTGCCCTCGTCGTCTGCTGCCGCACCAGCGGCTGCGCAAACGACCGAAGCAACACCTCAGGTACCTGTGCAGCCAACTTCGACGCATCAGCCTGCCCCCCAAGTCGTTGCTGCCGCGGGCAACTACTACGGGCAATACCCCCAAGCATACGGCCAGCCTTACCAGCCCTACCAGCAGTATGGATATCAGCAGGCCTATTCACAGCAGCAAGCTGCCTATCAGCCATACTACAATGCTCCTGCTGGAATGTACCCCTATCCTCAAGCGGCTCCCGCCCCTGCTGTGCCGGAGACCAAGTTTTGGACCTCCACAAAGACATTCTTGCATGGAGCGTGCGTCGTCTTTGGCATAATTGGTTTTGGTCTGGGTCTGGCGTTTGTGTCAATCGGCTACTGGTCCTACATGGCTGCCATCGCATGCCCAGTGGTATGTATTTTTGCCGTCCGTCTATTCATCCACATATCGCTAACATCTGCTGTAGCCTGGTCTGGCCATCCTCTGGAACGGCTCCGAGCTCATCGTGCGCGCTGTGCACAAGTTCCAATCCGGCGTCCACCCAGGCGCCACTGTCGGCTGCTGCCTCATTCTCTGGTTGGTCGCTGTCATTGTCGGTATCCTTGAGGCGCTCTACGGCAACGTTTCGGAATCGTACTGCGACTACAACTACAGCGCCTTTTCCTACTCCTACGATACTACCAACTGCAAGCCTGAACTAGCCAAGATCTGGACTGCCGTCACAGCGTTCACGCTTCTCATCGCGGCCGCCGAATTCACCCTCTTTGTCATGGCATGCATGGACACAGCCAAGAGGAACGCGTCCAAGAAGGTTGTCATGGTCGTGAACCCTTCGTACTGGGGCCAGGCGGCGCAGGGATGGCAGCCCGTGCCGCAAGACAACTCGCACCAGCAGCCTGTGGCAGCGCCACAAACTGCAATGGCGTACGGTGGTAATGGCCAGGACATCGCCATGCAAGATCAATCCCCGAGTCCGGGCACACCGTACGCTACGCCAGCGGAGGCACCTGTGGTAGACGAGAAGGGCAAGGGGCCTGCGCAGCCAGCGCATGGCGTATCTGAGTTCTATGGAGGACGTAATTAGGAGGGGAAATGCTGTGGCATGATTACCTAGGGAATTGCATATAAGGACAAATGATTTTTATTGTGAGTTTGCGAACACCAAGGGCTTGGTGGCGTGCGCAGTGATCTACATACATACTGCGTATTCACCCATAGGAGGTGACATGTACTATCTTGGAGCAAACTTCGTAGATTGTGCTGTTAAGTAGCCACTTATCTCTGGCCAAAGGGGATATCCGGTGCTCTGAATATTGCTAGCGTACGTCTGTACGCAACATGCGACATGCTTCATAACTATCCATGTATGTAGTAACGAATGATTCTCTTTGGCGCTTATTCTTGTATTAGAAAAACCCCCCACATATCCTTTCCGTATGGTGAACCGATTGGGCGATAGGCCAGTCGACTCCCTTGCCCCAAGTTGTCCCTATGAGCTGAGCTCGCTTAGGGATCGAACCTCCTCCTCTTTGTAGGACGAGGATCGGCTGATGCCTGGTCATATGGCACCCGAGACACGCAATCCAGTTTCGCATTGTATAATCCATCCTCTAAAGCGTCCATTCGGCGTTAAATGACGCGTTGTTGCTCGCAAGCGGCTTCCAACTTCAAATTTAGGCGTTCTATCTCCCGCTTCTCTCCCATCTCCGTGTCATATGTTTCGGGGGCATCCGGAATAGCAGGACCAGTCTCAAGAGGATCGTGCGCGGAGGAGTCTCGCTGGAAGGGCACTACCTGTCTCTGGGGTCGGCAGAAAGCATTCGGAGCCTCTGGCCGAGGGATACCGCGGTTCCTGCGATGCGGATTTGGCTCCTACAACACTGTGGGAGGAGCAGCAGCAGCAGCGCCTCCCTCGAGTGCAGCAGGCGTGATGGTGGGTTGAGTAGCTACACGCTCTGGCCCTGGTATCAGGAGCATGGCTCGAGGCAGCGTTTCGAGTGTTCCCGGTCTGCATACCATGACCACGAGGGACAGTCCTCCCACTAGGGGTTGCAGTGGCCGTTGCGATAGCTTGGATAGCACCAGACTCCCCATGAGTCCCACGACCTGGCTGCACGCCCCCTCCCGCTGTGAGCTCGCTCAAGTTCAAATCTATGCCGAGGGTATAGGTGAGTTCGCCGCCAATCATCTCCTTAGGGTTGCCGGCTTGCCTTTCGAATGCCGCCGAAAGCCTGTCAAAATACTCTTTGAAGAACCTAACAGCACTGCGGGCTTGTTCATTCCATGACGTTACGTCTGGGTTCCCTCGAGGTACAGGCTTTAGGAGGGCGTGTTCTCCCTCAACCACAGGTGGCGGCCCAATTTGACCGTCGAGAAGGGACTCGTACTGTTTCTCCAGGGCTTTGCGAACGATCATGTGGAAGGGGGGCATTGTCCTAGAGGTGAAGTTCCAATTGTAGTTGTCGACGAGGTTCCTCCGCGTGAGACTGCTAGAAAAGCAGAACGAGGAGTTGACAAAGCGGAACGAGGGATTGGCAGAGAAGGTCAAAGAGCTCGAGGCACACAAAAGACTTCTGTTGAAAAATCTCACATCCCTCCAGAACAGCGCGGACCAGGGCAAGACGCCCACTCCTAGAGGATCTACTCCCAAGACATCCGGAAGTGTGGACGCCGCTCTGAAGAAACTGGCGACCAAGAAGGCTTCCACTCCCCAGAAATCCGCTCACTAATCGGGTAATAAGCCCCTCAGCCCGACGGAATTTAGAGGACGACTTCCATTTGGCATTTCTGAAGAGTCTGAGGAGGATTCACCTCCCCTTCACACGAAAGATTCGTCGAACTACAAGCCAAGGCCCGCGGATTATTCGCCTTTGTATTCGCCTTTCGCTCAGCAAAAGAATTCTCCAAAGAACAAGCCAGAGCCTGCCAAGGGAGCAGGCACCCATGGGTTCTTTCGCGGTAATTCGCATGGCACACCTCGACGGCTGAGCGGCACTGAGGGGGAATTGTCTGCCCTTCCGAAGAAGAAGGCTCGGAGCAGCAAATAGAAGTCACCACGAGGAGGATGGTAGGAGGCTCATATTGTCACGTTGCTATTTTTCGTTTGCTATGAACTTGAGGATTTCGCTAGGTATTATAAGGGAGGAGGGCGGCAAGGTGTATTACTTGTTTCGATAAGGCAAGAAGTGCCTAAGTATCCTCCATTATAGACAGAAGAGGCTTCGCTAAGATAATGAGACGCATGATTTCTATCCGTCGCGAGTCGCGACAAAGCAAACATGAACACGGTCGTGTGAACCCACGCGTGGTGACTGGTGATGCTGGTGCAAGATGGGGTCTGCCTTCCATGCACGCGTCAGACGCTCATATATGAACACGTCTGGCGATGGTATTATCCGCCAAATTACTGTCCAGTTGGACCAATATCTCAACCTCCAATCCCCCGCCCACACCCCCCAACTGTGGATTTTCTGAGGTCTTCCAGCGGGAACCACACGCTTAACGTCCAGAAGGCATACCATGGAGCGGGTGAATTGGGGGTGGCGAACCTGATCATGTTGTGATCTGATATGTGTTGAGTATCCTTCAATTGGGGTTTGGGCATGTGGTTGACCACCCATTCCCCAATTATCTGTACGATTGCTGTGGGAGGGTTACTGTAATGAAGAGTAACTGCCATCTTGTTCAACAAACACAGATATACTTTATCTGCAGGCTGAGGCCAGAGTGCGTTTTCGGGTGGCAGAATACGTCGAAAGACGTGTGCCTCCACGGCCCGCGATTCAGGGGCGCTTGTTGGCAAGCTTAGCAAAGCAAACATAAACACGGTCGTATGAAGCAACAGACGGTGGTTGGTGATGCTGGTGCAAGAACCAAAAACAAGCGACCCAAATCTCAGGCAAGTCTGAGTCGATCATTACCTTAGAAGTCATCAAGATGGCTGATCAATATAATTACGTTATATTACAAGGTATCTACGAGAGTATAAATGTTTTCAACGGTTAGAATCCCTTCAGATAAGACGATCCAATATCCCAGCAACATCTTGACTCAATACCTGAAGACTATATAAAAGACTGAAGATTTAAAAGAAAAAAACTTATAAAGAATTTACGAAACCTTTCATAGACCTTGATTATCTTTAGACTCAATGCTATTTTTGTTCTAAATACAATAGTGTAGTATCAGAACTAAATACTCATCCGCTACCTAAAGCCACAGACTCCTACTTTTGAATAGACACTCGACTCTGTTGTTTCGCTGCAATGATCCATGCATTCGATCAAATTTCACGTCTGTAGTCAAGTATCTGTCGTTGGGTCACTTGGGTGAGTGATCGGAGAAAGGGATAGTAAGGGGCAATGTTGGAGTCAAGGTGTGGTTGTTTGTCTTGGTGCTCCGAGCTCACAGGGACTGGACTCTATCTATATCATTCACACAACGAGCGATGTCCAAAGTAAGGTGGGTAGCTTTACGATCGAGTCAAATCAATTCATTTTCCGCTAGAAGCCAAAGTGCATTACGAAAGAACCGGGTATCTATACCAAGATCAATACTCCAAATCCGCATCTTCCTCGTGCTCCCATTTCCGGTTGCCGAGCCTGCGCAACTTCTTGGGGCTGCCGCTGCTCGCGCCACCGGGTGCCCGCGAGTTGCTGTTGCTCAGATGCATCTTCTCCATCTTGCGGCCCAACTGAGCCACGCCCTCGCCCTTTGTCGGCAAGCCCTGGGGCGATGAAGCGCAGTCGCCTCGCTCTTCGAGTGGACGACGCTTGCTGGGGCTTCTGTTCGCCAGCTCGCGCTTCAGGATCACATTCTCTCGACGCAAACGCTCCAATTCTTCCTCGAGGCTCTCGACAAGTACGTTCTCCTTGTCATCCGCCTCGTCCGTGCCAAGTCCCCGCTCCAAAACATCCACTTTACGGTCCCAGTGCTCATCATTGCGCTCTTGCTCTAGCAAAAGCGAGGACTTGAACCTGGCTAGCTCAATCGCAAGCCTTTCCTCGAACTCTGTCGCACAGTCGTCCCTTATGGAAGCCTCAAGATCCAACATGCGGTCTTCCATCGACATAAGATGGGCCTCAGCCGTCATTCTTGCCTCAGTCTGGGCATCCACCTCTTCGCGCAAGTGGTCAATGTCGTCGCTCAGGCGCGCTATCTCTAGAGCAGCCAGCTCCATAGTCGCTCTCTCGTCAGATGAAGCAACCCTGTACGAGCCAGAGCTTCCGGGAGGCATGAAAGGTCGAGGATGATGTGTCTGGACTGGGCTAGGCGGCCTCCCCGCCATGGGGGGAGCATTGGCGAGAATAGTTGCCGTGATTGATGGGATGCGAGGCACTGTTACCTCCCGCGCAAGAGCGCTGTAGCGAAGAATCTGCGATGTGGCATTGAAGTCGCCCAGAGGATCGGCTGTGACGATCATGACTCCCCTTTGCGGGTTGCGTCGGGGACCCTGAGGCTGTGAACTGGAGGATGAGGAGGGGAACGAGTTGGAGAAGAGCAGCTCGGTCAGCTTACACTGTCTGTAAGGAACAATGTTGGGCTTGCTAGACGTTCCAACCTCGCTCTGCGTTTGCAGACACTGACCGAGATACATGAGACTCTCGTTGATCTTGCCAGCTTCCACCAGCGTAGCACCAGCAGTTTTAGCGTCGCGAGCACGCTCGCTACCAGCCAAGTCAACAATTGTCAGCTTGCTGCCGCCCCAGGAACCAGGGCGTCTGCTATGTGTTCTTTTCTTCACCTCAAAACAGAAGAACCCGTGACTGCGCGACGACGTACTATTGCTGCCTGTACCGGCAACTCGGCGTTCCTGGAGGCCAGCCTCCAGAACCATGATTGCCTCTCTGAAAGTTGTGCAAATCACTTTGCGCAGGCCGGCAACTACTTTACGATCAGGTGACATTTCGGTGGATTTGAATAGCAGCGGGCGGCGACGAATGTCTTTGGATGAGGCGTTCCGTGAGGGAGGCGACAGAAGGTCGTAGATGCGATCGTTGTGGACCTCGTACATGGACACGACAACCGCGTACTCTGCCGAAGCATCGCAGCACATATCAATGTTGCTGACATCGGGCGTCTGCGGTAGGGCAGAAGGCCGTTGTATGTTTCGTCTCGCAGGACCTGGCGACAGAGGATTGTGTGACTCGCCCTTTGATTCTGTTTTAGCAACTTTCTTGACACGGGATGCGTTGGTCAGGGCCATAAAGGGCTTGGTTTGTTGAATATTCGCCCGCTGGGACGAATGAATGGCAGGAGATAGGTGATCATCCCGAAAGCGAGACTATCGTTCTCGTGGATGCTTGGGGCTTGTTGGAGACTCGGGGAAACTGCAGGGAAGTCGTACAATCATGGGGGTCGCGGCGCGAGAACGAGACCCCGGCACATCGCCGCAAACGGCATCAATGAAGTTGGAGGCCGTCATCAATGTGGCTTCGGATGGGTCGCTCGCTTGAAGTGAGTCGGCGGCAGAGGCCAGGTGGAGACCTTCGAGCATGTTGAGGCCGATTGACCGGAAGAGGACGTCGAGAGTGAGCTGCGTCAAACCACGCTGGGTCTTGGAGCCGAGCATTGTGTGTGTTTTCCCTGAGCCTGTGACGCCGAGTGTGGCAATCATCGCGTCTGTGCCGTCGCCTCCATCCCGTGCCAACACACCTTCGACCATGGGAACAACTCCAGCAGAATGGAAAACATCGAGCTGACCGGCGTCAGGTTCAAAGACACGCGTAAAAGCGAACTTTTCAATGGCGCGTCTACGATCAGTCGGCGGGTTCAGTGTGATGTGCGTCACTCCAGTGGCCTCGCGCTGGACTTCCTCCTCTTTCGTTTCTGGTGCTTCGACAGTCAGGATGCGCTCGGAGGCGGGCGCACCAGGTGGGGAGGGTCGTAATCGAAGGTAGACCTCGAAGAGGTTGTGCGAGGTTCTTGACTCCATTTCGATGATTTGGCGGGCTGTCTTGATGCTGTCGCCTGTCGCTAAGGTAAGGACGTGCCTAAATACCAAATGGGTCTGCATTTGATCGAAGAACACCCCTGTTTACTCGGGGATTTCCAGAATTGTCCGCGCTGGCAGGGCAACCGCGTCGCGTCTCCACTTTACGCGCCTCAGCCTGGCTTGAGATAGGCTGATGCAACATGCGGCCTGGCTTCCATGACAAGATATCGTGAGTTACGAATGCACGACATACAGTCAGATGTCTGCTATCTATACGCGCTGGTGCCCCCGCATTTTGCTCAATAAGTGCGTAACGACGCAGGCACATCTGTTAGTTATCAACCTACTGGCATCTTCCTTGCTGTGTTCACTTCAGGGGCCCGATACACAGAACGTTGTGAGTCAGTTCTTGATGGACAGCAGTCAGACACATTGCAAATTACATGACACCTGGCTTATACCTTTCATTCGCTTACAATCTAGGCGAGAGGGCTGAGTTCATGTTAACAAGGTTGCAAATACCACAAGCCTGATGCCGCAAAGAGGGACCAGGCGAGGCACTCTGGGCTAGATACCAGACACAATTTGTTTTGGCATTTCCGCTCATCGTAGGCCACACTGCTGACAGCTTTTCATTTTCATACACGCACTTCAAACGTATAACATAGTACCGTGGCGCTGATTATGTTCACGACGAAGGCAACTCCAGGGTGGGTAATCTCCACAGGGCCGCAGGACCCTGAATTCCATCCATCCCTCTGCTGACAGGATTTTTTTTTGCATCAAGTTTGCAGAGCCGTGTCCCGCCATGTCAGCCTGGTTGGGCTAGATAGATAATCCGAGACGACCGCGAAGGTTATCTACGCGCATAAAATTCTGATTATCGCTACCACGGCACTCGCGACCTATGGTGGAAATGATAATAATCGTCGGTCTCGACCAAATGACGGAGCGTTATACCCGCCAGCCGTTCGTCATACTTGCAATCAAGTGAGAATGCCCCGCTACGACGACGGACCCATAGAGGGGACATCAGTCGACTCCAGTCTCCTGTTTGACGTCTAGGCTCGCCTCGCCCGATCCTCAAAATTACCTCGTTGAGCCTTGGGGTCTGCTCTGTCAAGATGCATTGAAAAGGACATAAAAGGGTCTGACCTAGCCAAACCCTCGCGATACTTTGTGCTGGTATTGCATCGCCCAAGCGTTGAACACGAAATCCTTCTCGACTAGGACAGTGCATGGTGAAGCTGCATGCCGGCCGCCAATCAAGTCGCATATGAAAAGGCGGTGACTCCCAAATCACGGCTCTTTGCATATGATGGTCCGAGAAGCCTCCAGATGGGAGTCATCAGCAGAAGAAACTGAAGGCACGATCAACCCCTCCTGCCTCACAGTCACAATCAGTATGCTTCGGTAGGGGCCTGCCCCACATACAAGCGCTGGAAAAAAGGTTCAGTCCACTGCGGTCTGTGTTAGAGTCATCGCAACCTGCCAATTGTAGCGCCCCAATGCTTCTCCACTCGGGACCAAAAAAAGTTATCATATAGAGAACTTCTGTCCACCTCGTCTCTGTCGCTCCCTGCTTCTCCTCCTCAAACCAAACACCCTACAAAAGACAACGAAGTCGACAAATTCCTCCCTAACTGCAGGAACATACCAGTTACCCAACTTTGTCGAGTCAAGATGCCTTCGGCCCTCGCTGAGCTGTAAACGCCCACTGCTGGCCCAGGTACGCTGGGCCGGCAGTCCAGCAGTTCATCGAGCAATTTCACCAGTGAACCCAAACGACAGAGTTGACAGACCCAGCTTGCCTCTCGCGCTGCAGCTTGGTCTGTGAATAGAACAATCAGCAAACACTACGATCACACTCAGGGCTACACGCCACACGCAATACCAACAATGCCCTCTCCAAAGACACCCAAAAGCCGCAAGGCCCCCCCTACCACTTCCATCAAGATTGGCAAAAAGGGACGACGCCGCTCCTCTACCGTCTCCGCCTCGACCTTTGACTTCTCCTCCTCCCTTTCGTCTGCAGACGACAACTATTCGGCCGTTGACGACATCAGCGACGACGAAGATGACGACGAGGAGGACGTGACAGCGGTCGAGGAGCGCGCAATGGTGGGCGAGACCACGTCCAGCCCTGGCGCTACTCGATCGCTTTTCGAGGATGACGGTTCCGATAACGACGGTGACGACGACGACTCCGACGACGAGGATGAGGAGGAGGCAGCGGAAGAAGACGAGGACGACGAAGGAGGCGCTGGCTTGATCCCCAGCAGTGACGAGAGCTGGGAAGGCCTCAGCCCCACCCAGCATGAAGAGATCCAACAGGAGGAGGAGGAGGAGTCCAAGTGGCCTATCCGTAAGAAGTCGGTTCACTGGGCCTCGGAGGAAGAGGACTCGTCTGACAACGACGGGGCTAATGAGGACTTTTTCCCTGACATCTTTGTGCTTCAATCTGAGTTGGACCGCAACTTCCGCCGCCGTATCGAGGATGAAGAGAACAGCGGCTCCGATTACACCGACCTCGACTATGATCAATACGAGGAGGTGATGTTCCAGAGGATCGCAGACAGGCACGCCACACCCCGGACGCCTCAAGAAGAGTTGCAGCCTGCCTTCGAGCCAACGACCTGCGAGACAATCCCCGAAAGCGAAGAGTTCATTGAAGGATACAACTACGATGATGACGGCTCCACAACCGAAGAGGAGGATTTTGAAGTGCGTCCTCGTGCCGCGGCCGCAGCTCTCCATGACCGTTCCGACGATGATACTTCCGATGACGAGCAGCCCGCGCGTCGCAGCAAGGGTGAGCCTCTTTCGTCGCGTTTCAACCTTCAGAAGTACAGAAAGAAGCCAATTGCTCTGTACAACCATGAGACAAAGCGCATGATGATCTTCACACCTGACCGACATCACGAGCTGGGCCATATTCCACACAACCCCTTCCTGCAGCCCATGCTGCCAGACTCGCCCCTCGAATTGAACATGGACTTCAGCCAGTATCCGCTCGATCTCGGCAACGACGCCACTGCTAACGGCGATCTGCAATTGTATGGGCAATTATTCCCCATGCCCGTCTCGGAGCAGGAATCCGAGACCAATGTCATGGATGATCAGGCTTCGTCAGATCTAGACGGCCAGGAGGGCGACGGATTTGCATTCGAAAGCTACATCAATCTCAGCGAGGACTCCTCGGATGAAGAAGGGGATGGTCAAGATGCTACGACGCCCAGTCGGCCCGTGACCGCGCACAGCGACGCCAATCTGTCCCACATCAACTCACGCAATGTTGGCGCCTTCCGTCAACACCAAGCCAACGCTCAGCTCATGGGCACCGGTGCCACGCATGACTCCATCGCCTTCAGTGGCCCCCTGAACAGCACCACCATCCGTGGCATCAAGTCGGACCGCTTCGATACTGCCGCCGCTCCGTTGACACCAGCACGTCGTCACAAGAGGCAGTCAAGCGATATGATGCGCAGCCCCCTGGATGCCGTCTCACAGAAGCGCAAGGCTTCGGGCGAGGCGGAAAGCTTCACCAGTCACAAGAAGCAGAAGAGCATCTCTTCCGAGGTGGCTGGCTTGCAGCTTTAATGACACGACCCTCGACGAGGAGTGTCCCCCACATTACGAACAAGGACGGCATAGTTGGAGCTATCCCTGGCCTTGCTAATGTTGCGAGATCAACATTGTTTTCCTTTGTCTTTCTTAATCTGGGCGCAGGAATAGACTTGAATCCTGAGGTACCTAGCGTTACTAACACCCAAGGCGCGACGGCGTCTGTCAATTCACTCTCAAGCGGAGGCGTTCTTAGCAGCGGGGCAATCAAAAAGTTTCTTGAATATCAATTGCGCATACTGTGAAAGCCACCTAATGTGAAGTGTCAGGTTTGGATATCAGCCAACAGCAGATCAATAACGGCACACCGGTGCTTCGCCACGTTGAAACCCACCATGACCGGACGGGTGTTCGTTGGAGGTGTGTAAAATACATGAGCAGACAGTGTGATACAATCTTATGGCTTCATCGGCCGTGGGGCGACTCAGATCCAGCCATTCTGATCGACCACTGAGCGGGTAGTAGATAGTATGAATTACAACTTCGTTCACGGCCGAGGAGGTGCAGTTTCAGTTATGTATCGATATCTCGGTCTAGGGGTTAGCTGATAACAAGCAAAGCAACGCGCCTAGCGACGTGCTTTGGAATATCGCGCCAACGATTCCGAGCCCTACCGACTTCATTTACTTCCTGAAAAAGGGTGGTTGCGGCAATTCAAATATCTCTCCTGGGCTGAACAAGCCAGACTTCGGGACAAGTTCTGCCGAAGGCTTCGGTCGCTGCTAAATCTGGCTTCTTGTTAAAGCATGCTCGACTAGCAGCGCTTTCCGTCCGCTCTTGCCCTCTTCAGGGGCGATGTGCCGTACCTACCTCAAGAAGCCCGCGAAACCGGCCTGTCTCTGGACAAGAGCTCTTCAGAACAGGTAAATGCCCCTCTGTACATAGATACGATGACGGGGGAGGAAGGAGCCAGCTTTTTCTGAAGCTGTCTCCCAACTAGGGCGTCAATTACTGGCCAGGACATAAGAGCATCTCCATTTCCCTCAATTATAGCCAATCGCCGGATGAGGAAGCCCTCTAAAACTACAATTTCCGTATGGTCATCTTAGATGGAGGGCTCCGCACACAGGCTTTGAATTTTTATACTGATCACGATGTGGTTCTCTGACATTGAATAATATATCCGCTCGTTTATTTTGCTTCTGAAAGACTGCTAAAAACATACGAATCAATGTCTTACTTGCTCAAGCTGTGCTTGCATGTGGTGGTGTTCTTAAAGAGGTTGAACAATCGGCAACTAGCCTGCGTTTAGCCAAAGATGCTGAGGACATTGCCACTGATATGGACACTGGCTATATCTTTGCATTACCGAGCATGAATGCAAACTCCCATTTGCCTCATGCAGATGTAGTCTTGCCCTCGCCAAGTCATGGTGAAATCCAATGTACCGAGACCTGCACATCGAAATTAAGGCCTCCTGCGCAAGCATCATTGAGCGAGTCGCCCGATATGTGCGCTTCTAGTGACATTCGACTCGCTCAAAGTACTGTCGCTTGCTCTTGAAATTCTTGTTGTCGGTTGCCCGAGGTCTAGTACTTTGTGTCGTACAACTGTTACTCATTACTGAAGAATAGGTCACGATAGATGCGACCAACCCTAGTCAGTGAGCAAACGGCGGAGAAAGAAAATTTAAACCCAATATGCAAGACACACGCCTCTGACTGACATTGAATTATCTATGTGTGCTAAATCCCGGCGAATGATGCAATACCTTACAGGACATGCTTTTCTAAAGCATGTGGCAGGACTGATCGTGATAATCGATGAGTTGCTCTTTCCATCTGACCTCTGCCCAGTCTTTCGGATTTCAGAATGTATTTTAGTACCTGTCCACTATAATGATCGTTCCTTCTGTTTTTGTGAATATCATAACGAGAAAACCTTTCGGCTTGGGAGGCTGGCTGCACCTACACTCGCTTTAAACATCGCAGAAGGCCTTGAATATAAGCTTATCTAAAGTAGAAAAGAAGCCCCGCCGACTGAGGTGAAGGATGCTTTCTTTCTAGTTCTCACGCTCCTTCCCGTCCCGCTCAATCATGCGAACAACAGATGAAGGCTGGAGAGTCTTCGGGCCGAAAATATTTGTCAAGAGCACAAAATGAATATAAGAGCAGTTGAGTAACTCTGTGTAATAATCATAATTGTTTGAACTTTCTCCAATATTTGTCTCTCCACCACCTAGTTGTCGTCACCTAGGCAATGCAATGGCTGCAGAGGCTAGGGGGATATGAAGTCGAGGTAATAGAGGTAGATTTAAGTGACATCTCTTAGGGTTACTAGCTTCCAGCTATTTTCGTGGGCTCCTTAGTGCTTTATTATTATGCTCCTTGTCACTTGAGTCCTTGGAAACTCCTCTAAGATAGAGACTTATTACTTCTTACCGCTTAATGTTAATACCTAGTGAATATATAGATTTAATCCAATTACGACATTAGGGCAATACTATATAAGTGACTTTGCTTAATACTTATGCTCTCTGTACTAATGTTCGTCTAATGTGAACTACTTCTGTGGGTACGAAAGAGCTCGAGTCGGTGCCGGCCTTTGAGGTTAGAAACAATTATTTCTGGTCTTTAAAGATATGGTCTCGTGGCGCAAGTGAGTAAAGCTCTTCTCAACATCAAAGCATAAAGCTAACCCCCCCAACGTGGCCGCGCGTCAGTTTCCGGTATAGGACTTGCATACTGAAGGTTCCAGGTTCGAGTCCTGGCGGGATCGTGCTATTTTTTTTATAGTGACATTCCAATTTCACTAGAAACCGAAGTAGAAAATTTTATAAGTATCTAATTAAATACCTCTATCATAACAAGTTTTTATTATTTACTCTTTAGACTCAAGTAGATAAGTGAATCACTGTCTGATTAGTGTTGGAGTGTTGAAGGCTGATAATGGCCGATGCTGCTCCTTGCCAATTGTGACAACCGTGGGGTCGCGCCTTGCGCCCCGACAAATGCATGCCCCCGGTCGCGGACGCAACCCCGATTGCCCGTGCCTTCCGGAAGCGCCGACTCAGCCCAGCTGACGTTGCGGCAAGCGCAACAGGTGTTGTCACGGACTGTCATGTCGCCTCACGCCGTTCCGCGACCTGTATTGTTTTGATCATTACCATCCTAGTCTTCCTACGCACACACAAAGAAGAGAGAGCCTGCACTTGGGTTTCTCGCTTTAATATCTTCAGCTCCAGCATCAGTGCAGCTGGCCAGTTGATCAGTGGCACTGTCACCGCCCGTCGTCATCGAGGTGACCCACAGTCCGACCACCGCCTGACTCTCTCCCTTTCTTCTGCATCCCCGGCATCGCACCTACATAATACCTCGAGTGAAAAAAAAAAAACCCCGTCAACATGACTTGGGAACTCACCAAGCGTCGCATTGAGCGCACCGTCAACCAGAAGTTCATCTTTGGCAGAATTGTACGTCCCTTCCGTTGGTGCTACCACCGCGATCGCTCGATTGCCACTCCACCCGGCGAATCCTTATCACTAACTTCAAATTTCTCCAACAGCCTCTCCTTCACACCATTATACTTTTCATCGAAATGGCTCTCGTCGCTCGCCTGACGGCCAGGTACAATGCCTACTACGATGAACGGCCCGTGATGACTATGATGGTCACGAACGCCATTCTCGGTGGCATTGCAGACACGGTCGCTCAAACCATCACATCCTACACCTTACGCGCCAACCAAAAGTTGGATGGCATCTCGAAGCGCGACGACATCTCAATCGAAATTTCCGATCTCGACCGCAAAGCCTCCTACTACGAGAAAGAATTCCTCCCTGGCCAGCAACCCCCCCCGCCATTCGACTTTGAGCGTCTGACGCGTTTCATGGCGTACGGTTTTTGCATGGCCCCGGTCCAGTTCAAATGGTTCCAGTTCCTGGGCCGCGTCTTCCCGATCAGCAAGACCAGTGCTTTCGGGCCAGCGATGAAGCGCGTCGCATTCGACCAGCTCATCTTCGCCCCGGCCGGTCTGCTGGTGTTCTTCACCACAATGACGGTCGCCGAGGGAGGTGGCCGTCGCGCGATCAGCCAGAAGTTGCGCGACATGTACATCCCCACTCTCAAGGCCAACTACATTGTGTGGCCGGCTGTGCAGATTGTCAACTTTCGTTTGATGCCTGTGCAGTTCCAACTGCCATTCGTCTCGACCGTTGGTATTGCCTGGACTGCCTACCTTTCGCTGTCGAATAGCTCGGACTAAGGTCGGTAAGGCTGGAAGACGGAAACTCTACATTTGCGTGCTGGGCTGTTTTTTTGGCGTTGATCAAATTATGACTTCACTCCGTATCCCCTTTTATATGGCGTTGGTAGCCCTAGACGGCAATTGATTTTTTTTTTGTATGTACAAGTGCACAGTCCCGATGCAAGCTCGTGCTCGGCTAGAATAGGAGCTCCTGTCAACAAGTAGCCAGAAACCGGGTAGATTTGTATTAAGCCAATGAAACTTGCTATTTCCTCGACCCAGAGTGCATAATATTGATAAGCTACCTTGGAGAGGTAAGGTATGCCACAAGGTGCGCCTTATGGACGTCACCCTCGACCCCACCATGCGTGGCTTCACCACCCGCCCGTAGCTTCCATAGCTGCGCTCTTTTCTCCGTCACCACACAACCATCACCAACACTGACCAATCCATACAGAAACATTTCAAAATGTCTCTCTCCAGCAAGCTCTCCATCACTGACGTCGACGTCAAGGGCAAGCGCGTGCTCATTCGTGTGAGTTCTTCTTCTGGTTGCCCCGCCATGGAGGGGTAGTCTGGGAACGCGTTTCTAACGGCATCTAGGTCGACTTCAATGTGCCTCTCGACGAGAACAAGAAGATCACCAACAACCAGCGCATTGTTGGAGCTCTTCCCACGATCAAGTATGCCGTCGACAATGGCGCCAAGGCCGTAGTCCTCATGTCCCACCTCGGCCGGCCCAATGGCGCCGTCAACGAAAAATACTCGCTCAAGCCTGTCGTGCCCGAGCTCGAGAAGCTCCTGGGAAAGAGCGTGACCTTTGCCCCCGACTGTGTCGGAAGCGAGGTTGAGCAGATTGTCAACAAGGCCGAGGGTGGCCAGGTTGTCCTGCTCGAGAACCTGCGCTTCCACATTGAGGAGGAGGGCAGCGCCAAGGACAAGGAGGGCAACAAGACCAAGGCGGACAAGGCCAAGGTTGAGGAGTTCCGCAAGGGCCTCACTGGTCTGGGTGATATCTACATCAACGATGCCTTTGGCACCGCCCACCGTGCTCACTCGTCCATGGTCGGCGTTGACCTGTCCCAGAAGGCCGCTGGTTTCCTCATGAAGAAGGAGCTGGACTACTTTGCCCAGGCTCTCGAGGCCCCTCAGCGTCCCTTCCTTGCCATCCTCGGCGGCGCCAAGGTGTCGGACAAGATCCAGCTGATTGACAACCTGCTGGACAAGGTCAACACGCTCATCATCTGCGGCGGCATGGCCTTTACAATCAAGAAGACCCTCTACGATGTGGCCATTGGCGACTCGCTCTTTGACGAGGCCGGCTCCAAGCTCGTGGAGGGACTGAGGAACAAGGCTCAGGAGAAGGGTGTCAAGATTGTCCTGCCTTCGGACTACATCACGGCGGACAAGTTCGCCAAGGACGCTCAGGTTGGCAAAGCATCTGATAAGGAGGGCATCCCCGAAGGTTGGATGGGTCTGGACTGCGGCGAGGAGTCGATCAAGTCGTTCAAGGAGGTCATTGGCGAGGCCAAGACCATTCTCTGGAACGGTCCTGCCGGCGTCTTTGAGTTTGACAACTTTGCCAACGGCACCAAGGCCATGCTCGACGCTGTCGTCGACGGTGCCCAGAACCAGGGCAAGATTGTCATTATCGGTGGCGGTGACACCGCTACTGTGGCCGCCAAGTATGGCGTCGAGGACAAGCTGAGCCACGTTTCTACTGGCGGCGGTGCCTCGCTGGAGCTGCTCGAGGGCAAGGAGCTGCCCGGCGTCACGGCTCTGTCGAGTAAGTAGACGGACAGAGGGATATATATCAGTAAAAAGAACGTTGTTGACGGGATAGGCCGAAGGAGATCATCTAGTTTGTGACCTAGGAACAATAGAATCCCCTTTGTATCGTCGTAACTCATGTCATGATTGTGCTTGTCTATTTCCGCTTGCCAGCCTCGACCTTTTGTAGCTCGGCCCTGTGGATGCGTGTTAGTACTTCGAATTCGTCCTGGGCGTCAAAACGTACTTGAGCTGCTGCGAGAAATCGTCGCTCGTGTCGTCATCGTCCCAGCTCTCCTCCCACAAGTGCTTGCTCGACTCGCCCTGTGCTGCGGCCTCGGTCTCGTTCTCTGGCCAGTCTGAGGAAGTCAGCGTGAGCTCGTTTCAACGGACAGATGCGGCACGCACCTTCCACAGGAAAGTCCTCGAACTCGTCGTCCTCGCCAAGCGCTGCGGGTTTGGCGGTCTTGGTCTCTTCGGGCTTTTGCTCGGCGGCAGTAGGTGTCTCTGTGGGCTTGTCGGCGGCCATGGTTGCGGTGTGTGGTGTGCGATGTGAGTTGGTGCTGGCGATGGCGTCGCGTTGATGATGATGGAAGCTTGGTTGCCTGTGGAAGAGAGAAGGTCATGGTGGGGCAGTCGGTCTGTCCTACCCGGATCCATGTGTGGCTGGTGTGCGCTGTGGCTGCTTTCGCCGGACCGACGTCATTGGTGCAGAAGTCGCGTTCAGATCAGGATCTTGACCACGAGACGATCATGAGCTGCTGCGACGAGGGACGGCCGGGCACGGTGAGCCCATTTTCTCCTCTTCGTCTCACGCATCTGCAGCTCCGCACCAAACAACAGAAACCCTTGCCATGGACGTGTTGCTCTCCATCCCGCTCATCTCAGCGGTGCTGACACCGTCGCTGTCTACATCTGTCAACATCCTCTTCTTCTATGCGACGTGGTCGGCCCTGGTGCTGAGCCACAAGCCCGAGGCGATCCATGCCACGTCTCTGCTCGTCTTGCGAGTGATATTCTGGCTTGCGCCGTCCTTATTGTTCCTCGCTTTCGACTTTGGCATACCGAGCGTGGCGGGGAGCATCAAGTTTGATGGCGCCAAACGGCTTCCGCGCAGGCCCCTGAAGCTAATTGGGCTCGCCACGTTTAACATGCTGCTCGTCGTGGCCGTAGAAGCCGGCGTGAGCTGGTTGTACACACTTGCGACAGGAAATACGCTGTACAAGGTATCAACGACGCTGCCGCTGCCGTGGCAGATGTTTAAGCAAACGGCCATTCTGTTCACGGCGCGGGAGATGCTCACATACTACATTCACCGGTATCTGCTGCACGAGGGGGCTTTAGTGCCGCTCCTAACGAGGCTGCATACTTCGTACTCGCACGGGGAGCCGGTTTGCGCGCTGCAGCTCTACGCGGATCACCCTCTTCCGCTGGTCATCTACCACCTCGTGCCGGTCCTGCTTCCTGCATTCTTGCTCCACCCGCATCTGCTCACGTATCTGGCCTTCACGCTGCTCACGACCATTGAGGGTACTCTTGTCACGTCCGGGTACAGCATCGTCCCCGGTATCTTCCTGGGTGGCATTGCCCGCCGCACCGCCAGGCATTACGCCAGCAGGGGCACGGCAAACTACGGGGCGTGGGGAATTCTCGACTGGGCGCATGGCACAAGCAAGGGCAAGGACGTCATGGACGACGCTCAGGACGAGGCCGACAAGCACAACCTAAAGGAGCGTTCGTCTGCCAAGCTGAACGATGGCGCGGGGATGGTGCAAGATGGCGTCGACACGTTGCGGAGGAGCACCCGGAAGAGGACCCCCAAGAAGAACTAATACTGTATGTCTATATTTGTCTCAGCTGGCTGGCTTCTTGTTTAATGCCATTCCTTCTTCGCTCTGAACCACTTGAGTGTCTCCAAGCCTGACTGTACCTTGAGGCCGATCCGCATGTCTAGTGTGAATGCCTCCCAGTTCTTCACCTTCTCCAGTTGCGTAGCGCACTCTTCTAATTTCTCTTTCCTCATGGCATCGTCCTGTGCCGCGCCGCACTCTTCCCATGCAATGGCACCCACCTCGTACTCTGCGGCAGGGAGTACAAAGTCGTTCTTGGTAGCGCCTTTGAAGACAGCTCGGTCGTGTATGAGGACGTGTTCGCTGAGATGGCTCCTCGCTGCCACGTATTCGCCCTGCTGTCGCTTGACAGAGGACAAGCAGACGGCCCAGGTGCCCATCTCATCGAGCTCGCTCCTCATGAGCTCGACGCCCTTGTCGCCGCATGTGCAGCGTTCCCAGCTCAGCGTGTCGACGGCCTTGGTAAGTTCCTTCTCATTCATCCTCTTTGTCCCGTTCCAGAAGTATGTGAGTTCCATGGCGGGACTGACGCCAATGGCGTCAATCACGTCCACGCCCAGCTGAGCGGCGCGCTCCTCCCAGCGCTGTAGACGTTTCTGTAAAAAGACCTCAAAGGGGAGTTTGCCGGCCATGAGCTTCTTCCTGCCGACGACTGTGGGCGCCTTCTTGAGATACTCGTCCGCCGCAGCCTTTTGCCGCCTGCTCTCGTCCTCGTTGCCGTTGCGCCTGGCGTCACGGTACATTTCGATACAGGCGCAGCCGGCCATGAACCAGTACAGCGCTGGAGACCAGTCATTGGTCTCGACGGCTTTGAGGAATGCGTCGCGCATGACGGGCCAGTCTTGCACATACATGCCAACCAGTGCCAGTTCAAAGTCGTTGAGGGCGGCGACCTGCCTCATCTTGGGTGCCTTGCCGGTCGTGAGCAGCTTCATCGCCTCACGCATCCTGCGCTCGATAGAGAGGCGGCGGGACTCTTCGACCTGCCAGAGGCGCGAATCTGGGTAGCGCTCGCGCATGGTGGCGAGGAGACGCGCGCACTTTTCGCGCGGAGGACCGACGGTTTCGGCGGCTTCGTCGTAGTCACGCTCGTGGGGAAGGACGTCAACGATGCCCAGGAGACTCTGATAGTAGCCCAGGAGAGTCATACCCGCGACGGCACCGTTGATATTGTCATGGGTCGAGGATCGCCACAGCATGCCGACGCCTTGTGCGCGGTCGCCTCGGAAGCCGACCACGGAGAGGATCCTGGCAAAGGAGGGCGGCACCAGTGTGAGCATAAGCATGAGGATGCCGAAGCACATGTTGGCGCCGCTATGGATGAAGACGTCGACGGGATCCGTCATAAGAAGCTCTGTCTCGATCGGTGGTTTCATTACTGGGAGACTTGTTTGTTCCTCGTCTGAGCTGGATGGCTCCGGTGTCGTCTCGGCAGTGATGAGCTCCTTTTTCTCCTCGACCAAGGGGGTCAGCGTCTCCTTTGCATCGACGAATACCTCGGAGCCGCTGTCGTCCGTGTCGCGCGGCGTGTTCTTGCCACTCGTGCCCTGGTCTGAAAAGGCACCTCCCGGGGTGGCCTCGCCAATAACCCCGTTTTCAATCTGGATGATGCCGTCGAGCGTCAAGAAGGCCTTGCGTAGCTTGTAGAAGCTCTTCATCGCCTCCACCAGGCTCTCGTGCAACACGCCGACGACGGCGCCCATGAGCCAGACCTCAGCCCGGATGAGCTCGTACTCTGTGCCTGCTGGGTACATGCCGTTTCCGTCCACCCTCTTGCCCCTCCTCACGGCCATTTTGGCATCCTCAAAGGCCTTGTTCTCGCAGGCGTTGAGCATGTCCGTCGTCTCTGCCATGATGGACTTTTCCATGCCCAGGACCGAGCGCATGAAAAAGGCCACCGCTGCGCCGAGGGAGTGGAAGGACGAGCTCCCCTTGCGTAGCGCCTCGTACGCGGCGTCAATGTCATCGTTCATGATGAGCTGCGCGTAGTCCAGCGCCTCGACGAGGTCTCTCCTTTCCTTCTCCGGGTTCGCATGGTCAGATTTGACATTGGCGCGCAGCCAGCCGCCCAGTTTGCTCATTTTGGTCGGCGAGCTTGTCTGAGCAAAGTCATCCCCCATGCGCGTGCTTTGTGCACTTGGTAATACGTGTCAGCGCTTATGTACCAGAGACCCTGGAACCGCTTGCGCCCTCAGGGTCGGATAGTCGGATGTTTCCCAAATCCCGCTTGAATACGTACGTTGCGGAATGTGGGTGCCGATGTGGCTGAGTGGCTCGATGACGTTGGTGAAACAGAGTGGGATACGTAGGTACTGTGTGCTGATGAGGCTTTTACTTGCACAATGGGGAAAAGGGTCCGGACGCACGCGTCGAGGGGCTTCTTGTTGTCGTCTGTGCCATCATTGTAGGTGGATGCTCTGCAATGATGCTAGTTGGGTGTCACAGCCTCACAGGCAGCATGCTGACAGCGTCTGCGCTCTGCAGGTAGAAAGAGGCCCGATGCGGACAAGATCCTGCTAATCCAAGATATGTGTGTGTGAATCCAAGTTTTCATTCCATCACCGATAATCCATCCGCAACATGGCTACGGCATCTTCTCGAAACGCATCCTGACGGTGGGGCGACAAGCGAGTGGTCTTCGTCACCTCGAAACCACTGGTCAATCCAAACGGACCGCTCCTGGTTCGCAGCGATGTCGACGCGCTGATCTCGGAACTCCGTGCTCTCGACGACGGTGACGTCTGGATGCTGGGCGGTGGTCAACTGCAGATGGCATTCATGGAGCGCGACGCGCTGGACGAGGTGGAAATCTACGTGACGCCGGAGATACTTGGTGGTGGACAGCCGCTCTTCCCGCTCACGGGTCTCCGGGCGAGCACTATAATGATCAGCGCGACGGCGCTCGACAAGCGTTGCGTGCGGCTCCATTATCAAATGTGACGCGGAGACTGATCGCGAGTCTGAGTGAAGGTGAACTTTACTGTTCCGGACCTGCCCTGTAGTGAAGCAGTCGGACGAGGCTATTCTACTTTCTCTGCCCGCAAGATAGGGCAGGCCACGTTTTCTGCTATTTCATTGCCCGGCTATAATCAGGTAGGGCACATGACATTCGCCAGGTGAAAGCCGTCATCGACTTGCGACAAGCATTGCAAAGGGGTCTCTTTTAAATGAAGTCTAATCACGGAGTGGCACCTGACCGTGATGTTCGTCTTGCCACACAGAAGCCCCACGGTAGCAATTTGCATGTGCTCCAATACGCTCAGCCCATCCTTCCTGATTAAGATGATATCAGTCCTTCTCCAAGACAGTGTAACCAATATGCTTTCTGGAACACGATGTGGTGTTTAATGTCACGTTGCCCAAGACGCCCCTTTTCCGTCGACCCAATCACCGCCACGGACCCTCAGGGACATGGACACTGCCGTCCCGTCTGCCACCTAAATTAGGCGGTCTACCCCGCTGTATCCGGCGCCCGAGCCGCATTCGCAGCCCCTGAAGAGTAACACATGTCTGGGTTCAGTGGTGCCTTGACAGTGGACAGCTGCCTGCCAGAAGCAAGTGGCCTGTGAGCCCCTGACCTGCCCGCGGATCTCTGCGCGCGTGGAGTGCAGGACTCGGGAAGATTAGAATTAGCTGTGCTTCTTTTCCCCTTCGACCTCTGCCGTGCCGCTGTCTCTGTCTGTCTTGACTCACCGCAGTGATCCAGACTGAACTTCTTCATTGCTGTACTCCCGTCTCGCCTCCGAAACGCAGAGCGAGCGAGCAGAAACCATCCTCGCCTTGCTTCTGGCCCCCGCCTAGCTTCCATGCACTAACTAGTTCCAACTCCTGCAGCCGATCAGGCACAATCTGCAGCCAGTCCACCCACCGACCGACGCAAGGGACTGGACCTCCTGCATTGGGGGACTGGACGTGGCCAAGCGACCGGACGGGCCATTTGCTCGCCTGACGTCTGTTTCACTACTATAAGAGTCCTCAAGAGCCATGGCGTCTCCGCCACTGCCCACCGATGCGCCATCGATACCGACGCGCACACGCTTTAATTCAACGACGACGCACGGCGCCAGCACCAGCAGCTCGCGACGACGATCGGTTCAAGGCGGCGCGGTCGGTTCTGCGAAGCGCCAGAGCATTCCCCCAGCAGGCGGCCCCGAGGTCATATCGAGCTTGATCACCAGCTTGAGCGGCATCTCGAAACCAGCAGACGACTATTTTGAGGGCAAGCACGCGACCTCGGGCGGATACACCCCAAGCGCTACGCACTCCTCCCCAGCCTCGCCCAGCGGGGGCAGCAGGTCCGCCCTGACGGGCAGCTTTGGCGTGGACTACGGCGCGTACCGCAAGCCGAGTCTTCCCAACCTTCGCGAGGAGTCTCTGTCACTCGATGAGATTGCCGCCTCTGCACCCGTAATCCGGACCTCGAAGCCCACGAGCGGCTACTCGCCCCTGAGTCCGCCAAAGACCCCACGGAGCCATTCGAGCCGAGAGAACAACGGAGGCCTGCGGTCTTTTATGCGCAGCAGCAGCACGCCGTCCCGACCGTCCACGTACGACCACAATGATTCACAGAGCATTGGCAATCTCTCGATAGAACGTCACTCGACGTCCGACCAGCCGGACCTCCACCGTCGACGATCGGCCGACAGCTGGGGGCGTAAAGCCAGCCGCAGCGCAAAGGGGCTCATGTACATGAGCTCCAAGGAAAGACTGCGCGAAAAGGGATCTGGCACGGGTCTCGGCAGTGACAAGCCAGATCCATTCCTGGCTGAAACACCCATCAGCGAGGAACCCATAGAGACCATGTCCAAGACCGACAGCCCGCGGCCAATACCGCATCGCGATTCGAGCTTGCGGCCCAAGAGGTCGAGCGGGCGGAAGCCATCCGTCGACGATGGTCGCAAACCACGGAGGCCACCAGCGAAACTGGACCTCCACGAGGGTCGAAGCTTCTTTTTGGGGCCCGATGAACACGACCCCGCGGCGTCTACACCGAGGAGCAAGCAGTTTCTCGAGTCGATCCGCGACGACTATCTTGCATTTGATGCTCACACACCAGGGAGAGAGGAGACTGGAGATGGAGCACCATTCCCCGCCGTGCCACAGAGCAAGAGGCGCTCACAACAGAGCCTAGAGAGCGGGTCGAGGCGTCGTTCCGCGCCGCAGAGCCCCGATGGAAAGCCAAAACGGAGCAATTCGCGACTGGCGCGACTGTCGAGGCAGAGCAGCCCCGAGCCCAGGACGATGCTTGACTTGGACGACGGGGCCCCTCTCGACCGAGTGGACTCGGCTGATTCGATCGACGACGCTGTGGACTCGTACCTGTGCTCGCCGCGGCTCTCGCAGAAGATCAAGCATCCGCAGACGGGCCGAGTCATCTGCTTCTCCGAGGTGGGGGACCCCGAGGGTTCGGCAGTCTTCTGCTGCGTGGGCATGGGCTTGACGAGGTACATCACGGCGTTCTACGACGAGCTGGCCCTAACGCTCAAGTTGCGTCTGATTACGCCGGACCGTCCCGGCGTGGGCGACAGCGAGCCTTATCCGGATGGGACAACGGTGCCTCTGAACTGGCCAGGTAAGTCTCCTGCACTTGTGGAGTAGGATGAATGCTCACAATGACAGATGACGTGTATGCCATCTGCCAGTCGCTCAAGATTACGAAATTCTCCATCCTCGCGCACTCTGCCGGCGCCATCTATGCTCTGGCGACAGCCCTACGCATGCCCCAGCACATTCGCGGCCGAATACATCTCCTGGCACCGTGGATTCCACCTTCCCAGATGAACGTCTTTGGGGGCTCGCAGATTCTGCCGCCCACACACGCCATCCCCACGTCGCAGCGCATCCTGCGGGCTCTGCCGACGCCCATGCTCAAGGTCGCCAACAGCAGCTTCATGTCAGCAACGAGTACATCTATCACAACGTCTCTACCGAAGAACTCGCGCAGGACCAAGCGGAGGTCAACCGGGCAGGTGAAGGAAATCCCACCTGGCAACAACAGAAATATCACGCCAGCTCCCGACAAGGAGGACGTGCCATTGGAGACAACGGGTCGGGCACAGAGCATGACAACCTCGCCTAAGCAGCGAACAGAGCCTCTACGCCCTTCGAGTGCAGATCGAGCCCAGACGGCCGCGCTAGACGCCATGGCAGACCAGGAGAGGCAGGTCACGTACGACACGCGCCTGACACATGCCATCTGGGAGCTAGCCACGACGGGCGCGAACCCAGCGGTGGACCTCCTCATCTGCCTGGAGCGACGGCACACGATCGGGTTCCGGTACGTGGACATTAACCGGCCGGTGACCATCCATCACGGCAGCCGCGACACGCGCGTGCCCGTCGACAACGTCCGCTGGCTGGGTAAGACCATGCGGCGGTGCGAGGTCCGGGTGCTCGAGGGCGAGGGCCACGGGCTCATGGCGAGCGCTACCGTCATGGGCAACGTGCTGATGGAGATTAGCAAGGAATGGGAGGACTGGATGAGGGTGACAGGCGCGGATGGGCGGAAGGAAAAGGAGCGTGGCCGTCGAGGCACCATCCGCGGATGGGCCGAGGGGCACAGGGACTAGAGCTCGAGGTGACGCGACGAGCGCATTTGATTCTTGTATATTTTCTTCTCATTGGTATACCCATCGTGTCTGGATAGATAATGTAATTCGATGAACATTGCCTGTCTATCTCTCCAGTGTGAAAGGTGCCCCACTATAAGGTAAACTTGGTCTTCGACCTGACGTAACTTTTTAGGCTCGCCTGTCACCACTACGACTATCCACCCACCTGTCAATCAACCACCATGGACAGCCTCGACGAATTCGAAAAGTCGCTCGCGGCTGACAAGGCCCAGCGCGAAAAGGAAGAGCGTCGTGAACGCAAGCACAAACACCACCACCGCCATCACAGAGACGACGAACGCGACGGTCACTCTTCCAGGCACCGCTCCCACCACGACCGCGACGATCGTCACAGACACCGAGATCGAGACGAACGGGGCCACCGGCGGCATCGCGATGATAGGGATGGCGATGGTGATGGTCATCGCCACAAGCGCTCGAGAAGAAGCAGAAGCCCGCGACGGAATGAGGCGCTCGACGTGAACGATCCCAAGGAAGACCTCCCCCTCCCCGACGAGGAGCGTCCCGCCGCCGAGAATGCGCTTGACCCTGCCCAGCCCAAACTGGAACGGGACTCATGGATGGCGGCGCCAGGATCTCTGGACGTCGATTACATTCACCGTCCCAAGGACAGGTCCCTACCCCGAAAGGAAGCTGAGCCGAAGCGCGAGCTACACCATCGAGAACTAAACCGAGGCATTGACGACGCGAAAAGCTCTTCCACCCCTGCGCCGTCCAAAGAAAGGATCATTGATTACGCATTTGGCGATCGCGGTTCGTCGTGGCGCATGACCAAGCTCCGGACCGTGATGGCAGCGGCAGAGGAGAGTGGCCAACCAGTGGAGCAGGTGGCTCTGGAACGCTACGGTAGTCTCGAGGACTTTGACGACGCGCGCGAGGAGAAGGAGGAGCTCGAGCGGAGAAGGGTCTACGGCACAGGCTACGAGGCGAAGGAGAAGCCGTCCGGGGAGCTGTACCAGGAAAGACTGCGCACCATCAGACATACCCAACCCCCGCTCGATAAAGCAGAGGAAGCACCACAGGGCACTGTCATCCCTGACGAGGTACCCGCTGCTGCGCAGGCCATGGACCAGACGGCCCTGAACCGACTGCGTGCCCAGATGATGAAGGCCAAGATGCGCAAAGCGCCGAATGCAGAGCAGCTAGAAGAAGAATACAACCGTGCGGCTGCCTCATTCCAAGCAAACAGACCGCCCGACTCCGTCGTCATTGGAGGCATGGAGAACCGCCATCTGGCCGGGACGCGCGGGGAGGTCAAGGCCGTCACGACGAGACGCGGTCGGGAGCGCGGCAACGTCGAGGAGAATGACGAGATGACGATTGAGGACATGGTGCGTGAGGAGCGACGCACCAAGAATATGGCCGGCGGCGAAGCAATGCGACAGGCAGAGCGGATCGCCAAGGACGGCAAGTTTGCGACGGACCTGGACTACATGGACGACAACGCGGCGAAGCTGGCCAAGAGGGTGCACAAGAGCGAGGCGAACCTCAAGAATGTCGCCGTGCACGAGTTCCAGAAGCTCAACAGGGTGCTGGACAATTGTCCGCTGTGCCACCATGACGAGAGTGGGAGGCCACCCGTGGCGCCGGTCATCTCCCTGGGCACGAGGACGTTCCTGACGCTGCCCACTGAGCCGGAGGTGAGTCCCGGCGGCGCGGTAATTGTGCCCACGACGCACCGCAAGAACCTGCTCGAGTGCGACGACGACGAGTGGGAGGAGGTTCGCAACTTTATGAAGAGCCTGACGCGCAAGTACCACGCCGCGGGCCAGGATGTTGTCTTTTACGAGAATGCCGCGGCGCCGCAGCAGCATCGACATGCCGCCATGGTGGCTGTCCCCATCCCTTACGAGGAGGGTGCCATGGTGCCCGCGCACTTTAAGGAGGCGTTCCTTTCGTCGGACGCGGACTGGTCGCAGCACCGGCCTGTCATTGACACGCTCAAGGCGGCAGAGGGGGGGCTGGGCCGGGCGGCGTTCAGGAAGAGCATCGCGAAGGAGGCGCCCTACTTTCACGCCTGGTTCACGCTGGACGGGGGCATGGGCCACGTCGTGGAGGACGGGGGTGGTCGGTGGCCCAAAGGGGATCTGTTTGCGCGCGAGGTCATTGGGGGCATTGTCAGTGCTGAGCCGCACATTGTCAAGAAGCAGGGTCGCTGGGAGAGGGGGCGGGACACTGCGAGGGCGGAGAGGTGGAAGAAGGACTGGAGGAAGTACGACTGGACGAGGGTTCTGGAGGAGTAGTGGTGGAAACAAATGTCAAATACTCATATCATTTTAGTAGCTCAGTCTAATCTAGACGACAGCCCTCTTGGACCACTGGTGCACGAGGCGCTCGCCCTCCACCTTGCGCAACTTCTCGTCAAACAGCCTGTCGGTCAGGTACTTGCGGATCCAGACGTCGGCGCCGTTGTAGTTGATGCTGTGGTCGCTGTCGGTAAAGGCAAACATGTGCATCTTTTCGGGGGGCACGCCCTCGGCGACGAGCAGGTCGATCATTGCCGCCGTGTGCTGGTAGTGCACATTGTCATCGCCGGTACCGTGCAGGACGGAGAAGCCGCCGGCCACGTTCTTGAAGCCGTCGACGTTGTGCACGGCCGTCTCGAGGTAGCCGTCCGTGTTGCCGTCGAGCGTCTTCATGTAGCGCTCGGTGTAGAGGGTGTCATAGAAGCGCCAGTCGGACACGGGCGCGACAATGAGGCCCAGGGTGAAGACGCCCGAGTCGACCTCGAGCGTCTTGGCGGTCAGGTAGCCGCCGTAGGACCAGCCAAACATGCCGACGCGGTGGGCGTCGATAAAGTCGTTCTGCGCAATGAGCTGCTCGGCGGCCCAGATTTGGTCCAGGGGCTCTAGCTTGCCGAGCTGCGAGGTGACGAGGGAACGGTACGCGCGGCCCTGCATGGCGGTGCCGCGGTTGTCGACCGTGTACGTGATATACTCGAGCTCGGGGTCCGAGCCAATGTACATGTTCCAGTTCATGGACTGGAAGCGCTTGGCGACGGACTGCGAGTTGGGGCCGCCGTAGGGCGTGAAGAGGACGGGGTACTTTTTGGAGGGGTCAAAGTTGGCCGGCAGGTTCTGCTGGACGTTCATCTTGTAGCCGTCGGGGTGCTCGAGCTCGAACCAGGTCACGCTGGGGATGCGGAACTCGGAGAGCGTCTCGATGAATTCGGCATTGTCCACGAGGGTGCGCATGGCCTTGGAGGTCGAATTGGTGGTGTACAGCTCCTGGTAGGGGACGTTGGGGCCGGCGTAGGTCAGGATGTAGTAGCCGCCCTCGGACGAGAACGAGGCAGACCAGTAGCCGGCAACCTCGTCGTCGACCAGGGGCGTAATCTCGTTGGTATTGTAGGAGACCTTGTACACGTGGCGCTCGGTGCTGTGGCGCTGCGCGGCCGAGTAGTAGATCAGGCTGCGCTTGGTGTCGATCTTGAGGATGGAGGCAACCTCCCAGTCACCCTTGGTCAGCTGGATGGCCTTGCCGCCCTTGACCGGGTACAAGTAGATGTGCGCCCAGCCAGACTCGTCCGACATGTCGACGTAGTACGTGTTGTTGCAGGACGACTTGAGGGGGCCAACGTAGCTGATGGACATTGTGTTCTCGAGCCACCCGTCCGAGCCGTCGCGCTCACGGACTGTCTTGCTCGTCAGGGAGACCGGGTCGACGACGACGTGGGCATCGTGGTCCTGGACGCGGTTGTAGGCGCGGTAGATGAGGTCGGTGTGGGTGTCCGTGACCCAGGCCACCTCGCCAATGACCAGCTCGTCCTCAGGGAAGGCATCGATCTCCACGGTCTCGTACTCGCCGGAGGCCACGTCGAGGATGTTCAGCTGGACAGTGGGGTTCTTGCTGCCGACCTTGGGATAGCGCAGGTCCAGCTCGTCAGGGTACACGGGGGCGAGCTCCTGGTTGTCCATGTAGTACGGGATGGTGAAGGTGCCGACACCGGTCTCGTTGAAGGACAGGAAAGCAACAAACTTGGCGTCGGGCGAGAACCACAGGGAGTAACGGTCGCCAAAGATCTCCTCCTCGTAGACCCAGTCGGGCACACCGTGGAACATGTCCGGGCCGCCATCGTTGGTGATCTGCGCGATGTCGCCCGTGGCATGGTCGCGGAGGTACAGGTTGTTGTCTCTCACAAAGGCAATGGCGTCGCCAGTGGGTGCCATCTCGGCATACTGGATGTCACCGACCTGGTCGTCCACCAGGGGCGTGGACTCGCCGGACTCGACGTCGAGGATGAAGTAGTCGGCAAAGTACGAGTGGCGGTACTGCTTGGTAGTGTTGGCCGACAAGAGCACGCGGGAGGCATCGCTGCTGATCCAGTACTCGCTGTAGTCCTCGGGCAGCTGGTCAGCCGGGACAAATGTCTCGGTGGTTTCCGTGACAATGTCCTCGAGGACGAGGTCACCATCGCTGTTGGTGGTGATGTACTGGCCATCGCTTCCGGCAGAAGACCAGGCAACAGAGATGGACCTGGGGCGGTAGACAGCACCCGGGACGGTCTCGTTGAAAGCGAGCAGGCGGTCGCCATCAGGTTTGGGGTGCCCAGGCGCTCGAGGAGGGTCGATGGCGGCAGCAACGCCAGCCGCAATGGCCACGGTCCAGAGGGAGGGCATCTTGAGAAACAAACATAGGTCGCGCGTGTAGCTCACAAAGAAAAGAAGTCTGTGGACGAGGCGGGCCTCTGGTATTATTATACAAGGCCATAACCCTTGCACCCAACTTACACGCGCTGCCCCATGGCCGGGACATGTTCTCCAAGGTGGGGCGAACGGGAGCAATTGGCCAATGTCCGGCCTTGGCTAAGGGGCCTTCCCGAAGAGATCAAGTGCCGACGAATTTGTCCACTCTTGGCTTTTGTCAGGTTGGTCAAAGGGCCCTTGGGATTGCATCAATAGACGTGTGCGACGGCTCAATCCACCCCGGTTGTCAGCGGCCCATCCAAGGAATCTTCCCGGGCCCAATCTCGTCGGCATAGCGACCTTCTGGAACAGGCCATGCCCATCTCCAAAAAGCCCTTTCCCGGCGCGTCCCGCACGCATTGCCGTTGTTGATGGCGATAAGAGCGCCAAGGTCAATCGATATGTACCTCTCAAGGTGGGTGACCAGGCGAGTGAGGAGGGTGGTGCGATGAGGGGTCGCGTGCCTGGAGTGAAGCGCGTCAACAACTAGAGAGATACGCGGGGGTGATGGATGGCTGAACGAACGACTGGAGGCTCTGCATGTTCCAGGTCGAACATTTAGAGCCTTCACAGCGATGATAAAGGTGAAGGTGAAGGCGATGCACGTGATTTTTGAGCTCCCTGATGGCGAAGGAAGGCGCGTCTTTGTGTATGCAATGCACGCTACTGTGCTAACAGCTGATGTTATGCGCCCACGCTGTTCCTGGTAAGAGCTCATCGCATCCACCTGAACCCTGAAAAAATATTTCCAATGGCACTCGCGACTTTCCCATCCTGCCCGCTCTTGCCCAAGCTTTCTGATTCACTACCGCCGTGAGAACCGTGTGAGCACCCCCACCAACAACCGCCCACGATGGAAAACGAAAACGAGCAGCCTCAAGAGCGTCGCGAGCCTCCTCGTCACGCCCAGTCCAACAATTGGCGCACAAAGAGCGATGTCACCGACTCGCCGCCCCCCAGCTCTGGATGGAGGGGCAAGGACACCACCAACGGAACCCGCACCAACACGCGCTGGGCTGAGCGACCGCAGCGATCGTGGGGCAACAGGACGAACAGTGAGGAGTCGAGTGCTCTCAGCGAGGGTCGCCGCATCTACGTTGGTAATATCCTCTACGATGTGCGCCCCGAAGACATCACCGCCGTCTTCCACGAGAATGGCTTCGCGACGCTCGAGCAGCTCCACCTGTCCACCGACCCAGTCACAGGCCGCAACCCGGGCTACTGCTTTGTCGAGTTCCCAACCAAAGAAGATGCGGATGCAGCCATTGAGCACATGAACGGCGTGAACGTTAGGAACAGGCCCATGAAGACTGGCCCATGCAACCCCAAGCCCCGTCAAACTCGTCAGAGTGACCGCCCGGCCTTTGACCGCTGGGGTGATTCACCTTCCAGAGATAAGCCCTCTGGCACCGCCGATGACACGTACAGGGTCTATGTCGGTGGTCTCGACGAGATGAGCGACCTGTCGCAGAATGAGGAGGAGCTTCGCGAGATGTTCAAGGACTTCAAAATGTACGTACATTCGCGTGTTTTGCCTGCCAACCTTGCTAACAACACACAAAGTGCCTCTGTCAGCAAGCGCATGACTCCCCACGAATCGACCCGCGAGATGCCCGGCAAGCACCACTACGCGTTCGTCGACCTGGTCAACCGTCAGGAGGGCCAGGAAGCCATCCGCGCCCTCGACGGCACCGACTGGGCTGGGTCCGCCATCAAAGTCAGGGAGGCAAAGCAACTGCAACGTGACAACAACAGGAGCAGGGGAACAAGATATGATTCATCCAACATCCCTCTATAACACACTACTCTTTACTCTAAGCCGCGCGCCCCACCGGGGCAGCATCCGCACCAAAGTACTTTTCCAACTCGCTCTCCATCTCGTGGCCATCAATGTGACGCATCTCCTTGGACCGCTTGACCGGGTTGACATTGTCACTGTGGGCCGATGCGAAGATAATGTCCAGCTCCTCCAGGCTGCGCCCACGGGGTTCGGGGAAGAAGAAGTAGACGCTGGGGAGGATGGCCGCGTTGAAGACGGCGAACATGACATAGGTCTTGTAGCCGAGGTTGGCAAACGCAGGTGGTGTGATCATGACAATCAAAAAGTTGGACAGCCAGTTGGAGCATGTCGACAGGGCGTTGGCCTGGATACGGATGCGCAGGTTAGTGATCTCGGCAGGGTACAGCCAGGTCATGCCCAGCCATCCGATGGCGAAGAAGGTGTTGAAGACGAACAGGAAGACCGTGGCCGTGACACCGAACCGTACCTCGAGCTGCGGCGCGCCAGCATCGTCGACCTCACCAGTGGACACAGTACCGGCAAGGATCGCCATGGACGCCATCATGCCAAAGGCACCGAACAGCATGAGGTTTCGTCGACCGGTCCTCTCAATCAGCGGCAGCGCAATCAATGACGCGAGGAAGTACTCGGTACCGTTTGCCGCGGCCAACAACCTCGACATGGCGGGGTCAAAGCCAAGAGAGTTTTCGAAGAGGAAGGTCGCGTAGTAGGTGATGAGGTTGATGCCACAGATTTGCTGGAAGAACTGACTCATCATGCCAAGGAGTGTGCGTCTGAGGTTCTGCGATGGGCCGTTGGTCAGCAGCTCCTTGTACTTGAAGCCGCCGCCGCGAGACTGGACCTCGAGGGCCTCGGTGATGGCCTGGATCTCCGTGGAGACTTCATCATCGTCAATGGGCTTGCCCAGAAGACGAGAGGTAACCTCGCGGGCCTCTTCCATGCGTCCCTTCATAGCAAGCCAACGAGGCGAGTCGGGAAGGTACAGCAGGCCGATCATGACGACGATGGTGAAGAAGGACTGGAAGGCGATGGGGAACCTCCAGCGGACGGAGCCCTCGAGGAAGTAGAAGCCATAGTCGACCCAGTACGCAATCATGATACCGCCGGAGATGAGCGCGCCGGAGATCAAGATGAGGAAACCACGCTGGTGAGGACGGGCGCACTCGGATTGCCATGTAGGAATGGTAGACGTGACCATGCCGTTGCCGATGCCTCCGACGATACGACCGACGATAAGCAGGGCATAACCGTTGGCAGCGGCCTGGAAGATGGTGCCGATGATCATGATGAGGGAGCCCCAGAAGGTGGACGACTTGCGGCCCCAGACCTCGCCGTAGAAGAGAATCAGGATGGCACCGAGGAAGCATCCAATCTGGTAAATGGCCACGCCGGCGGCCTGGGTGTTGGGGTCACCCGTGCACATGGTCGGGTCCGGGTCGCCGTTCGGCAGCCAGCATAGCGAGTTGGCCCTGTCGCGGGGCGTCATCAGGGGAATGCTCTTTTGGAAGTCGTCCAGCGTGAGGAGGGCGCTGAGCACGCCCTGGTCATAACCGAACATGAGGAAACCGCACGAGGCGATGAAGCCAATGCTGTAGTTGAGCACGGCGCCCTGGAGGTGTTTGCCGCGGACCTTCCACTCGGGAAGATCGCCCAGCCTGGAGAGCATGCCCACGATACCAGTCTGCTTGGTGGGGCCGGTGGGCGTACGGGGGTTGGACTTTTCATTCTGGGCGTGGTTGACCTGACTGCCAGATGAGTTGTCAGTGGCGTCGTTGCCGGCGAGGACGCCGTCTGTACGGGAAGTCTTTTCCGCCATGGTGGTTGCAAGTCGTGTTACTACTACTCTGCCATGTGAGATGGGGATGGGGTGGCGGCACCGCGTCTCTTATACAGATGAAGAGTTTGTCCTGGAGTATTGGAGACCCCAGACACGCGAGATTGTCGGTGGATAAGGCACGTCATGGGCCAAGGTCAGCCTCCCGAATTGGAGGGTGGTCGGTTGGCGCGCTGTTCTTGGCTGTAGCCTGTGGGTGGGCGCGCGCGCACCTGGATGGGTTCACCGTTTAGGCTTTGTGTTTTCCCCTGCAGGATTATTATCTACACGGTTATGCGATTCGGAACCGGAAAGCCTTGTTCGGAAGAGGGCTTTCGGTTATGGAAGAGCGTACGACACGGGCGTGGCCATCTGCTACGCATGTTCGTGTTCTTGTCTTCTTACATTACAGCCTCTTCCCATTTAGCAGTCGGCAATTGAAAACATCGAAGGGCTGTCGTCAATAACCGGGTTCCCGAATCGAGTAAACCGAACTTTGCCAAGCTAGCGGGTTCCACTCGGAACCCACGCCGGTGCAGTGCGGCAGCGGCATTTGTTGATCGATCGTCGTGGCTGGCCGGACTCGGAGACGGTACGGACCACGGTTAGGCTTAGGCGCACAAAAATTCTCCTCGCTTGGCTCGCTGACGTCAAGGGCGTTAAGCTTATTTTTTGGACGTCACTTAAGCTTAACCACCTCGACCGTCAGTCTAAGCGAAGACATCTACATTCAGGCACGTTCACGACCATGCGTACATTTGAGATGAGACGCCACTGGTTGTTTCGCGTAGAAAATATCTTTTTACGTGGTACGAGTCGAACGATGCCGATTTCACTTGTTGGAGCATCTGTGGATCCGTCCGTCTCTTGGCTTGTCTCTGTTGGATGGTCTTTGTCATATCTGCTGGGCCGCAGGAATGCGGTTTTCTAGCGCGGCTGACTCGCGAATTAGCATCAATTTTGCCGCTGTTGCTGGGACAGGGAGGCTGATGCCTGCTTGCGATCATCAACTCATTGACTGATTTGGCAAGTTCCGCCGTCCGAGTCCCGAGTACCACCGAGCGCAGAGTGTGATACCGGTGGACTCATCAACCACAGGGCCACAAATCACCACCACGCGGGCGTCGTGCTGCAACCGTTCACATGGATGATAGCGGCCCCCAGATTCATCCCCAGGCGCAATCTCCTCGTCTGGAGAGAAGGGAGCGTGGGCATTCTCCAGATTACCTGTTGGAGCAAGCCGTCAGCAAGTGGACGCACGGCTTGTCCTGAATCGTTAAGCCGTTAATATGAGCGGGTCAGCGAGAATGGTGGGTACGTATTCACAAAAGGACGCGGTTGGTGGTGTGTTTGGCTGTTGGGCGTTCAATTGGATTGTGGTCGTCTTGGCGAGGTTGGAGGACGTTTCGGGACCGAATAGTGAAGCGAGCGATTGCGATCAAAGAGGCTGACTCGTTCACGCGCTGAATCGACCAGTAAAGCTCATGATGACTCATGAAAGATACCCGCATCTACACTTAAGCATGTGAACAGTGAAGGTCCAGAAGTTTTTCAACCGGAGAATTAGTGTTGGTGGCGGATTTCGCGTCTGGGCGTTGTCTAATGTTGCCCGCTTGCGTTCGGTTTTCCCGCTGGCGCTATATGGATACGATTTTTTACGAGCAGCGCAGAAGAAACGTTACATGGTGTCTCCAGTAGGTGGAGAGGGAAAATGTTTCACGACAGGAATGGAAGACGACTGTGTTTTAATTCACAGACGTTGAGCGCAAGAAACAAAGGCGGGTGTGGGATAGGGTGGGCTACTGCTCTAGGTAAGACCGGCTAATAAGACAACGATAGGAAGATAAGGAATAATTCCCGTAATTGCCGAGCTAACCCAAATCGGAAGCCCCTGGATGAAGCCATCGTCAAATTTCCTCCCAGACGCGCCGCTACCGCGTGGTCACGTCAGGCCGCAGTGACGCGGCATGTCGCGCATTCCTACATCCATTTGACACCATGTATATATCCGCTCTTCTTTCTTGCCTTTTATGCGCTGTTGCACTGGCTAAAGACAAAGCCAAGACAAGCGGCACGGTGTGGGTGACGCCCCACGAGAGCTACTCCTCGTCCGTTGGTGTGCTGGGTTGCAAGATCAACACCGACCGTGTCGCGTACTGGCCCGCCTCCGTGGATTGCACCAACATCTGCGTGTCTCTCAGCTACGAGGACCGCGAGGTCAAGCTCCTCCGGATCGACCAGTCCCAGGGTGCCTACGATGTGAGCTACGACGCCTGGAACTGGCTCTACACGGGCAAGTCCGCGACGGACGAACCCACGGCCGGCGGCGCCGTTGAAATGGAGTTTGAAAATGTCAAGGCGTCCGAGTGCAAGAGCCTCATCGAGACAGAGGGCAAGAAACTGCCCCTCAGCGCGGCCAACAGCATGAATTTCCTGGCAAGTTGTCTCGAGGACGAGAACAGCTGGGTCGCCGAGAATTATGTTCTCTTCAACATTGCCGATCCCATCTGCTCACGCGGCCACGACGAGGAGTGCGACCTGGACTGGCCTGATGCGAACCAGGCTACGTGCCCGCACACGCTGGGCGATGCGCCAGAGCTCAAGGACGACCCTGTGTACAACGTGCGGTACCCTACCGGAGAGCGGTATGAAGCCTCGACGGGGTTGGACGAAGATGATGCGGCGGGTAGTGTGGGCGTGTGGGCTGGCCTGCTGGCGGCGATGGCAGTGTTTGTGATGGTTTGAGGTTCTGGCAAGCGTCGTGCGAGCGAATCCGAGTGATACCCGATTGTTTCGTCTTTCTTCGAGATATACCTGTTTGAGCTAATTTGAGTTCCGCGTCAACCAAGCTCTGTGCTCCTTCGCGGCTGTTCTTCGGATGCTGTTGATGGTGTCCGGTACGGGATACCAGCCTTCGCAAGTCGTGGCCGTTCGGCCCATTGGGTCGCCACACGCAAGAGCCGTCGCGCTGTGAGACAATTGGTGATGGATGTGTTTGACATTACTGAGTGAGCAACTTGTGGGCTTTCGGATGTAACCAGGGCAAACCATTGCTGTTTCGATTAGCGCAGGATCGCTTCTGGTCAGTCATTCACCCATTCTCCATCCTGCCACTGGCTGAGTCCAGCTGCTGACCAGAGCAATACCTGCTCTCGCAGGTCTAGTGAATCAATGGTTTCTAAGAGTATAAGACGGAAACAGAAGCCGGTCGAACCAGAGGAGCAGATGCGCCAGGACAAACTACACAATTCACCATGCATCCATCGTCTCTACTGCTCGCCGCTGCCTCAGGGGCTTCGGCTGCCCCCGTGTTCGCCGTCTACTTTGAACAGTGGCATACAGCATCCCTCTCCGACCGCGCCACGACGGCCGGCGTCACGCATATCATCACGGCATTTGCGCAGTCCACCATCTTCAACTCGGGCACGTGGTACACCCCCTTCATGCCCCTCGACCAGGTACGGGCGCTCTTCGACGACGGCACCAAGGTGTGCATGGCCATTGGCGGATGGAGCGATACGTCTGGCTTCAGCGCCGGTGCTGCGACCGAGCAGACGAGGAAGACGTATGCGCAGAACGTCGCTACGATAATGGATAACCTCGGATACGACTGCGTGGATGTCGATTGGGAGTACCCAGGTGGTAACGGCCAGGATTACAGGATAGTCCCCAATGACCAGAAGGTGCAGGAGGTTGAGACGTTCCCGCTGCTGCTGCAGGAGATCAAGGCTGCAATTGGAGACCGGGAGCTCTCTATTGCCGTGCCAGGCAAGGAGGGCGACATGATTGCCTTCACGGCTGACAAGGTCCCCCTGATCAGCGAGGCTGTCGACCACGTCAACGTCATGTCGTACGACTTGATGAATCGTCGCAACAATGAGACCATGCATCACTCCGGTATCCCGGGGCCAGCGCGTGCGGTCGACCTGTACATTGAGAGGGGCATGGAAGCGAGCAAGCTCGTGCTGGGGTTCACCATTTACAGCAAGTGGTTCACCACGTCCGGCCCCTGCGACGGCCCAGAAGGCTGCGCGACAGCTGAGCTCGAGCGTCCCGACGGGACGGACACGGGCCTGTCTGGCGCCGTGACGTTTGAGAAGGCGAGCTACAGCGACGGCGAGTTCGCGCAGGCCATGCAGAATGGCAAGGTGGATGAGCAGGGGGGCGGCCAGTGGTACTGGGCCAATAGCAAGTTGTGGACGTGGGACAAGCCGGCGCTCATTACGCGCAAGTTTGACGAGATTGTCAAGCCAAAGGGGCTCGGTGGCGTCATGGCTTGGAGTCTCGCGCAGGATAGCCATGACTGGAGTCACCTGAAGGCGGTGCGGGAAGGCGTGGGCGGTCTTTGATTTGATTTACCCGATAGTGAACATGAGCTTTCCCGCCGCTCACTTTCCGTCGCGTGATTCACTGATGCTGTAATGATGCTTGCCAGGCCGATCTCGGCTCTCGCCGCGATTGGAGAAGATACAAGGCAGTCTAACTGTGCCACGTGCCACAAATCGATCCTCTTGCGGAGTAAATTGGCACCGCGCTCGCGGGGTCCCGTAGATGAACAGGGTGGTGGCAACAGTAGCATGGTGCGGGGAGAACTTGAGGTCGCGAGAGGCTGGGGAAGGTGGTCCGTGATTGCTCACTAGGGCCTGACAAAAAGCAGTGGATATGTCCGACCTATACAGGACTGTTGTCCTTGAGATTATGGTGGATTCTAAGCGGTTTCTTCTGTGGGATGGCTGATGAACCGGCTGAAAACGTCTTGCCCAGGCCTGTTGTGAAGAAAGTCGATCCAGAGAAAATGTTTCAGAGCGTTCCTAGTGCTTGGCCATGTGCGCAGTCCCAGTTCGGAAAGAGTTTTGCCAAGGGCGGAGACAAGCCACTCGTGGTCGCCCAGATTTTCGAATATAGATATCGTGGAGGTGAATAGAACCCACAAGAGGAGGTCTGACGGACACGATGGTTTTGCGAGGAATATCTCCTTTAGATCAGCGGCCAATGCTGTCAATCGCGGGCCAAGACCCTCAATCTGCACAAGGATGGTCTTCATGAAGGCGATCATGGCCAGTCGGAGCAGCTCAGAAACAGGAGAGCTGCGGCAAGCATCTTTCAGTGCAATGAGACGAGCAGGGATGGCAGACGACAGTCGATGGAACAAGTCATGTGGCATCTTGACACCTGATGACGTGGCATCGTTTGCTGCTCGTGCAAAGACCCGCAGATCGGCCCAGATGTTGAGAAGTCTCGTGTCAAGTTCGGGACGAAGCATGGCCAACTCAGTGAGCTGGTCTGCATGGACACCCTGGGCTATGACAGGATCCCACGACAAGTTCTTTGGCGTGAACCGTAGATGCGCTCCTGTGGCCATTGCGAGTCCAAAATCGAGCCTGCCCGCAAAAGTTAACAAAGACGAGGCCCGGTCGATGGATTTGGGCCCTTCATTACCTGGTCGCTTTAAGGACGATGAAATTACCCGGTTCAAGGGTATCAAGACCGCCACGTAGTTCTATCATACGGGACAAGCCGTCGACATGTTTTTGCAAGGAGTCAAGATCGCCTAGGATGGCAGCAGCAGTAGCAAGCGACACGACCGTCGACATGGTGGCTTCGCTCGTGGCGGCGACGCTGTCAACGAGAGACTTCTGCAGGTAGACGAGAGCCATGGTCAGGTGTGTCTGCGCCAGTGGACTTAATGAAGACTTTTTTGATGTGTCGTGGAAGGCCTGGGCAAAGAAACAGACGGAGTGCAGGAGAGCAGGGTTCGAGGCCAAGGCCGGGAAGCACAGCATGTTGTTTCTTGGGTCGTCAGCAACAATGACCTCAATTTTGTATGTCGACGGCTTGACTATTGTGAATGCTGAGAATGAAAGTCAGTGAGTCCTGCGAAGGGTGTGATTATAGCTCGACAATGGATACCTCGATAGATCAAGTGCTGCATGTGAGGGACGCCTGTCAACAAGGAGAGCTCAGACGTGATCTTTCGAGGGGACGTGAGAGTCCAGTAATCGCTACTAGATCCCAACTGGCCTGGGCACTTGTTTTCGTATTGCTTCCGCCTGTTCTTCCCGCGCATGACATGGCGGCGTATTAGCCGGCGCGTTTGGGCGTCTGGCTTGCCAGTGTCTGAGCTGATGATGAAGAGGCTCGGCTCAGAGGCATGCTGCGCTCTTGATGAAGAATGTTCCATTATCGCGTCAGCGCGAATGACAATCCGATTGAGATAGACCTCTTTGAGTCTCGAGGCGGACCGCGATATGACCGATGATGGTTTGTCATGTCGGCTTGTGTGTCCAACTTGAAGATGGCAAGTTCACCGCTGACATTTGACAGCATGAATAAACGGGGGGTATGCATTTAAACGAGAGACAATATATGATCGATCATTCGTGGGCTGCGAAATGCAAGTGGGTTCCGTCCAGAGCGGGTCTCATCATGCCGCCAAGATTGAGACTGGAAACCCTTTCAGGACTAGCGGCAAATCAACTCGGGCTGCTATTGGCTCCTGATTTAGACACTTCGGCTGCTGGTGTAAGTGACTTGGAAACAGCAGATTGTGGTGATCGACCTTGTCAAGCGAGGATGAATATTTAAACCAGTCTGAGTCCTCACTTCCTGAATCTTGAGTTCCCTCCAAGTTCCATCATCCATCTTCATATCTGCTCAAAATATGCCCATTCGCAACAGCTCAAAGTCCTTCGCCCAGGACAAGGATATTCCATCCCTCGCCGGCAAAGTCATCCTTATCACCGGAGGCAATATCGGTCTCGGCAAGCAGGCCGTCCTTGATTTTGCTCAACATGGCCCGCACCAGATATGGATCGCCTCGCGTAATGTGGACAAAGCTCGTGCTGCAGCGGCCGAGATTGCTCAACAGGTCCCCGGTGCCTCGTCCTGCATCAAGCTTCTCGAGCTCGACTTGAGCTCATTTGTCTCCATTCGGAGGGCTGCAAAAAAGTTCATGGCTGAATCCCCTCGTCTTGACATTCTGATGCTCAATGCCGGGATCATGGCCGTGCCTCCGGGCCTCACAGAGGACGGCTACGAAATGCAGTTCGGAACCAACCACATGGGGCATGCCCTCCTCGCCAAGCTCCTGCTTCCCAAACTCGAAGCCACTGCAGCGGCTTCGCCGGACGAGGATGTGCGCATTGTGTCAATGTCGTCGTTCGGTCACACCCGGGTCCCCAAAGGTGGCTTCCGCTTCGACATGCTCAAGACCACCGCTGAGGATCTTGGAGCGTACGGAAGATACTACCAAAGCAAGCTTGCCAATGTGCTTTGGATACGGCACTTGGCCAAGGTATATCCTAATCTCACGGTGGCCGCGATCCATCCTGGCCTGGTGCGCACCCAGCTCATGGAAGGCGCAACGGCCACGCCTTGGATCGTTCGGACACTGACCAAAGTGGGCGGTGCGTTGCTCACTCCAGTCATCCAGGGTGTGAAGAACCAGCTTTGGGCGTCGGTGTCGAAGGATGTTGTGAGTGGAGAGTACTATGAGCCGGTTGGAGTTGCTGGGAAGGCCAGTGAGGATGGGAGAGACGATTCGCTGGCGGAGAAGCTGTGGAATTGGACGGAGGAGGAGCTGAAAGCGTTCGAATGAGGACCTGAACCGACCAGGCATGAGCATCGTGGTGTTTTCCTTGTTGGGTAGCGGTATATGCCTGCACGCTCGAGTGACAGTAGGCGACAGCTGCATCGAACATGCTGAAGTGGTCACAGGATGTAGCTGTTAGCAGTTCAGACTCGAAAATAAATCGAAATGTTTGAATTTAATTTGAGGGTATATCGAAGCCAATTGGTTGCTCATCGAAAGGATTTGTTGATGAGAACTGGTTGTCGACGCTTCCATGTGGACAGGACTGTGGTTCAACGCCGCAGACTTGGCAGTTTCATGGAATAAAAAGCCTTATATAAATCGGTCCATTCATTCATATCGAAAATGGCCAGCAGAGGGGCGACAAGCAGTGGCAAGTTCTGATTGCGCAGTTAAGCGCCCACCTGCAGACGAGCGCCGGCTGTTGGTTATGCGTGCTCCGGTCTTTACGACTCTGAAACCTAATGGCAGGCAATCCTGGGGGTGGCGAGTGGGTGATGCAATGCGACGAAAAGACACAGTGGTCTCCTACTGGCCAATGGTGCTGTCAATGGGAAGATTGCTGCACCGACAAAGATGCCACGAGGAAAGACATTGGCGATGGGCTGGTCACGGCGACAGCCGGAAAGCGACAAGCGACAGCGACGAAAAGCTCGGAGCCCTCAAGCAGCGTAACCGAGGATGAGCCTCAATCGACAGCTAAGCCGAGTGAGGACTCCTCGTGATGAGTCCGAATCGACACCCACACGGAGCAAGCAGTCCTCAAGTTGCGCGGACAACGAGAGGCTGGAGACCCCAACAAGCGTATCCAAAGACGCACCCAGAACGACATCAGTATCTTCGGCAACGCCAGCCGAGGAACTCACAGAGAACACGAAAATACCGCCTTCGGTGCCGATAGAGAAAGATTCCAACAAGCCGGACATCATCCCGGTTGCTGTTGGAGCTAGGCTCGGCGGTGCTGAGTTCGCTGTTGCCATTGCTATCGGAGTGTGTTTTTGGCGGAGGGCGAGGAGGAGAGGGCAATAGACGGAACACCCAACTACTGAGATGCCCTATCCAAAAAGCCCTTCCGAGGTGGCTGCGTCAGAGCGTCCACAAGAACTAAACGGACAGCATATTGATTCTCAGAAGCGCATGAATGAGCCTGTTGAGCTCGGGGCGCCATGAGGACAGAAGAAACGTTAATGAGAGAAGAGGATGGCTGCGTTCATGTGTCTATGAAGATCATCCGCAAAGTTTGGAACCCTCGTGTACATGAATCGAACAAGCTTGTGATTGAAGGCACTTTCATGTACATACATATAGAGACTGATAGGCCCCAGAACGCCAATATGACCATACATTTTTACTACATGTTTTTGGCAATCTGATTTTGAATTCTCCGCTTAATAAATTGCTAATTGACCTAGCATCTGGCATCATTGAAACGGCCAGTCAGGGACACCAGACGGCGCGTTGTGAGTGTTTGACTGCGCATCGTGATGAGTAATTCGATACGAGAATGATTCTATCCTCTTTTTTCATGCAAAGTTATATACTATATAATTTATTAGCTAGTCTATGTATGAGTGAATTAGTTTTATTTAGAAATGCGTGTCTGAATAAGATAGAAAGGAAATAGGGCTTGTTATGACACGCTGGTGCGAAACAACTATCGGGGTCAATTTTCTGATGTACGCGAGAAAGAAAAGTCGATTAAATTAATGCAACTATTATTTGGTAGTAGTTGAATGAATTCTTGTGTGCTTCACAAATGATCAATAATTATCTACGACCTATGTTACCGTTGGGAAATACACAGTGATTCAGGCCCTTCGTCCAAGATTATAGGGTAGGCCACGCTACCTTGGTGTGCATTGTGAACACTGAACACATGGGATTTTCGCGCACCTTCTTCGTCCTCACCTTTCATCGCCACCCCTCAACTCACAAGTTCAAAACACACCTGGCCCCTTCGCCCCCTGGCATCTTTCCATATCGAACCAATATCAGATCACTGGCAGTCAGCACAGCAATGCCACCTCGTCGCGCATGCGACCTGTGCTACAAACGCAAGGTAGGCGCCATTCAGACAACGCGAGCGCACCCCACTGACTGAACATGAAGATACAATGCTCCATCAGAACACCAGGCGAGCCCTGCGAATGGTGCGGTAGTCAAGGCCTTTCCTGCACCTTTGATCGAGTCGTACCCAAGGACCCCAAGAAAAGGTCAGATCTTCTGGCGCATTCGACCCTATCCTAATTCCTAACCCGGACAGGTCCACTGCAGACATTGTCGAAGAGTTGTCACATCGCGTTGAAGAGCTGGAGGGAGCTCTGCGCGCGTTTAGGTCTAACAAAGCATCACCTCGATCCATACCGACACCTGGACCGCCTCCAGGCCGGCGTGAAATCATTCTCCCCCTAGGCGTGGCCACCAATCGAATCACACCCACCCACAAGCTGTCGAGATGCCAGCTCGGAAACAATTGGTACTTCAAAGGTATAGGGATCCTCTCACCACGAGGTTACGACTGGATTTCCTACGGCTCGGGAGAAGCTGTCTTCTTGGATAAGTTCGACATCTTCCGCAACCCACCCATCCGGAAACCACTACCTATTTTGCCTCCCCAGCCCAGATCACTGCCCTCCGATATACGATATTTTGCGGATCTTTTCCTCAAATCCAAGGCGTCCATGGTATTCCCGGTTCTTGACACAGCCTTACTGGAAGACATAATTCAAAGAGCTCACAGCAACAGATATCCTACGGCAGAGGCATGTCTCTGGGCTATGCTTGCCGTGGTGAGCATCTCTTCCGACACGCGACAAAGCGCTCACGATTGCGCCCACCAGGCGAAATACTTGCTCAATCTTCATGATGATGTCATCGATATAGACAATTTGCAGGGCACTCTGCTACTTTGGGCTTTCCAAAAAATGAAAGGACAGTGTGGAGAGGCTTCAGTGACTTTTGCCAGCGCGAGCCGCATGGTGTGTGATCTCGGTGGCCATGCACCACTGAAGAGTCTCAATATCTTACCTCAACACATCCCTGCATTTGACGAGACGACCAGATCCCATATACGGAAACTATTCTGGCTATGCTACTGCTTCGATAAAGATGCGTCTTTGCGGACTGGCAGGCCGCCGTTACTGAGCTACGAGTACTGCGATGTTGGGGACCCCAGCGAGCTGCGCGACCAAAAATCATGGTACAAGCAACCGCGAAACATATACCTCGCAGTCATCAAAGAACGTGCCAACCGCTTGCTATGTTCGCCGCGAGCTTTCCAGCAAACCGAGGGCGAACTTCTAGCGCACGTTCGACAACTCGATGATGAGCTCGAAGAGTGGCGACTGTCGATTGAACCGCCGTACCGCCCACGACTGTCCATCCCACCCGACTCATCCCTGTCCGTGCCTTCAGCGATGAGAGCAGAAGACAGGACGCACATAATCAATCTGCAGCTGGACTACTTGTTCACCATGATTCACATCCACACCATGGTCAGGAAATGCGGCGATCTGGAGCAGAATCTGCCTGATGACTTGCACAGCGCTGTGGAGTCAAGTGCGGACCTGTCCCTCGAGGCTGGACGCTCCATCTTCCGTTTCTTTGACACTATCATCGGGTTCTGGCAGCAGGAATCCATGTGGATCGTGTCGCACTATGCGCCAATGGCAGCAATGCCACTGTTTGTCAACATGCTGATTCATCCGCTCGGTCCCCCGGCCGACAACGACTTGCAAATTCTGGGGTCGATTGGTGAGATCTCCCGCAAAATACCGACAGATAAATTGTCTGCCGAGGAGATCCAGCATATTCAAGAGATTGGTGACTTTATTATGGAGCTCATTCGACTTTGTCACGGTGCAGCGTGGAAAGTCAAGAAGGGCGAGAGGCCTCACGACCTCGACTTGCTTGACAGCTAATCGATGTAGTCAAGATTCAAATTTGCGCTGTCTTGGTCATTCTTTACGAGCCGAAGCAATCAACCCTCTCTTAGCCACTCGAATGTGTCTAGCAAGTCAAAATTGAAATCCGGCTGCGCCATGACCCCCCAGTCGTGATTCACTTGGTGACCATTCAGCTGGTGATCCAGGACTCTCTCCACCACCTTCTTCGCATCGCAACACAGCTGGGCGTTTGGCGCATCGGGACGCACCCAGTCGAGAAAGCCCACCAGCAAACTGAGCTGCTGCACCAAGCCCGAGCGCGTCAAGCGACTATTGTTTGAATGGGCAGCCACAAACTTCGGATACAGCAACTCCTGACACAGAATGCCGCCCCCGGGCGCACCATAGGCCATGAGCAGCCAGTCAAAGTTGCGGAACATCTCGGGGTGGGGGAACCTGTCCTTGTTTGTCCACAACTTCAGCGTCAAGCACACCATGTCGGAGCTCACAGAGAGCAACTCGCCGGTATCTGGCTTCCCGTGCCTCAGTAACAGCCGCTCGACGAAGAAGACGTTCTGCAGATGGTCCAGCCGCAGCACAAGACGGGTGTATTGGACCCACTGGTCGGCTTTGCTGTCTGGGTCGTACACAATATGCCTAGGCCAGTGAGCCATTGTCCCCAGAGCACGTGATTTGATCGCCTCCAGCTGCTCCAGCGTCACAAATATTCCCTTGCCGACGGCGATCTCCATGATTTCGTCACGCACGAGCGCCACTATAGCCCGGGCTCGCAGCACTGTTGCAGAGCATAACTCGCTCTTTGTGTTCCAGCCATTCTCATCGAGAGTCGCTACATATCGATTTAGCTGTCCAGGATCACCGGCAAGGACGTCTTCAGGGATATCCAAGGGCAAGGGTGTCAATATGAACCGTCGGGTCATGGCAGGGGGCCTGCCCGTAAAGGCAACTCCCATGGTGTCGTTGCCGAATATCCTATACAAGAGTTGTCGCTGGTTCTCCGAACAGATAGAAGGCACATACGCACTGTCCTCCATGGCGTGAAAGCCCAAGTACGTCAGCATCTGGACGCCTACTGCGTGATGCGTGTGCGCGGACAAGCTCGCATCGCCTTCCAAAAACATGGCGGCGATAGCCCGCCTTCGGCACAGATCAAGGAGGAGATCGTTTGCATCAGTAAAATGCCGCCCTAGGTCAATACAGTAGCCCAAGCACTCGGCAGCCGTCTTCACCGACTCTTCACCATCCCATTCGATACAACGAGGTTGCCTGGCAGCCATGAAGTCCCCGATACCTACGGCATAAGTCCACACAAGCCCGATCGACTCCCAGCGAATATTTTTGCCCGTGAATTGGGCAATCCATTCCCGGGGGTCGATCTTGTCATGGAGTGCCTTGCTCGAGTTGCGGCAGAGCATTTCGCCTAGCGCGTCGAGGTCAGTGACGCCCTGCAGCAACTCGAGGGTCTGTTCAACGGCATGATGCGACCATCCCTGCGGAACCTTGATCGGTCCTTTGTAGGCAAATCTGCCGCTGACCTGCCCGGGCAAGCTTCGCAGCACGATCCAGCCGGCCTCTCTGAGCGGCACGGGCAGATTCTTGAAAAGACTTCGCGTAGGCGTCTCGTCAGGCGTGGACGGCTGAAGGCAGGTGGGCCTGTTCCCTAGGAGCGCCAGGGCATTCTCAGTCTCTTCAAAAACCGTGTTGTGGCTTGTATAACCAAAGTAGGCTTGGCGACCCGGCAGCAGAGGACTACTCCCAGAGGATTGCGGCCCAGGGGACGGACTTGCAGCCCAGCTGGAGACGGTGGTCGATGCCGGCGCCGGGTACCGACACTCGTCAGGATGTCTGCGCTTCTCACATCGCTTGCAGACGGGACGCGTGTGATCGCATGCGACTTTTCGAGCGTGGCAAGGTGCGCAGGCAGCCGGCCGACCGTTACGACGGCGCATCAGGCGGGCGTGATTGTCATTCATGATGATGGCGCGGAAGATGCAGATGGCCATGGCCGAGCGCCGAGCGCCGATTTCATGTGTCAGTCACGTGACCATCTTCTGAGAGCGACAAGAGGCGAATATTTGTCGTAATTGAGGCTCAACTCAGCCAGGTCTCTCAAGATATCGAGGAGTGAGTATGGAGGCTTGAAATTCCATGTCGCCTCCTATGAGCTCGGCCAAGGGACAGCCGACCTCGCTTTTGGTACGAGACCACCCTTGGTTCGTATCTTCTTCTCGCCAAAGCGGCGAAACCCTCCGCTACGTCTGCGCATTGTCTTTCCTCCACTCCTTCTGTTCCTTCAGGAAAGCCGCCTTCTTCTGCTGGTATCCTTCGTGCTGCTTGCATCTCTCCCACACCTCTCGGAAGATCGCACTGGCGGCCAACTTCTCCTCCTTGCCCTTGTGGGATCCGCTTTTGGGAATCTCCTTTCCGGACGTCCTGTCGTACTTGCGCCCTCCTGCGTGATTAGCGTACCTCTTGGCTCGAGTCTTGCAACAGTTGGTAAGTGGGTGGCTTGGAAGAGCGTGCGTGATGGCAGCTTACAAAGCCCATTTGGATGAATTTCCGCGTCATGTCCATCCCCACAAAGTCACCCTGCTCATCGAATTGGATGAATTTCTGCCACAGATCTTCTGAGCTCTTCCTCGCGATTGGGACAGTCCTGAATCGCCAGAGAGGCAAGATGTGGCTCTTGTACGGCTCAAAGGACAGAACACCCTGCTCGCCGCGTCCCACTCGATAGTCCATGCGGACGTCGGGAGGGGTCTCTTCAATAAGAGGGGGCATTGAAAGGCGGATATTCCATGGATGGAAGTGAGTTGGATCAGAAAACAGAAGAGAAATCTCATGTATTTGAGGCTGGCCAAAGTGATGATGTCACTAGGTAATTCACGACGATCACCACCCACAAGACTTCATCAAAAAATCCGCACGACCGATCGAATTCACACTACCTCCCTATCAGTACATGTACCTAAATGTTACGGCACGATCACCCATGGTAGACAGCTGCTCTGGCGAATGCTCCATCGCGCCGCTCGCCAGCTTGCGCTCCCTGCTCTTGTTGATGCGCGAGTAGCTGACGACAAGAATGAAGGCCGCGATGATGCCCAATACGATGAAGCCCAACTCGAGAGCATGGCCCAGAATGTACCGCGGACCGTCTTTCTGTCGATAAAAGTTGGAAGCCATGGCCTGATACAAGTTAGCAAGGGGTGACCACAAAAGTACCGAAGACTTGGACTCACGCCACCAAGGTTGCCAATGCCAATTTGGATCGCCATACCAACGCTACGCTTGTAGCTGCCGGCCAAGTTGTTGGATAGCCAGGCGATAATCCCAGGGAACGCGGGGTAGATGGCGCATGTCGCGATAAACACGCCGGCATACACCACGCCTGGAGTCGAGGTGGAGATGCACATTGTGAACCCGACGACCATGATGATGAGAAAGGTGATGATAAAAGGGCTGCGCTTGCCGACACGGTCTGAGAGCCATGCGGCGACGACGGCGAAGATGGCTGCTGTGATGTAGATGGGCACCGTGAGGAGCTGCGCCGTGCTCGACGTGTAGCCGAGGTTGCGGATGATGGTGGGCAGGAACAGACTGATGCCGTACAGAGGGCAGACGATGCCCCAGTAGACAAAGATGTTGACCCAGATCTGCCAGTCCTGAAAGGCCTGCCAGACGTACGCCCACTTGAACTCCTCGGCTTGCGCGACCTGATCGGCATTGCGGTCCTGGCCCTGGTACTTGAGCCTGTGCACGACGAACTTGCGCTCCTCTTCCGTGAGGAAGTCGGCTGTTTCGGGGAAGTCATGCAGCAGGAAGAAGGCGCCGACGGCGACGAGGACGGTGACTATACCTTCGAGGATGAAGATCCACCGCCAACCCTCGAGCCCACCGACGCCGTCCATCTTGGCAATGGCATAGGCCAGGAGACCACTGAAGGCACCGGCAACGGACGCGGCCGAGAAGAAGAGGGCCTGGCGCAGTTGGATCTCGTGTCGACAGTACCACATGGTCAGGTAGTACGCAACACCCGGGAACAGACCGGCCTCCGTCAGTCCCAGGAAGATGCGCGCAATCAGCAGACCATGGTAGTTCTGCACGATACCCATGAGCGTCATGACGAGGCCCCAGGCCACCATGATGGCCGGCAGCCAGCGGCTCGGGCGCAGCTTCTTCAGCAACAGGTTGCTCGGCACCTCGAACGCGGCATATGTGAAGAAGAAGACGGTCAAGCACCAGTTATACTGGTCACTCGTCATGTTCAAATCCTCCTGTAAGCCCTCGATCTTGGCATTGCCAATGTTACCGCGGTCGAGAAAGCTGAGGAGGTAGAGCAGGGCCAGCATGGGGATCAAGCGAACGTCCATCTGCGGGTGGCATACTGTTAGCGGGCTTCTTGTTGGGCAGAGAGGCGGCGATGATGGACTACAAACCTTGCGCAGCACCTTTTTCTCGTCCACGTGCGCAAATGACGCAGGCGAGGGAATTTGCTGGCCAGTCTCGGCCTCGGACAGGTTGCTTTTCTCCATGGCGACGGGTGATTCGGGGTCGAGGAGGAGATGGATAGCAGAGTGGAATGTGGGAGAATCGGGGGATGAACTACAGGTTTATATGGGAGGGAGTCATGACGGAGGCAACAGAGGGGAACAGGGATTAGGTCGATCGGCTGAAGCTGGGGAAATGGAGATCAATTTCGTTCTCTTCTCTAATTCGACCAGTACCTTGGGGTAATGTGGGTAAACGGCAGATGGAATCGGATCCGCGATGTGGGGGAAAGGCGAAGAAGGGGAAGAAAAGGTCGGATCCGTCTCTATCTCCTCTCAAACTTAACGGATCCGAAGCTCCCACTCTGAAGCCGCGAGCAGGAGGGCACCACCACCACGATTATCGTTGATGACTCTGGGAACTCCGACGTAATACTCATACGTGGCGTTGCTGTTCAAGGATCCGACCTGGACCGTTTCGATGAAGTCCAGGGTGCCGTCGTCGTTAGGCTTGATGAACATCCCCACCAAGTCACGGTACGACTTGTCAGCTGCAGCGCCAAACTCATCTTCCTGGAGGAGCCCCGTGCGTAGGCCGTGCAGGAGGCCAAACGAAAACATGGCGTGCGCACTGCTCTCAATGTAGTTGCGTGGTTTCCCGGGATACGGCTCGCTCATCACGAGCCACCAGCCGCCATCGACCTCGGCCGCCCGCTTCAGACCCCGCGACAGGGTCACAAAATACTCTACGAGACGCGCGTGGCCCTCGTGGGACTTGGGGAAGAGCTGGATCACTTCGGTGAGGGCCATGTAGTACCATCCAACAGCGCGGCCCCAAACCAGGGGAGAGGCACCAGTCACTGGGTCAGCCCAGATGGCCTCCTTGCCGCTGTCATAGCCGTGGACGAGGAGGTTCGTCGTGTGATCGCGCGTCCTCTCCTCAATCAAGTCAAACTGCAAGATGATGTCGTCCCAGGCAGTCGTGTTGTCGGGCTCAAAGGTGAGCGTCCAGAGGGCGTAAAAGGTATCAGCCATGAAGATCCCATCCAGCCACTGCTGATTCTTGTAGATGGGGGCTCGATGCCATAAGCCACCCAGATCGTTTCTCGGATGACGGTCCATCTGGTGGCGGATGGTGTCCGCAGCTGTCTTGTACTTCTCGTCGCCCGTCTGGTCGTACCAGTACAGAAGATTGACGCCGATGCGGTACTCGTCGAGAGAGTAGAAGGTCAGGTCCCAGTCGCGAATCTCGCCGTCATCCGTAATGATGCCATTGTCGGTCTTGTTCTTGTACCAGTCGTACATGGTGTCGTTGTGGTTGACGGCCAAGACAGCCTCCAGGCCGCTGTACAGAGTGGCTTCTCCATAGCCGAAACCGTCAATTACACCACGTCGAATGTACGAGTCGGCGACACGATTGAGAATGGACAGACAGGCCGGGGCGGCCATAGCGCCAGGGGCGAGGAAGAGAAGGGGCAGCATTGTTGACATTGTTGACCGCCAGTGACACGCATCATATGGATGAACGGCAGCATCTTATAAGTTAAATGTTTCATGCGGCTCAGGCCGTATATCCGCACGGAGTGTCAACACGGGCATTCGACGTCAATTGCCGATTGGAGGAATTGTTTTCTCGTGGCATGATTGTCCGAGTCTCGCGCGGGGAAAGACATTTCCGCCGAATGTAACATCGCAGAGGCAGGATTTCTAGGAACGCAAAAGTTCACAGCCGATCGAGCGCTGATCGCTTGGACAGATTGCTCTACATTCAGTATCATAGTTTGGCCTGCTCTGCGTCGCTGAGCTTACGCAGCGGTGGACCTCCACGGCTCCCGTCGGACCCCATCACCAACGTCCGAGGACGCTCAGTAACAGTGTGGAATTTCCACTTCTTCTGCAGATCCGGATGCGCTTTTCTCTCGAAACAGTCGGCGACGTGGCGGCCGAGGACCGGCAGAAACTTAAAGGCACTGGTATTCTATCAGCTGGCTGTTGAGTAGCATCTTCTTCCGAAAATGCACTTACTGTCCCGAACCCCCAGTTGCGAAGAAAAGACCCTCGATATCGGGATGGTAGTCTGCCAGGAAATCACCGTCTGGTGTGTCCATGTACCAGCAAAGCCTCGTGTTGCACCAGGGTCGACCGGCAAACTCTGGATAAAACTCTGCTATCCCGTGCTGCAGCGCTTCTGCCGCCTCGCGTGGAATATACTTGGTGAGAGAATCGCGGGGAGAAGAGATGGCTCGGTCGTCTGATGCCCTCATGCTTGACTGGTATCCGTAGCCGTGCCTGGCGATCTTGATCTGATGCGTGTCGGGTGTGGGAGGAAACGTAAAGACACCCGTGCTCAGGTTAATCATGACGGGCACGTCCTTGTAACGCTGCACCTCTTCGGGAGTAAGCTGAATGAAACCAAGCACCTGTCCCGTCGCAGATAGATTGTGCTCGAGCTTCGGCATGAAGCGATTTGTCCAGGCGCCAGTCGCCAGAACCACAGTTGGTGCACTCAGAGTGGCTCCCCCTGCTGTCCGTACCCCTTGTACTTTGTTCCCTTCCTGGAGAAGCTCAACGACTTTCCCGCGAGACCCAGTGATGAACGTGACTCCAGCCTGGCTTGCCCTCTCCGCCAAACCGGCGATGGCGTTCTTCGCATGTGCCCAGCCACCCTGTGGACTGTCCATGGCCACCTTGCCCGCGGTCATAGCATTGACTGTCGGATAGAGCTGGTTGATGTCTGCGTCGATCTGATCCCCGCTGAAGAGTTTGCGGCCCGCTGCCGCTTGCAGACATGCGTCAAAGTAAGGGTGGCCCTGTCCATTGGCGAAGATGAGGAATCCCGCCTCGTGGTAATGTTCGCTCCATTCTGGAGAAGCCCACTTCTCAATCGCCTCGCGACCTAGGGAGGCGTACAGGGGATCTGCGTACTCCGAACGAATGACACGCGAGACGTCGACGCTGCTGCCGTCGGGGACGGGCGGGAGATGGCGGTCGAGGACGGTCACGTCCGTGTAGCCCCTGTTGGCGGCAAGTTCATGGGCCAGACTGAGGCCAAAGGCGCCGGCACCAACGATGATAATGGGCTCTGACTTGGATGGCATTTTGCAACACGCTGAAAAAGCCAAAACAGATGCCTGTTGTGAGCGCCAATTTTGTCTGTCTTCCTACATGCGTTTGACGCCGCACGAGTCGCAACGCCTTCTCCGAAGACGCACAACGGAATTCCGGAAATAAAGCGCCAAATATCCGCCTGTTTCCCATGGCCATCTCGGAATTTTCTGCATCTCGGAAACTTGCGCAGGACACCCTCCATTCCTCCTTCATGGACCACAATCGTCGTCCCCGCCGCTCATGTGAGCAATGTCGAGCCAAGAAGACAAAGTGTTCGGGAGAGCGCCCGCAATGCTCGCACTGCAGACGGCAGGGTAAGCAATGCATTTACCGCCCTCGTAACCATCATCGTCCGGCAACTTTGGCGCGACCATCCTCATCCCCTCAGCCCGTCGCGACCGCACACGACGAGAGACCACCAGCTGACCTGTTCGACCACGTCCTGCGAGTCTACCAAGCCTCCGTGTACTGCCAGCCTTTACCACTGTTCAATCCAGCGACGTTACTCAATACACTCCCCCAGTTCCCCTCGTACCTGAGATCTGCGGTGATTGCACTTACCCTACGGCTGTCCAAGCACCCTGCGTATCGCGTTCTGCCAGAAGAGGCTTCGAGTCTGTACACATCTACATCCGGCAATGTGGCCTTGCAAAAGGCCATGCAGGGCGATGCGTGTCTTCAAGTCCGACAGACGCTGTGCTTGTTAGCCCTGGGCGAGATTATGGACGGGTCGCATGTCCAAGCATTTACCACAATCGGAGCCGCCGTCAGACTGGAAGCCATGAAGCTGAGGACATCTACAGCACAGGACGACGACGAGCTTAGATGCCACTGGAGCATCCGCACTCTTGACAACGCGTTCACTTCCACGCCAAGCCACCCAACAATTCCGTTGCCCTACCCGTCAAGCCCTGAGCGGCCACTCCCCCCGGACATCATGGCAGCCACAGAGAAAGACATCTCCAACCGACATGAAATCAGAAAGGGTGAATCTGAGGTCATCGCCCACTACCTGCAAGCCTTTCAGTTGTGGAGCAAAGTCGCCTGGTACTTTGAGGACATGCGCCTTGGGAACCGCGAATCACCCTGGCTGGCCTCGTCGCGGTACCATCAGCTCACGGCGGATCTCTACCAACAGCAGGCCGATCTCTCGTACCTGCATCTATATCGAAACGTCGGCTTTTCTCGCCAGATTCCCGACGACCTGCGCACACGCCAGGACTATTGGATCCCATGGATTTCGATGCAGATCGGCGCCCACGCAACACCGGCTGTCCTCAACAACCCCTTCATCCAGCTGTTTGTCCTGCGAAGCGACAAGGGACTGTGTCAACCACGTTCGTTCCTCCAACAAACGGTTGATCAAGCCCTCTTTCACTCTGCATGGGTAGGACGACTACTTCGCGAATGTGACAGACTGGAGTTGCCAATCAAGGATCCCATCCTGGGCCAGATGATCGCAGCGACTGCCACCATACCATTCTTGTTTCGCTTCTCGAGAGATGCAAAGGTCTCGCGCAGAGCGGCCGTGGATCTTGAAACATGTCTCGACTGTCTGGCGCAGCTGGCAAGGACCTGGCCCTGCGTCGCGAAGAAGCACGAGTGTCTGCTGAACCTGCAGAGCACCGTGGAGCAAGATGGACAGCTACGCCTTCAACCAGAAGCACTCTGGTATCTCGTCTGCGGAGACTTCCTGGACGAACCCAGTCGATCACTCTCCGAAGCGCAGATTCACATCACGACAAGCTTCATTGAACCTGTGGGGGATACGATCCCAGAAGAGGAGAATGAGCTTCAACCGGACCAGTACGACTGGGCTGACTATTTTGTGGACAGCTTCATGGTTGACAATTATCTTGTTGGTGTGGAGCCGTAAATGACATCTTACACGAGAATGTCACGGGCCGTGGTTCCATTCACACCACCACTATTCGTCCTGTTCACCTGGAATGCCGCCGCGTCGATACGATCCCAGTGTAGCTTCGCCCTGTCGCTTCTGAGGTCCAGTTTATGCCCGCATCGATGCCACAGCAACGCGTCCTCGCTCGGATTTTTGGAGCAGCACGATCCCCAGCAGGGCATGGGATCAATGAACGACGTGAAGGGCGTCCGACTGCGCGTGCGATCAATCATGTGCATCATGGTCGCGACCGACATTTCGTGGAACGTGTCGTGGAACACGCGCTCGACGAGGAAGATGTAGTCGGCAAAGAACCGCCGCGGGATGTAGTAAATGTCGGACCAGCCACGGCAGCCGGCCCGTTTCTCCTTGGAGTAGCGTCTTGGGCTGGGCACGACCTCGCCGTCGTCAGGAAGCTCGGGGGGTTGCAGGCGGACCGCCCTGCCCACGGCGGTGAAAAGGTCTTCCTGCTGGGCGTGTTCCCACTTGTCCGTCGGGATCGTTTCGTAGCACCGAAAGTTGGGACCCCCATCCATGGGGATAGCCATCCTGGTCATGTCCATGCCCATGAACTCCATAGGTGTGACCCACGCATCAAAGTGGAAGAAAAGCATGCCATCGACATCCGGTTCGTGCTCCAGGATGAGTTTCATGGTCTTTGCGACGGGCTCTTGGGGATGACCCGTGTTGACATGCTGGTCGTGGGTCATATTCAGGAAGTTCTCGGGCTCGCTTTTAACCGAGTCGCGCATTGACAGATGCATGGTGTGGAAGAATGGATCGTACTTCATGATGGCCGGTATGCGCTCGGGGATCGCGTGGTTCCAGCGGACAAAGGCCACTGTGTTTCGGAAGGGCGAGTCCAGCAGCACGCTGTGGCTCCCGTCGTCGTCTTCCTCCCTCAATGTGATGTCGGGCACCCACAGCAAGATTACGACCAGCATCGTCTGCAAAAATGCCCCGAGTACACTGGTCTTGGGCCACCTGCCCATCGTGGCGGCGAAGGAGGACGAGCACCGACCCGCAGATTTGGACTCTGCCGGCCTGGGCGGCGGCGGGTTTCGGATGTAGATCCAGGACGCGATGAAAACAAGCAGCGTGCCAGGAACGGCCAAGAAGCCCAAGTGCGTGTGGAACAGGATGGTCGAGACGTACAAGAGAATTCCGGTCGCCAAGGCCGTGGCGAAGCACTTGATGACAGCGTCGGCATATTTGTACACGGCTGTGATGGCCAACCCGACAAAGACATTGCTGACAATAACGAGTATGGCACCGAGCCTGTCGAAGCCGTGGAAAAAGGTAGGCTCCTCGGGGCTCACCAGCCGCACGAGCAGATGGCCGACGAGATTGAAGAGGGTGCCCGCTGCGTAGAGGGTCATGTTGTTCGCGTGCATACTGCAGCTCTCGCGCTGGAGCAGGACCTGGTTGTACACGCCCGCCAGAGCGCCGAGGAAGACGTGGAACATGATGAGCATGTACGTGAAAGGCGTGTATGTCGTCCCCGAGCCCGGCGTGTACTGCGTCACGAGCAGCCCGCAGAGTTGCAGCGCGATGGCAAGCCACTGCATGCGAGAGACGCTCGCGCCAATGGTGCCTATCATGACGAGGGCCGTGATCACGGTGCCGCTGCTCTTCACCAGGGCAATGGTGCCCGGGTCGGCTTCGTTGTAGCAGGCGAAGATGGTGTTGTTGACCAGCACATACAGCAAAGCCAGGTTGCAGAGCTCCCACCGGGTTCGAGCTGTGATCTCGCTGCGGATGTACTGCCAGTACAGGCGGATGGTCAAGCGCGCAGGGCGGTTCGGTTTGGTAGCTCCTACGACATCGATGTCGTCGAACTCGTGGTCGTCTCGCGGGATCACAGAGTATCCCCGGGTCTCACTCTTGGGGGGTGTTCCCTGTTGCGCGCGTATGGTGCACTCCCAGGCGAAGAAGGCCACGGAGAGCAGCCATTTGAAGAATTCGGAAATGGCAACGGAGGCCGTGGGCGAAAATCGATATCCTCCGCTTGACTGCGCCGTCTTCATGACAATGCCAATGCCGACTTGGATGGCAACAAGGCACAGCGCAGCCAGGTAGGCCGCCCTGTTGGCAGAGGCCAGTCTTCCGAGGAAAAGCGGCATTGTCGACGGTCTCCTGGGAACGAAGGAAGAACGACCGGTCTAGGACATTGGGCGAGAATGATTTATGGGAACGAAGCGAGTAAAAAAGAATACGCGTCCTCTGCCACGTCCGGCAGAATACCGCACCCCCCCCGGATCGGCACTGGGTACACAACCCGCACGCACTGCCTCGCTCACCCGTCTACGTAGAGTTGTTGGGAGCTTAAACGGGACGCTTCCGATGCCCCAGCGCACGCTAGGCGAGATGATCTCATCTGACAGGCACGCGCGATGCCTTGGCGGCCGGAATAAGCAGACGTGTCGATCGACGCGCAGTCTCACATGGGCGGAGCCTGCGGCACAGTGAACAATGTCCAGCGCTTTCATTGCTGCGGATACCGACACACAATGATGGAGGCACGACTTGTGTATTGAGAAATGGGAGGATCTCGATACTTTCGGTTCCAATGTGAACTTGAACTTGTTTGCTCTACAGGGTCTGATCTTGGCATCAATGGCGGTGCAACCCAGGGGGCAGAGACACAGGGAAGATCCCTTTGTGGGCAGCTGTGGGCCGAATGTGCAGCCTGACCAATCAAGGCAGTGACTGGCCTGTCACACAACAACAAGTTCCACCCAAGGGATGGTCTATTGCGTGGGTGTACTACGTACGTACGTAGCCAGTGGTCTGGTTTTCATATTTAACTGTCAAGGACTAGTCTTACACAAGTCTCCCTTCTAACATGACAGACCATCCTCACGATGACGGTCAACGAGCAGGCCCTCAACATCATTGTACCCATTGGGGGTCTCGGCACTCGCTTTGCCAAGCAGGGCTATCGCTTCCCGAAACCTCTTATCAACATCATCGGGCGTCCAATGCTGTTGTGGTTATTCGACAACCTGAGCATCCGACCTCAAGACACCCTGTGGATCGCGGTCAACGAGCAAGTCGACGATGAGTTCCGCATCGGACAACTGGTGGCCAAATCCCTCCCCAAGACGGATCTCCATCTGCTCAGACTGCGCCACCAGACAAAGGGCGCGAGCGAGACACTGTTCATGGTGATGCAGAGCATGGGCCCCCAGCACCTCGACCGAAGGACCGTCTCCCTCGACTGTGACACCATCTACTGGACCGACGTGCTGCACCATGTCCGCCAGATGCCGCCCGGGTACGGTGGCTGCTTCTACTTCACAGACAAGGGCGACAAGCCCATCTACTCCTACATCAAGACGGAGGAGGAGAGCGGGCAAGAAGTGATCCGCAGGATCGCAGAAAAGCGCGCCATCTCCGACAAGGCGAACACGGGTGCGTACGTGTTCCCCTCGGCCCACATCCTGAGGGACTGGTGCGCCACAAACCTCGACCAGCGCAACGACCCTGCCTTGGCCGAATACTTCACGTCCCAGGTCATCACCATGATGCTCGACCACGTCCCCTTCCTGGGCATCGAGATCAGCGCGGACGACTTTAGCTGCGTGGGCACCCCGGCGCAGTTGGAGGATCTCCTGGCAAAGCTCAAGGCACAGGGGCTTGGCCACATGCGCAAACGACGCTTCTGCTTCGACCTGGACATGACTCTCGTGGGCGTCCCGCAAGTCCCGGGCGACTACAGCACGTGTCCTCCCATCGATCGCAACATCCGCTTGGTGCAGCAGCTCTATGAAGCCGGCCACTACATCATCATCCAGACGGCAAGGCGCATGCGCACACATCAGGGCAATATGGGCTCGGTCCTCGCCGACGTCGGGCCCGTCACCTTTGCGCAGCTCGATCGCTACAACATCCCGTACCACGACATCCACTTTGGCAAGCCATATGCAGACGCATACATTGATGACTTGGCCATCAACTCAAACATGGACACAATGAAGGAGCTGGGGTGGCTGCTGAATGATGCTCTTGAGCCGTCCACCCCTGAGAACTTGAGCATGGTGGCTGCGCGAGATTTCAACACCATCCAAGCTGTCGGCGACAAGGTCGTCAAGTCGTCCAAGTCGGGCAACATACTTGGCGAGCTATTCTTCTACTCACACATGCCGTCTACACTGCGCAGCGTGTTCCCCGCCGTGGACCAGGTGGATTATTTGGAGACCACCGGGACGTACAGCATCACCATGGAGAACATCAAGGGCACCACCTTTTCGCACTTGCTTGTAGGCCGCTCCATGACCAGAGGTCGCCTGCAGCTGCTTCTGGAGGCTCTTCATACCATTCACCACACACAGACAGCTGGGAGCCCCGGTCTTGAGCCGAACATGGCCATCTCGCCGGCGCTCAAGGCGAAACTCGACGCCCACTCCCTGGCCAACGCCAACCATCGCGTGAGCATCTACGCCAATTATGCGACCAAACTGCAGCAGCGGTACAACGCTCATCGCGAGCAGTATGACGCCCTGGGCCCACTAGCGGCCTCGCTCTATAACCGGCTGCACGAGTTCCTGGACACCTATGAGGCCGAGGACAAGGGCGTGCACGCGCACGTCATTCATGGCGACCCCGTGTTCAGCAATGCCATCCTGTCCCAAGATAGCCGCCAAGTGCGCTTCATTGACATTCGCTGCCAGCTCGAGAACACATTGACGCCAGAGGGCGACGTACACTACGACCTGGCCAAGGTGTTGCAGAGTCTGTGCGGCTACGACCACGTCATGTTTCTCTTAGCTGACGCGGAGCGCAACCAAACCAGTCGCGAGGCTCTCGACAAGCTCTCCGAGGACTCGAGACGCGTCAATCACGAGGTCTCGGGGCACACCAAGGGGAACCACCTCCAAGTCCAGGGTCATCATGCGCCATCCACGCCGCCTTTGCTCGAGGAGGTGGACAGGGCCTTGCTGGATGACCTGCAGCAGAGCTTCTTCGCGTTCATAAAGGACGAATACTCGGTGGGCATCCACCCCAAGACCCTCCTCCGGATCACTGCTTCGCTTCTGTTCAGCCTCATCCCACTGCACCGTCCGAAGCTGGGGCCCATCTTCTTGAGGATGTGTCATGACACACTGGACAAGGCTGTTGGCATCCGGGCAGCTCGACTTGTGCAGAGCGCGAGTTTCAGCTCGATCAGCGACCAAGGTGTGTCCACGTAGCTGATTACAGCATGTACGACTGAATGACGGGAGGATGGATGTACATGGATTTTGGTAGGATGGTTTGGCTTGGTTTGCAGGGCGCGCGTGCCCTTCGTGTTCGGTGTTCATTTTGTATTCCAGAGAATGCAACCATGATAGTCACGCACAGAATATGCACTGAAGGTCTGTTTCTCATTCTTACTGAAACGGAACAAGGAACATTCGGCCGCGTCGCTGACCCATAACCAGAGGTATGCATGGGATGTTGCAAAGGTTCGAACACTTTGTTAGTTCGTCTAGGGCAACGCGCCACCGAACTTGCGTGTACATGTATGTAAGCCAAAGCCATGTCGAAGCGTCGAAGCCAGCATGAATCTTGGGGACATTCCTGGTGCCGCCAAGGGGTTTCTGCAGAAGCTCGGAGGGGGCGATGTGCCAACCACCTGTGGCTTGTTGGCCCAACGCATGCATACATACATTGCATACATGTACGTGCAGACATGGGACAAATCATTCAGCCACTTGCTTTACGTATCATTGCCCTTCTTGCCCACGGTACGTCAATTCGAAGCCTCAATTCTACCGCCTTCATTGCTGCTCCCCAGCGTCCCAGACCGCCTCCAGAGTCCGACTATCCTCAAGCATCGTACTCCTCACCACAACTCCCTCGGCCACGACAAGACTATACCACCATGACCGCTAATCCAATCACGCTGAGTCTCGCCATCATTCTCGCTACATTAGCATCGGCAAAGCTGGTGTGGGAGCTCCTCTTCTCCCCGCTTCGAGCCTTTCCCGGTCCGTTTCTGGCTAGACTTACGGATGGATGGCGTTCGTATCTCACCACACTAGGCGATGTCGACCGCAAGCATCTGGCGTGGCACCATAAATGGGGCAGTGCCGTTCGTGTTGGACCGAACGCCATCAGCCTCAACGACCCCGACTTGATCAAGACCCTGTACGGAACCAAAAACCCATGGCGCAAGGTGAGCATTCCCGGCCTTGTTGGGGGATTGCGAGGCACTCGTATACTGATCGCATGTGACAGAGCGACATGTACCGCCCGAACGACGTCGTTGTCAATGGCGCGCGCATCCAGAACATCTTCAATACGCAGGACAAGAAGTTCCACGCCAAGTACGCCCGGCCCATCGGTGGATTCTGGACTCTTTCAAAGGTTCTCGAGCTGGAGCCTCTCTTTGATGAGACTATACGGTTACTGGTGAGCAGGCTGAATGACGGATTCGCGGAGAAGAGAGCTGTCTGTATGATGGACAATTGGCTGGCGTACTGTAAGAACCAGCCATGTCGCGCTCGACGACAACGCCCGTTGAACATAGAACATGCTAATGTACATAGTCGCATGGGATGCTGCTGCGAATGTGAGCTTCGGACGGCACTATGGCTTCATTGAGGAGGGCGAGGACATCGGCGGCATCATCAACGAGTCGACAGCGGGACTGAAGTACTTCAGCGCCGTAAGTCAAGCCGCATCGCCATGCGCGAGATGACCCACGACAACACCGCAAGGCACCTAACAGCATCAGATCTCCCAGATCCCCTGGCTCGATAACTGGCTCGACAAGAACCCCTGGTATCGCATCGGCCCCAGACCACTCGTCAACGGGTTTCTCTATACGGTTCGGATCCTCAGCGAGTACCAGCAGCAGGTCGCCTCGGGCGCCGTCAAGCGCAAGAAGCAAGACCTCTTCATTGACAACTACAATGGCCTCAAGGAAAAGTACGACTTCGTCGACGACCAGCAGGTGATTTACTGGCTCATGCTGAACGTGCTGGCGGGCGGGGACTCGACGGCGGGCGCCATGCGGCCCATCTTCTACCACCTCGCCAAGAACCGCGACAAATACGAGAAGTTGGTGAGGGAACTCGATGGCGCAGAGCTTTCGTTCCCAGCGCAATGGAAGGACTGCTCGAAGCTGCCATACTTGGACGCTTGTGTCCGCGAGGCGTTCCGTGTTAACCCGGCAGTCGCACTGATGCTCGAGCGGGAGGTGCCAGCCGAGGGCTTCACGATCCCTGACGGACGGTTCATCCCCGCCGGGACCAAGGTCGGGCTCAATCCGGCGGTAGTGACGCGTGACAGCGGGGTCTTTGGGGAGTACGTCGAGAAGTACGTGCCTGAGCGTTGGCTTCAGAAGGAGGGTGAGAGTGACGTCGATTTTGTAACGAGACTGCGACGAATGCAGGAGACGACGGACCTGATGTTTGGGGCGGGCAGCCGGGTCTGTATGGGGAAGCACTTGGCGCGGCTGGAGATGTACAAGCTTGTCGCGACGCTATACAGCACGTTCGATGTATGTTTCCCCCTCTGAAACTCGTTTGCACGCTGACAAGACTATCAGGTGAAGCTGGAGGACCCGCGGCACGAGTGGACGTATTGCAACGCGTGGTTCATGTACCACAGCGACATGCCCATGATACTAACAGCAAGGGAAAATTTTTCATGATACGTAGGACCATATGCTACGCGAGGGTCAATCAAAGACGCTCGAGGGGAATATCATCGCTGCTCTCCCCGTCCCCATCCTTTGGCACTACCTGCAGTCTCGGCTCGTGGCCCTTTTTGCTGTCAGAGTGCAAGTCTAGCTTTGAATCGTTCTTTGCGGCGGAGTCGACACGGTCCGGCTCACTTTCGTCTGGCAGCCTGAAGAAGCTACTGGAGAGATGCCGTCGAGAATTGGCGGCTGCACTGGTCATTTTGTCGTCGTGCCGCGAGACATCGCGTCCACCGCTGGCGCCTGGCCCCCTTGCATACCCTGTCGACGACTCCCCATTGCCGCGCCCGCGAAACCAGCGCAGCACTTTGTTGAGCACGGGCAACAGGGTTGGGAGGCAGGCTGAGGTGATGCCTGCGGACATTTCGATGGCTGTCCAGCCAACGGTCGGGGTCAATGTGTAAGTAGGATCCGATTTGTCGTACGTAAAGAGAACGCTGGTACGGTAGGCAGATGCAAAGACAACGCTATTGATGTTAGTTGATCGTCGCCAAGGTAAGGGCATAGATGAGGTATGTGTGCATACAAGGACCCGAGGCCAAAAGCCGCCGTCAAACCGAGTTTCTCGCGCATTTTCAAGTTCAGCCGCCACACCTGCGGGATTGGCATGAGCAGAATGACAAGATCTGTAAAAATGGTCGAGATTGCGTTGGCGATCCACGTGCCAACCTGGTTGATGCAGTGGCCCGGGAGTTCCGGGTACCACAACTTCTCGACCGGGACGCAGATAAAGACGAAGAGGAAGGTGATGCAGACGACCCAGGCCATGACGAAGACGCCCACGATCCACGCCATCCTCTTGAAGTACGGAAAGCGGAAGATTCGGTAGTACATGAGGAGCAGGCTCAGTTTCGTCCACCCCAGATTGAACGCATAGAGGATTTCAGCGACAACGAGCCACTGGGCCATCATGACAATGTCGGTTGGGTCGACGAGGTCGGCATGTAGGCCCATGCCGCTGGCGTACATGGCAAAAATGAATCCAACAACAACGAGGTTCCAGCCCTGCATCCCAATAGTCAGTCAGCCGCTCGTCAGTAGAGCTCGGGTTCGCAAGCGGCACACCATCGAGAAGAGGATCATCCAGTCGTCCCACCAGAGCTTCTGGGAATTCAAACGTCGGCTCACTACGCGCAGGACGGTCGAGCACAAGGCGAGGACCGTCACGGAGACGACGACCTGAATGGTCCATGGCTGGAGATTGTCAGGGTCGAAGCCTGGCAACCCAGGCAGCTGGGATTCTGGGGGGATCGGCATGTTCAATGACGAGGGCGCTGGATGAGCAAGGAGAGAAACGGTCAGAGGTTTTGTGACATGTCGAAAGGTAGTCGGATTGTGATTAGTCGTCGAAGCGATGGCCTGTTCATGCGCGTTGGGAACAGACAGTCCTCCGTCACAGATGGGGTACGTCGAGAAGAAATCACGGGACTCCGGGCTATCCTTGATAATCATTACAGGTCTGCGGTCCCCAACTTTTCAACCTTCTCCTAATCAAGTAAGTAGTACTTCAGCCGTCCCGCAAGCCCCCCTTGCATACCGATGATGTGATGCGTTCCCTGTACCAGACTGGATTGCGGTCTGCGGACACGCTCTTCTGCAGGGCACGCCCACATGAACGGGTCACAACTCACGGATTCGACCGCGCAAGCAACTGCCACTGGAGCTGTCTCAGGCTTCACCTGACAAGTGACAATCGAGGCAAGAGAAAATTTCTCACATTGATGAACTTGCCGGTGGTGTCTGGACCCTGGTCACGGTGGTGCCCACCTTTGCCCAAGGTGGACTCGCTCTTCGTGCTAGACCTCTCACTGTCGAGGCTGGACGCCTCTTGGGACTCGGAAGCAACAATGGCCCACCCATAATTTCACCGGAGCCCGTCCCCGGGCCGCATCTTCGGATTGATGACACTCACAGCCGCTTCTCCAGCAACTCACAAATGGCCGTCGGTCTCACCCGCGCCTCCGCCCTCTGTGGCACCTGTGGTTCAGACTTTCAGTGGCTTGCAGTTGACAGTTTGACATTGGGAGTTAGCGCAGGGAGGCCGCTTGCTTCCCCGCAGAACCCCTCTTGCGCAATGCCCTCAACTCGGCATCGTCGCAGTGTCAGCTCTCCCAAGCGGAATCGTGCTCCCGCGCTCGATAATAAACCGCATGTCGATTGACGCCTCGTGTTGGGATCAAGATACTCTGTACCCAACACACTCTCCCCCCCCCTTTCCGTCACTGTCACCGTTCCCATCACCGTCACCGCTACCCTTCCATTGACCATGGCTGCGACCACAACCATCAAAGTGCCCCATCTGGGTGGCATTAGTGCCGGTTACCGTCTCTCGGGCGACCGTATCGACCCGGCCAAGCCCACCGTTGTGCTCATCAACTCCATGTGCACAACCTCCTCGCTCTACAACACCCAGTTTGACAGCGCCTCACTGACCAGCGCCGTCAACCTCCTGGCCATCGAGCCCCTCGGCCATGGAGCCACCAGCAGCACCGCAGAGCACTTTACGTACTGGGACTCTGCCGTCATGGCGCTGCAAGTCATGGAGGCGCTGGGGGTCAAGGAGGCTTTTGCCCTAGGCACGAGCCAGGGAGGCTGGATGGTCGTCCGCATGGCACTCCTGGCACCTGAAAAGGTCAGTGCCCTTCATAGTTTTTCCATGCCACGTGTACTACCCTGCATGTCGCACCGGACATATTCCGCTGACCTGATTCCGCGCCTTACAGATCCGAGGCCTCCTGCCATTGGGCACATCGATGGACTACGAGTCCTCAGCCTCTCGGGAGAAGGGTTGCTGGGATCCCAAGACACAGCTCATGCCCTTTTACGAGAAGTGGTCCACGCCGTCACCTGACTTTGTCGTCGACGAAGTCTGGCGAGGCATGGTTGCCCAGTTGGGCTTCTCCGCTGCGGTCACCCAGGAGACACTGTCCTTCTGGGACCAGACTCTCAAGGAGGTCTACAGCGGCGAGGCCGGGCGCAAGAAGCTGCGCATGGCCCTCATCAATCTCATGGAGCGAGATGGGCTCCTGTGTCGTCTTCGGGACATCAAGTGCCCTGTCTATTGGTTGCAGGTCGGTACTTCTCCTTGACCCGGTCGATGCGAGACATGCATGATCAATCAACTCACGTGTGAACAGGGCCCCGAAGATCCCGTATTCGGCAAGACGGTCCCCGCCGAACACATTGAAATGTTCACGGCGTCGCCTGAGGCGACATTGACCTTTGTTGACGGCGCAGGTCACTACCTCAATGCAACGAGCCCCAAGGAGACGGAGGAGGCCATCCTCAAGATGGTCCGCAAATACGCTTAGGCCTATGATGTTGCGCCAAAGCCTTTCATCTGCCTGACTGCTCGTGGAAATGTTTTCTCGTGCTGAATAAGCTCGTCAGATGTTGGGCAAGGATTTCTAGGCAATGGTCTCTAACATTTAGTACAGTAGAGGAGACGCGCCACCCACGTCGCTCTAAAACAAATCAAACATATAAACCGATCAGTGTCTGTGCCTTGCTTTGTACCCTTGTGTTCCCGTGCGAACAGGGGTGACATGTGTCTCCACATGGACACAAGGGTCCAGCATCACTTTTCGCTCAAGCCACTCATTTCTTCTTCTTTAGCTCTCCCATGCCCGGCCTTTTTGGTCCGGAAAACGCTGTTTGCTGCGGTTCTCTTGCCATTTGCTAATACTGATCTGCTCGTTAATTAAATCGACAGTGTTCCTTCTCGATCCCAGATCCTTGCGCTGAGCATGCGCTGAGCATGCCCTAATCCCCAAGCGGGTTTTTCTCTCTGCGTACGCATCTACCTCGGTCATCGGGACGGTCGGATAACACGAATTGGATCGCGGGGCTCGGGGTTAGCTCCACTAATCCCAACCGACCCGAATGCGAGTGAAAGCGAAATTCTAATTGGTGCCTGTCCTACAGACAACATCGTATGAGATGTTCTACCGCGAAGAAAATACACAAGTGCGCCACTGAATTAAGAAGGGCAGCACAATTACGTATTCTGCCATAGTAGAATATCGTGATATACTCAAGTATCCGTTCCCCAAGCGACATGTGGGCAAAGGGAGGTGAAGACACGAATGATATATTAGCAAACAGGAGTTAATTAGTAGCGAGAGAACTAACTTAGTAGCGAGAGAACCACAGAGCGGCAACAAAAATGACTGAAAAGCAACATAGCGCCAATTCCGCAAAGTAATACCATCATCATCTCTTGGCCTGCTCCCAAGACTTATAGTGGGCTCGAAAGCTCTCCTCAACTGGGCGGTACTTGAGGCCCAGCTCCCGGATGCTACTCCCGTTGCCGACCTTGAGAGGAATACTGAGACTTGCGGTGGACCACTTCTTTGAAATGCCAATGAAGGGGCCGGCGGCGTAGACCATCAGCCCCGGGGGGTTCCTGCATGGCAGCGCATTGGCTTTCGGATGCACGGGGCGCATGAAGTTGCCCACCTCTAGCAGTGAGGTTGTACGTTTACCTATGACAATAAAATACCCCTTGAGACTCGTGTCCTCTCTAGGCTTTACACGAGCCTGGGCCACTTCCCACACGTCGGCGACGGGATAGGACAGGTCGGTAACACCCATGCGGTTCTTGCCGGAACGGTATACTACAGTGCTTATCAAGGCTAGAAACTTTGATACTCTCGACGCCTTAACGTGAGCTTAATAAACCAATGGAAAATTCACATAACAGACCCGAAAGCAATGGCTAACACATATCCTATACATCATAGTACCCACTGTAACAGTAAAAAAATGTAGTACTTACAACCTACATGAGATAAGAAGTGATTGGCAACCTTCGTCAACAGACGTCTCATTGCTCGACTCAGCGACTCACAATCCTGGAACAGCGTGGACAGCCCAAGTCTCAGCTTAGCGCAATCCATTGCGACCCAATATGTGTCGGTCAATAGATCCCGATTGCCCGTTGGTGCTTTGGCATACCCTCAACGGTGTCCACTCTCTATTTCACTTAATTGTGTGGCAGCATTGGAAACGTTGACTATTTACTATAAACGCCATTACGCGCCATCGTATGATGAAACTAGCGGACATCTCCCTACATCGGTTTCAGCAGCAGTGAAGTCCCGGTTCTGTTGAAGCCATGGCGTTCGAGACAAAGTTCCTCGGGACAGTCAACGTTACCAAGTCAGCTGTAGTCGACGTGGAGTATGAGAGTCCTCAGAACACCACCATCTATTACACACATGTACAAGCATGGCGCCTATTTAGGAACGAAAATCAGTGTGCCGTTCAGGGGCTGAACACAGAAGAATTTTCTCCACTCTCGCAATCAAAATGATGAGCAAACAGATCTCAACGACTGCTTGCAGTGTTGGGAAATATGTTCAAAGCAGACGTGAATACAGTGTTTAATAGGAAGGAGAAAGTAGTAGTAGACCAAAGGACTAGGATTCGAGCTCACACCTGGATCCTCCGGTTCCACAACAACCACACCGAGTGTGCTAGTGCCATTGCTCCAGGGGCAAATGATCGGGCACTGTTTGAATAACGAGTGTGAATGTACGAGTACTGGCGATAATGTCTACCGGGCTACATGTACGCACGGCATCGTAGACCGGGGGATAGTGGGTTCGTTATTGTCGGGGCATGGGGGATGTCGCGACTCCTGCCGAGTCTCTCTGGTATTTTCATCCCATTTCGCAAAGCAAGTAGCACTCTTAGGTGTCAGGCTACCATTTGAGGCTTCCTGGACCGTCTCCGTGCATTGTGAACGCAGATCAAGTGATGGCGATGCGGGCTGCAAGAAAGCCTCACACAGGCCCTCTGGCGTTGGGCTGAAGCTCGCAACCATCATAAAGATTCTTTTACAAGCAGCACAACAATTCTATTCCATTTTCTTCGCCATTTGCTTTCTATTCACGCTGTCGTGCATAGTTGGCGTGAAGATGGCCAGTTAGCTCTATCTAGACGCAGAGTAAATTGCTGGCCCAATTTTCCCCTGAAAACCACGCTATGAAGCCTGACAGAGGGGACAATCAGAGAAATGATGACAGAGTCAAGTTTCCTATCAAACAGCCTCACGTCTTGTCGAATGTCCTAATGTCCGGGCTTCTTTTTGTTCAAGTGAGGCGCGTAGAAAGTGCCCTCCACCTCGACAATGTCGTCTTCATTCAGTCGATCAACCTCGATAATCGTTCGGGGCGGGTACGTGTTCGCGTCGTCGCCCCAGAGCTCAATCTGCACCTCATTGCACATTGGTCGGTACCTGTACATGTCGGTCGTGTAAACGACGACTCGGACACAGGAATACAGGTCAGCCCCCACCATCTCAGCGAGCGCAGCCATGTTCTGGTATGCTTGGCGAACACGTGGAAGACCGACGGGCGCAAGAGTGCTATTCTCTGGGTGAATGCCACGCATACCTGCATCGAAAGTAAGCAATCATTTCCAGACAGTCTTGCTTATTATCACAGGGAGGATGAGGCCACAGACCGGCAATGTACAGGGTATCTCCGGCCTGCGACATCAAGCTCCATGGCCCAGTCGTGTTGAAAAAGTTAGAAGGATTGTAAATTGAAACGCCGGATTTCGAGGTAAAGTCGGGCTCAATGAGCGCAAAGGACAGTCCAAGCATGGGCACGAGGGAAAACGCTCGAGGACGCATGGTGCGGTACAGTCGACGTGTTTTCTGGCCAAATTTGGGCGGTGCGCACGACGGGGGGAACAAATATCTCCTGTTGAATAGGAATCTTAGATTGACTCGGGGTCTGGGGCTATTGAGATTTATTAATAAATCGATTCGGGTCTCTTGCGAACCACCAGTCCACCATTGACCACACGTTATCCGAACCCCTGCTAATCCTTTGAGCTTAAAACGTGGGACTTTTTGCCGATCCGACGGACTGGACAAATAAGACGCTGCCGATTGATAACAGGCCAAAACATCCAAATCGCCACTCCGTGGCTTCAATTCAAGGATGGTCCAGATATTGACTTTCCCGACCTCCACAGGGCTCAAGCCATTTGAATCCAAGCTTTCAAAATCTCCTATCTGGAGGCAGCCTACAGGGCCTTCTCAATGAATGCTACTTTCAATGTCCCTGACTGTCGACAGTGTCACTGACGCCATGTCTGCAGGGTAGCCCACCCTCGCACCTGTTCTGCGCAACTCATGTGCTTGCGTGCCGGACTGATACAAGGCTGCGTTTTGTATCTAGGTGGAAATCATCGCTCTCCATATATCGTATACATTGGGTACCTATTGGAATTTGAAATTCAGGCTCCCCAGGCCTGAAATGTAATTGAGATCGGTTTGTTTGAAAGCTATCTGACAACATGAACAAGAGTCTCTGTACTGCATTTATCCCTCTCGCACTTCACAAAGCATATCCGGAGCTGTTATACGCCGTCCTTCCCTTTATTCAACAATAGTTTAACCGCGTAATTGCACATTTCAGAAAATGTCGCGACAACGTCAGATGATCAAGCGCATACTACGTACAATGGGGCGCCACACTGGGCCTATCATATCGAGCCCACCCGCTTAAAAGGGAAGTAAGTTAAGTAGCACGAGTCAAGGCCGGCCACCACTACCACTTGTTTAACTGTCCGTTATTGTGTGTGGCGTGGCAATAACGACTTGTGGCAACATGGCGCGGTCTCCAGTCCCCTTGTATGCTCGCTCCTTTGAATCTGCTCCACAGTGGCTCGGCATCTCAGCAGCTCATAGCACCTCGTGCGGAGAAAGTACAAATTCTCTTGGACAAATGGAGGCAAACCCTGTCCAAGATTAGTGATAGGGGGCTGATTCATCGTTAACATCAGGCTGGGATGTACAGGATTCGTGGTACGAATCACGAACGTACCACAAGATATCCACATTAGAGCAATAGAAGGTCTGTTCTTTCGGAAGCTTTCATTCGGCCCCCCTTTGTAACACCGCGTCATGCGAAAGAAGGCATGCTATCCCAGCCACTGACGACCACGTCCAGCTTTTCCATATAATCCACATCTCCTGCTGGGTCGAGATCATCCATAGCCCAGGCCCTCTGGATCATGTCCTTCACCATTGCCGTCCCCGCCGTGGGCTGACTTGCCTGCGTCTTCTCAAGGCAATCAAGAATGACTATTCGCTGCTTGTCTGTACGCGCCTCGCATGCGATGATGAAAACCGGAAAATTGTACTTCAGAACACCCATTGTCGCCAGCATGGCAAAAGCTGCACCAGCCCACGTCGCGAGCTTTGGTGAGCTTCCCGAGAAGTTCCGAGACGCCCTCTCCAGATAGATAAGTGCTGCGAGGCGATAAAGTTCCATGACAGCAAACATGCGATGCTGACTGGGTGCTGATTGACTCAAGTCCATTCGCTCCTCTTCAGGGACGTGCTTGCCGTTGAAAATGCTCTCTAGCTCGTGCTCAAGACTCTCGAGCTCCCTTCTGTATTGAGAACTGTGATATTGGAGATGGGATGAATCGACAATGCTTTGAAATACATCCGCTAACAGCCACAGGACTTTGTGGCTTGAGGGCAATTCGTGGGTCATCTAAAAAAAGATTTTAGTCGTCGACACATGGTACAGATGTTGTCCGTTTGTGTCAGTCCCAAAACCAGAAATCCTTGGGCGACTCACTGGTGAGGGATACTGGAGAAAGGCTTTCATGGCTTTGGTATTGGCACGCATGCCGTCTTGAGGATGCCTCGATCGAACTACTCCCGCCACTTTCGATCTAGGTTTTGTCCGCCAATGTTTGAGGCTGAACTGAGCAGGCACGTCGTGGTGATAAAGCCAGTTTGTGACGCCGATGAACTCACTGGACACAGTCGTCTTGTCCAGATCCCCAGCCTGGATGAGCCTTTTGGCGCCTCTAAGATACAGAAACCATGGCCCTGCCATTCGGTAGTTCCCGTGAATCTGTGACATGCCACATGTCAGTATTCAGCTACGTGACGGATAGCAGAAACTTAATCATTTATCGAACTTCATTGGCCCGTGAAACTGGATGACTTGCCTCCAGAGAACACAGCAACATGCCAGCAGCCACGTGTTGAGTAACCTGTGAGCCTTTGATCCCCACACTCGCCGATTTCTCCAGCGCACGCAAGGCTGCACCTTGAAGTCTGATGGTCTCTTCGGTTGGGCCGTGGCGAAAAAGAGAAGAGATAGCCAGAGTAGCATACAGGACGCCTCGCGTTGCTGCCGAGTCGTCATGGAAAGCCAGCCGCGTGAGGATGCCGAGCAGAGTCTGGGACATAACGTCGCACGAAATTGCTGACGAGGCTATGAGCTGAACTAATAAGCTTGAATGAGTCATCCAGCATCATATGTAGACTATGGCTCACGTCTTACAATATTGGAGCAGGGTGTGATGAGACACATCAAGCCTCATAGGAATCCATGACAAGCGCGACGTCAAGGACAGACGCGAATCGACAGGCTCGGGGCCCTCTCGTCGTTTATAAATGCTTGAGTTCAACGTTTTCCTGCCAGATATGGAAGATGACTCACTCCGCATTACTTGGTCTGCTGAGATGTAGAGATGGGTGTGAATGTCTTCGACTCCAACATTTATCCACCGAGAGGACTTGACCTGAGTGGCAGGGTGGCTTGAAGTAGGACGTGCTCTGGGCCCGACAATCGACCTTTTTCCATCGTTTGGTTTTGGCCATGACAAGTTTTTCTTGTATGCTGGACACGATCTTCGTGCCTGCTCACAGCTCGTACAGTGCGGCAGTTTTCGGTCGCATCGAAGCTTCCGCTCTGTCAGGTTCGCCCACCAAATCAGCTTCCAAGTTTGAAAGATTGCTAGTATCTGAGTTCTGGGGCTTTCACCCACCTCTACAGGGTGCGCAGGCTGGCCGAGCCATCGGCCATGAGCACATCAGACAGCGATCCAATGAAAGCGCCGTGCCGTCGGGTACCGGGTTGAGGTCAAAGCACGACGAGATGAAGCAACGCAAGCCTTGGAAACTCGAAGCGCTTAAGCGAAAACGTTGCCAATAACCCTGATTTGGCAAAGAACCTTTGTCGCGGTCGCGGCGCGTTGTGATCAAGACAAGCGAGCTGTGCGACGAGAGATGGCGACTGGAGGTCGTTTGCTTGTGGAGGCAGCGGAGATTACAAATGCTGCAAGGTGTATGCTGACCGTATGACGTTACGCTAGACCCGATTTCTACCCCCACAGTGTATCCTTTTCCAGAGCTTGGGCAACTTTTTCCCGAAGCTAATGCCGCTCCACGGGCGGACACTATTACCTTGTTCACGAATTGAGCTCCTTGGATATGGAAGTCGGCGGACACTGCGCCAAAGGCCTTCGAGAACTCTGATGATCAAGAGCTCTCAATGAGCAAATAGCTCGGTATGATTACCAATGCCACCTGATGCACGGAGGCCGAAAGTTGCAAAAGCCCGGGAAGCGTGCGTATAAATATGGCCACCCTGCAGCGACAAATACCAGACCACTCAGTCTCAATCTCTCATTAACTACCCAGCTTGCATATCACACAAAATCGAACAAATCCCTTTTTGAATACTTCCGTCCTCCACATCAATATTTCAGAATGTCCTCTTACGTTGTTGTCGGAGCATCGCGAGGCCTTGGCGTGAGTTTGGTCAAAACCCAATTTGCTGATGTGGGCGTGCACTGACGAATAGCGTTGAGTTTGAATACCTCAAACAACTTTCTGAAAACCCCGAAAATGTTGTCGTCGGCCTCGTCCGTAATGTGCAGGCCACCAAAGAAAAGGTTGCTGCTGAAATCAATCGACCCAATGTCCACATCTTCTATACCGATCTGAACGACTACAAGACACTCCCTGTATGCGGGTATCCACATCATATTATATGAAAAATGCTCACGACGAGACCAGGGAGCTGTGGAGGAGACCTCCAAGGTCAGTGGCGGCAAGCTGGATGTCCTCATCGCCAATGCGGCCGTTGGCGGAGACCACTTTGACCAAACGCTGAGCCAGCTGTACGTGAACGAGCTGCTCTATGTTGCCGAGGAGAACTGACGCAAATTGCAACAGAGGCAGCGACCCTGGGAAGCTTGAGAAAGACTTGACGGATTGTTTCCGCCTCAACGCGGTTGCGCAAGCCCACGCGGTCAATGCTTTTATGCCTCTTGTCCTGCTGGGCAAGGCCAAGAAAGTGATCATGATGACGACAGGCATGGCCGACGTGGACTTGGTGAGGAAATACGATATATGGATGGCCGTGGGCTACTGTGCTTCGAAAGCAGCCCTGAACATGATCATCGCCAAGTTCAGTGCCGAGTACCGCGAAAAGGGTGTCCTATTTCTGGGCATCTCCCCTGGCGTGGTCGATACAAGTGCAACCGACACCGACGGCTGTGAGTTCTTACATCTCATGTTTTGTGAAATGCCATTGCTGATTGTTCTTCAGCCAAAGATCCCACGAACCCCGCTTTGTCAGCGCTGGGGGCGAAGCTGCTCGAGTACGAACCAGGGTGGAAGGGCGCGATTACAACCGAGGAGTCAATCAAGAAGGTCCTGTCCGTGACTGAGAAAGCGAGTGTTGAGGATGGCAATGCTGGCGACTTCTTATCTCACTTTGGTAACAAGAAGTGGGTGTAAGCTGCGTGAGGCGCCATTGCAAAGCATGGATCATGACTACGACAGTCACTGGCTTTCACACATGCGGGGGTTGAACTTGAATAAGTGAAATGTGCAATTGGACATTATGCACTCGCTTGGGAGGCATGTCCAGTGAAAGTTGGCATTAAAGATTGTATATCTGGCAGTAGTTGGCACGTCAAGTAGAACTCAACATGTATCAAGTCGAAATTGCTCCCGAGTGCAACATACTGCCATCGGGGGAATAGTACAGGCCACACGGAACCGGTCAGCAACTGGGGATTGCATTTACACATCCGACTTGCGGTCATGGGAAGTCTCCACCTCGGCGGTCTCCACCTCAGGCTGCTTCTCCTTCGCCATGTAGTCGAGCTGGTCGACCTCGGCATTCTCACCGTCGAAGATTCGGGCAATCTCTTCCAAGGTGGGACCCTTGGTCTCGACGTAGAAGAAGTAGACAAAGGCAAGCTCCACGGCGATCCAGGCCTAGAGAAGAATGTATTAGCCTGTCGTTCTCAAGAGCAATGTGCGCTTTCATTAGAAACATAGGAAAACACGTACCGTGTAGAAGCACCAGAAATTCCAGTTGTTGGGCAGGTTCTGGAGAGCAATAGGGTTCGTCTGGTTGCTGATGGTGAGGGCGACCTGGATGAAGAAGTTCATGATCATGAGACCACGGGCACGGAGCCTAAAGGGGAGGATCTCCAGAGCGTAGGCGACGATCAGACCAGACCAGGCGATGGAGTAGCACACGTCGAACATCCAGATGAGGGCGATCTGCGGATAGCCCAGGCGCTTGATCTCGGTCTTGCCGGTGGCCTCAAAGCGGGCAGCGACAACGGTCCAGGCCAGGAACATGAGCAACATGCCTGAAAAGAGTATCAGATAAATGTCTGAGAGTGTTTCCATGACGTAGGCAAGTTCACTTACCGACAGTGGCTGTCAAGAAGAGTGGGCGACGACCGAACTTGTCAATACCAAAAGCGCAACCAATGGCGACGAACAGCTTGAGCATGTTCTCTCCACCGTTGAGACCTGTCTTGGCAGCCTGATCTGTGATACCAGCGCCCTCATAGATCAGGTTGGAGTAGTTGCTGATGAGCGCGTTGCCAGAGTACTGAGAGATGATACCTAGAGAGATAAGGAGCATGAGGCGGTAGCGGTTGCCAGGTGTCCTGAGGAAGTCGAGGTAGCTGCTGGTCTTCTTGGCCTGGTACTCGAGGGAAATTGTGTCCTTGATCTCCTTGTACTCAAACTGCACCGTTGCGTTGGTGGTGTCGCCGTTGGCGTGGTACTTGGCGAGGATGCCGAGGGCTTCTTCGTGTCGCTCGCGGGACATCAACCAGCGGGGGGACTCGGGAATCCACCAGAGAAAGGAAAGCTGGATGAAAGAGGGCACCGCCTGAAAGAGGGTGATGGTTCGCCACGACCAGTCGTTCGGGATGTTAATCGTGCCGAGGCCAATGAAGGAGCAGACTAGGGGGGGATCTTATCAGTCTCTCGATTCTTTTGCAGATCATTCGCTTTAGAAAGGCCACTCACTGGTCGCTCCCAAGTTCCAGAGACAGTTGTAGATGGCGGTAACGATACCACGGTGCTGAGGGTGGCAGATCTCAGTGAGCAAGACAGGGCAAGCCAGCTGCGCAAGCGAGTTGCCGAAACCAACGAGGAACCGGCCGCCAAGGTACACTGTAGCACGGATTGTTAGCTACTGGCATGCGCGAGAGGAAAGGGCCACATACTGCCCATGCCGTTGGTGAAGGTCGAGAGGAAAGCACCAAGAACCATGATGAGGCAACCGAGAGCAATCGGGACCTTGCGACCAAAATGATCGGCCAAGTATGGGCTGTAACAAAGAGCGGTCGTTAGCCGGAATGATCCAGTTTGCCATGTCCATTTTGGCACCCGTAACTCACGCGAATGGGAAACTGGCAATGCTACCAATCTGGTAGATGGCGTTGAGAATGCCTAGCCTCGAGCCCCTGGGTTCGTCAAAGTATTCCTGCCATTCGTCCATGACTTGGGAAGCGTTCAACATGGAGCTGATGGCGTGTTAGTTCCCCTTCTGTTCCTCGTGGTAGCTTCAAGCTGGCTTACCCATCGTAACCCGTCGTAGCAGAGCAGACGCAAAGAACCGCGGCATAGAAGTAGAGCTGACGCATGCCAGGGTCCTTCCACCACTTTACCTTGGCCAGATGAGGGGCCTCGGCCTGGGCAACGGCGGCCTCATGCTTCGCGTTTTTCGCGTTGCCGAATGCGAACCCCATGATGAAAGTTGATTCGGGGTGCGGTCTATGGATCAGAGTTGAGAAGGTTGAGAGAAAGGAAGATTGCCGCAGCGAATTCAATGACCAGTAGCGAGCACTACGATACAGGGAGACGAGTAGTCGATGCGATCGTGGCAGCGGGTAAGTATTATATACTGGTTCCTGGGCACAAAAGGCCCGAGTAACCCCAACAGCGGGTACATGCATGTGCAGTTAATATCTGAAAGCTCCGGGAGCGGGCATTTGCGCACTTGGCATGGCATTTGCCAGGAGGTATCTGCTTTGCCATGCCCCAGCGTTCTGTTTGGTCGGCTAATCTGACTGGCGCGACCTCAAAGCGTCGGAATGTGGGCTGACATGGCATGGGGTGGTAGAGATCCACTACCATGCGGCCAGTCGCGGCGGTTGTGGATAAATGAGCGTGTGGGGGAGAGCATGGGCCGAATTCCCCAAACTCCCCACACTGACAAGGTTAAAGTCGCGTTTTACCCGGATCAATCAAACACCGGGCCTGTGGGGAGACTCGCCCTCTCCACTGTCTCCAAGTCCAGAACAACTGGCCCGGAGTCGATGCAGTCCCTGGCTTGAGGCTTGAGCCGAGGCTCAGACGCCTCAAGCGGGTGACTCGAGGCACATCGCAATATCACCCGGGACTGGAAATGGACTCTGGAGTTGAGCAGGACTCGAACGAGCGTCAGACCTCTCTTCTGATCTTCTGATCTTCTGATCTTCTGATCCTCTGATCCTCTGATCCTCTGATACCCGGGGCCAGAGGCTGCCGCATTACATGTCAGCACTCAGACAGACACAGCGGAATAACGGCGCGACGGATCAGACGGCCACCGAGCTGTCAGCTGTCCGCCCTTCCATCCCCCGAGCCCCTATGCACAGACTGATGAACATTGCGCAAGTCACGTTGTTAAAATTTCGCCGAGAAGAGACGGCAATTCTTGGCGTTCAAAGTATTCATCTCGGCCGAGGTGGCAATCAGGCGGTCGTGAGAAGAGAGCCCAAACGCCTGCGCAAACGATGATGCTCACATGCATACTCCAGTCACCGTTGTCCCGGCACACCACGCCTCATTGCTTTAACCGGCACGGTACGTACATGCACAACGGGAAGTGCAAACCCGATTGGTTCGAGGTCGTACGTGCCTACACCGCTGTTGGCATCGTGATTGCGCCCAATCATGAACGTTGGAGGCCACGGGCAGATTATTAGACTGGACCTTTGCTCTCCGTAGTCTAGGATTGTTTTCAGGGTGACTATCTACGTCCACGACTTTGGCTCCCTGGCTGCACGCGGACAAGTGGGCCTTATGAATGGAATCGCTGTTGGTTGTCAAGGACTCAAGACATTGGCCGCTTTATGGAGTGCGGACACAAATAGCCTAAATTCAATCTCAAGGCCACACCAGGACTGGCTTCACAACCTCTCCCAGGCGCATGTCCTCCAGGGCCTTGCTGAAATCGGAGACATTGTAGAACTTCATAATCTTCTCGTAAGGAAAGACGCCCTTCCTCTTCCACGCAATCATGTCGAGCGCGTACTGCTGGGGGACAACATCCCCCTGCACGCAACCCAGGATCTGCTTCCCGCTGTTCATCAAGTCGAGCATGGGGATATCCCAGGTGTCAGTGGGAGCGGACATGCCTACAGGTATGATCTTGCCGCCATTGCAGGCAAAGTCGTAAGAGGCACGAGCGAGAGCGCGCACCCCAGTCGTGTCGAGCGACACGTGCACGCCGCGCCCATCAGTGATCCTGCGCACCTCTGCGGTCAGGTCAGTCGACTCTTCAGACGTGTTCACGGTGTGCGTCGCGCCGAGTGTCTTGGCTAACTGCAGCCGAGACTCGTTTTTGTCAACCGCAATGATTCGTCGACAGCCGCGCATGCTTGATGCCTAAGGATGGAAAGAATCAGCTCTCTCCTCTCTCTCTCTCTCTCTCTCTCCCCCCCCACTCCCTTCTTCTCCTTCGTATATGCTCGCACCAGCTTGCTGTAACTGTCAACGGCTCATTACTCACCATGATTGCACTTAGTCCAACACTACCGACACCGATTATGGCCACGTCTTGTCCGGCCTTGACGGCCCCAATGTTCAGCATCGCTGCACTCCCAGTCTGCACGCCGCAGCCGAGAGGACCAAGATACTTGAGCTCTTCGTCGCTCTCGACCACGCCGCGTAGATTGACTAGGCACCTCGCCTTCACGACTGCCCGGCTCGCAAAGCTGGACTGACCAAAGAAAGAGCCGCCAATATCGCACCTGTCACTACCCTCGGACTGATAGACCTCCCTGTCGGCCACAAAGTTCAGGCGGAACATGTCTGCGCAGTGTGCCGGATGGTTGTCCTCGCAGGCGTAACACGCACCACAGCTCGTGAACGACAAAAGGACGGGGTCGCCCACTGACAACTGGGACACTGAAGAACCGGTCTTCTCGACGTAGCCGGATCCTGGTAGTGGAAAGCAGTAAGTATCAACACCGTCAGCGTCCATAAAAAAGTGAAAGTACCTTCATGTCCCAAGACTCGAGGATAGTAGACGGGGCTGCTTAAGTTGTCGCCCAGTGCTGCTGGGGCGTCTCCAATGTGCACGTCGGCCAAGCAAATGCCGCTTGCGATGACACGGACGAGCACCTCATCATCTAGCAGCTCACGCGACTGGACTGACCCCAGCTTCCATTGCCCCTTGCTCAAAGGGCCGTGGGCAACCAGAGCCAACCCTTGCGAGATTGAATTATGGCTCATGTCCGAAAGATTTGACTTGAATCGTGAGGCCATCAAGGTGCCTGGGGTACCAGAATTGTTGTAGATGAATACAAAGTGCGTATTTCGACCGAAAGTATGAACGATACTCGTCCCGGAAACAAGGGAATCGGCGCGTTTCGGAGAATATCTGTTCACACCTGCATCATGTACCTGTCTGCAGCCTCATAGCCTCGCGACTGGCTCCGCGGGGAATTCGAGAAGTCTGGGGAATCATGGTGGACTTCGCTTCGCTGCTGACTCAGGAGCCAGGGCTGTATTACAGAGTACATTCTTGCGAACCAGACTACTAATAGTAAATCGTGGCCTCCTCGACCATTTCGCCTTCTGCTTTCACGCTCTTCAGTTGCTTGCCAGCCAGCTTCTAGACGCGCGCGTCTCCCTACGTGATACAACGATTGCATTACTTTGAGATAAGACTCGTACCTCGTTTTCAGGAACACCCGATTTACCCCGAGCTAGAGCGGTGCTCTGCTGCTCTGTTTGACGCCCGGAAACCGACCAGAGGAAGCTTGCTCCTCAGCAGCAAGCTACTGGATATGACGCTGACGCTACTCAGTGCCATGGCTAAGCTAGCCCAGACAGGATCAAGTCGCGTGTATGAGCCATTGGTCTTGATTGGATACAGAACACCGGCTGCAATAGGCAGGGCCACAAGGTTGTACACACTCGCCCAGAGGAAGTTGAACTTGACGCGCCTGAAAACGACACAGCTGAGCTCGATCAATATGAGCAATGTGTCAAGGTCCGACTTGATCAGGACGAATCCGGCAGCAGAGATTGCCACATCGGATCCAGCGCCAATGGCGATTCCGACGTCGGCGGCTGTCAATGCTGGCGCATCATTTACGCCATCGCCAATCATCGCCACAATCGCGCGTTTCGATGTCTGGTTCTTGAACGCAAAACGGCTCTTTTGCCGCTTTGGTTGACTCCGTTGAAGATATTTGACCTTGTCGGCCTTCTGCTCCGGTAGCACACCTGCGATGATGCGGCCTGGGGGGATAGATACCATAGCTCCCACGGCCTCTGCTGTCTTGGCGTTGTCTCCTGACAGCATCCAGACATCGACGCCGCGGTCGTGCAGCGAGGCCACCACAGACTGCGCTTCTGCGCGAACGGGATCCGAAGAGGCAAAGACAGCAGCTGGCTCCCAGGGTCTATCTCCTTCGATTTGGCGCGAAGCGACGAGAATCACGGACTTGGCCTGGTCTTTCCACGAGTCCAATGTCGCGGCGGTCGAAGCATCAAACTGGACCTTGTGGTCATCCATCAATCTCTCGTTACCAACAATCATCTCCATGCCGGAAAGGGTATCGTCGGGAGGGAAGACTGCCATCATGCCTTTTCCAGGGATCTCTTGCACCTCTCGCGGTGTTGCGCCCCTGGATCCTCTCTGCTCGCACCAGGCCACCAGAGCCTTTGCAATCGGATGGCTGCTATTGCGCTCCACCTCCCCAACGCCTGACAGTAAGCGATCAGAAACCTGTTCATTGGTACCGTTCTGGAGCAAGAGATATTCAGTGATCTTCAAGTCCCCGCCCTCGGTGAGTGTGCCAGTCTTATCGAAGACAACAATGTCAATGTCGCTAGCTTCCTGGAAAGCCTCGCCACCACCCTTGGCCAGTATACCGTGCTTGGCGGCAAGCCCGCCACCGACAAAAAGGGCCGTTGGTGCTGCGAGGCCAATTCCACACGGGCAAGCAATAACGAAGACGGCAATGGCGAATTGCAGCGACCAGAATGGCCAGCCTCCGACATTGACGTCTTTGTAATCGTCTGGCAGCCGACCTGACTCACCAAGGCCTAGCCATGTGGCCCAAATAACAATAGCAAACAGCGTCACAAAGGGAACAAAGTATCCAGTAATCGTGTCTGCCAGTCTCTCTATTGGAGCGCGCTTGGCCTGGCCTTCTCTGACGACACGAATGATATTATCGAGCAAGGATTCGCCGGCTGCACCCCGAATCCGTATCGTGACAGCCACGCCCTTGTTGACAGTGCCGGCGTAGACGTCATCACCCACTGTCTTCATGATGGATCTTGACTCGCCAGTCAGACTCGCTTCGGAGAACTCAGCCTCTTTGTCGAGCAGTGTCCCGTCCCATGGCGGTGATGATCCATGTACCACGACAACAGAGTCCCCAGACTCGAGTGTATCTGTTGGTGCATGTACTCGCTGTCCGGATGGAGTAACCAGGAGGGCCTCTTTCGGTCGCAGTTGGCCCAACTTGGTCACTGCTTCTCCCGTCTTGGCTTTGCTGTAGGCCTCAATCATACGACCAACCAGTAGAAACATGGTGAGGAAAATGACAGAGTCAAAGTAAGAGGTCATCTCAGGCGTGTCCGTCCCATGTCTTCTCAGAGAGGCAGAAATGGCCAGCTGTGCAATAGATGCCGCATAAGCGATTGTCGTGGCAAAGGAGACTAGCATGTCCATGCTTCCAAAGCGGTAAAAGCGTCGGAGAAGAGGGACTGGGCTCCCTGGCTTCCACATCACAAACAGGTCTTTGATGGTACGACGGTGGAAGACATCGGCTCCAAAGAAGTAGACTGGGGTTGAAGTCACCAGCAACGCCCACTCGGCCCGTGACACGCCGTGCCACTTCTCCATCAGGTACATGCGATTCGGGTCGTGCTCCGAGACCAGCAACATGAACACAATGCCAATGATGAGACCTGGTATAGCAGCCGCAATGGCCAAGAGTAAGCGATAGAGTAGTTGTCGTCTATTGTGCGCGTGTATCTGCTGCGATCGTTCTTCGACAGTGGGCGGGTGATGAATGGCTGCATCCAGAGCTGGATCAGCAGACGTGATGGCGGAGAGTATCGTTCGGATCGTAAAGTCAGGTGCCCTAGGACTGTACGACACTGTCATGATGGGAGATGCCAGAGTGGGCGTTTCGTCAATCGTGACCGTCGGTTCCATGCTTTGGATTGCCCCAATGACTCTATCAGGGCAGTGCTCGCAATACATGTTGCTCACCCGTATCGCAAGAGTCCTTCGAGTAGGTTGATTCTTGATCGCATTGATGTTCACCACGTCACTGAGCCTCGCATCATAACCGCTCGCCTTGATGGTGTCGAGGATTTCTTGCAGGTGACTTTTGCCCTTGAATTCGACCGTCGCGCTACTGGCGACCAGACTCACGTTGGCTGTCTGCACCCAACCGTGCGCTTCAACAGCCTTCGTTATCTTGCCCACACACGAACTGCAACTCATTCCGTAGATGGAAACCTCCGCACGCCAAACATCATTTGGAGCCTCTGGACTATTCGGTGCTCGTTTGCTGTCCAAGATCTGAATATTGTCAATGCGCGCATCATAGCCGATATCTTCAATGAGACGGATGATGTCCTCGGCCCTGTCCGTGCCGCGAAAACGAACCACTGCCGATCGATTCAACAAGGAAACATCCGCCGCCTCAATCCATGGCTCAGCCGTCAATGTTTCGCTGATTTTCCCAACGCAAGAACTGCAGCTCATCCCATCGATTAACAATTCGACTTGGGAAAGCTGGGGGGCAGATGCTGGAACCGCGTCGTTGACGGCGCCACCAAGTTCGGCTGTCGGAGTGGCTTGAGCCGGACTCGTTGTCGGATACCCATCTGAACCTGGCTTGAGCTTCATTTTGCACTCGAAACAGTTGTCGATGTGACGCTGCTTGGCTCGACGTTGTCGAATTCGCCCCACGACATTCCATGGCTGGGCCGGATGGTTGAACCAGGCACCAAGCACAAAATCCTCACGCTGAGCGCTTTGATCTGCAGTATTCGATCGCGTCGCGTCCTGGGCTCTCAACTGAGCTTCTGGATCAACAGCGATGGACTGGACCTCGTAGCCAGAATTGCCCAGCGCCAATGCCATGGCTTTGATGCTAGCTTGGGGCCCATGGCGGATAAGAACGCTATGGGAGGGAATGCAGGTCTCTACAATGGCGTCTGGCTCGATTCTTCGGATAGTTTTCGCGATGAAAGATGCGCAGGTCGAGCAATGTGCACCGGGTACAAGGAATGTCGTCGTCGTGCGCGGCTCAGCGCTCGTTCCTTCAGAACGTTGCTCGGGATGCATCCTGAACCCTGGTGGAGGATGATGAAAGATTTCCAGTTGCTGAGCCCGAGGTGGGATGAGAATCAAGGTCGTTTGAAATGGTGAAAATCTGAGCAGGTAGTGAAGAGCAAGGCCCCTCCAAGTCGTTCTTTTTGATTGATGTGAAGCTCCAACTGGGCGTGTAGTAAGCTTAAAAGTTTTTCAGCCTCATTGATCGTAAAGATGATTCAAGTTTCTTCTCAGAAGTCGGCAATCTGAAGAAACACTGCTGGTGCGACTTGTGGTTTGTACGTGACTGGGTGCGGTGATTGTGCGTCCAGTGACTCCAGTCATCGATGAGTGGCGAGTCAACGACCAGTCCCCCTACCAGCCCCACTACACTGCGGCACAAATCTCGCAGCGGCTTATTTGCGGGGTCTCGCTTCGTACATTTCGCGTTGGTGACAAACCCGCAAATGCACGACCAGGGTTGGAACAGTTCACAACGCTCTGGCAGTAACTGGCATCGCTGGTGTGCCATACAGGTTAAATGAAATGATCGTACAGATATGAGGGTGATCAATGGCACGCCTTGCCAAACCTCCTAAGCTTATAGTAGTTGTATGGCAATGGTGCGAGAAACCCAGCGATCGTGGAGACCAGTGCAGCTGCCCAGAACGAAGGAGAATCAAACTGAACAGCGCCGCCCATGAGATGGTAATCTACCATGTTCTCCGCGACTTCCATCGTCAACATGGATATCATACTCATTCCGGCGGCTGTCTGTGCTGCAACCTTCCAGGCCAACTTGTCGCGACCGTATCTCAGCAGAGTCGTCTCCAGCAAGAGAGACGTGGTGATGCCGCTGGCCACTAGGCGGCAGAACGTTAGCGTGATGGTCTTCCATTGCGAGCGACGGCAACACGTACTGGATAATGCCATGATGGTGGTCATGCCCAGTTGCGGATGCGCGGATTGAAGGTACCACATTGCACTGAAATCGCCAGTCGTGCAACCAACCAGACAACGTGTCGTGTTGACCGCAGCTCTCTTCCAGGCCGATCTCAGGGACCAGAAGCCCGGGTTGGGACTCGGGGTTGAAGTTTTTTGGCACGCTGGCTTCTTCTCGCATTGGCGATTCCCCTTTCGCGTTGTTGCGATGACGCGGCTAGCGACTTTGTACGGTGTGCTCCATGGCGAGAATGAATCTGGGGTGCACGAGAGCCGCGACATACATCTCATCGGTGATTTAAATATTGGTGTGCTTCGAATCAACAACATCTTGGGCGGCTTTGTTGGTGTTTTGAGTAATGTGTCTGCGCGCTTTTGAGTCGAGGGAAAACAGATTTGCGTGCACGCAATGTGACGCGACACAAGTTGACCAAGCTCTTGAACCAAATCCAATAATTATATTTAAGGGGCGTGAAATCTCGCCGCACACACTTGTCAACTATGTAGCGCGATCTTCATTCTAAGGAAGATTCTAGGATATATGCATAATACAATATTTTGGTTACATTACCTATACATGAGGCAGCGCGTGGCGGCATTGATCAACTGAACAAGTGAAGGTCAAGGGTAGCCTGATCCTATACTGTATCCTGCTCGTCGACGTGGAAGACAGGCGCCGATTGATCCGCTGCTCTGTTATTTAGTCATCGACTTTCTCTCCCTCTTTGCTCTTTGTTCCACTTGTGTCGCCTGCCTCAAGACCTTTTTTCGCTGGTTTTTTGACACTTCTCATCTCCAATCCCGCAATGCCTATAACGGTCGCAGCGGTCAACCCGAGTCCAATGTACAAAACAGTCCTGATCGCCTCATTGTAGCTGTGGAGGGCTTCGGCTCGATAGTCGGCGGGAATGTCGCTGAATATCGCATTTGCACCACCGAGTGTGACAGATTTTGACTCAAACCCTGGCAAGCGGGAGAGGCGCGAGATGAGCTGGTTGTTCAGCACGTTGGTCCCCACGGGGACGAAAACGGTCGCTCCCATGAGTTGACCGAACATCATCAGTGAGGTACCAATGGGAACATCTTCTGTCGGCAGCGTTGTTTGGGCGGCTAGATTGGGCGCTTGAAAGCATATTCCGAGGCCGAAGCCAGCCAGGATCTGATAACCGATCCACTTGCCCGCGCCCGTGTCAATGTGCAGGGTCGTCAGGAGACCGGCACCAACCGTCATCAAGCACGCGCCGATGATTGCTGTGGGGGTGTAATATCCAACCCGCTGCACAAAGAAGCCGTTGCTCATCGTACCGAGAACCATGGAAAGCATGAGGGGGAGGAGTCGGATGCCCGAGTCCACGGCAGACACATTCTTGACGACCTGGAACCAAATGGGCAGGAAGTAGGCTACACGTACAATTAGAATCGACAGTCGTGAGGCGTGACACTGGGGCGTACTAAGAATGTACATGCTGCCTCCGATGAGGATGATGGCACAAAGCCCAAAATATGTGCTGCGCTTTTTGATGACCCTGCCAGGAATGGTGGCGGTTCGAGGTAAAAGCACCTGTGCAGCAATAAAGGCGGTAGCAAAGACGCCCACGAGCGTCAACAAAGCAATGATACGACTGCTGCTCCACTTGTTTCTGTCAGTACGAGGAACAGGACTTTAGACGGTGAAGGAGGGACCCTCACAGCATATGTTTGTCCTCCCCACTGTAGCGCCAGCACAAGACATGCCATGGACCCTGTCAGCGCAAGCGTACCGACTCCATCAAGTTGCTTCAGTTTCTCCAGAAGAGGCGTATTGATCTTGTCCCTGTCGGGGACTTTGAGACAGATGGCGATGACGACCAGGGCAATGGCGCCAAAGGGGAGATTGATGTAGAAGCACCATCTCCAAGTGACGTGAGTGGTGAAGGCGCCGCCGACAAGGGGCCCGATGATGGAGGCGATCCCAAACAGTGCACCAAAGAAGCCCTGTATCTTTGGACGTTTCTCCAGGGGTACCGCAGCTACTATGACCATGATCTGTTTTCAAAGTTAGTGACCGCTGCTTGCCCAGAAAGCATGCTGCGTTGAAACTTACACATCCCACCATGATGCCGGCTGATCCCATACCCGCGATGGCTCGGCCAGCAATGAAGACGTCTGAAGCAGGCGCAGCACCGCAGACGACCGAACCAATCTCGAAGAGAAGCACGCTGCATAGCAAGACGGATCTGATGGGATAGAATATGTAGACCTTCCCGACGAGCAACTGCAGCGCCACTGAAGTCAACGTGTACGCGCTGTTGTACCATCCGACGTCTGGTAATGAGTGGAATTCGTCTGTGATGGCGGGGGTGGCCTGTAGAAATGATCAGCCGTTGACTTCCACTCCGCGTTGCGAACTTAGAGGATAGAGCATAAGGATATACCGTGGATATGATTGTCCTATCCAGCGCGATGAGGAACACGCTCACAAAGACAGACGCGATGAGGAGGATCACCCTGGCCTTGGGTTGTAACGGGGCCGGTGCGGACGGGGTTTCCTGGGGTGCTGGTGCAGTTGATAGGGGGCTGGCGGTGTCACTTTGAACAAATGTTGGATTCGAGGCTGATGGTTCTGCACGACCAGCCGCAGTGTCGGTTTCGGTCTGCTGCTGGGTGCTCATCTCTGATGGCCGGTGGTGGCTTTTTGTCAAAGGATTCGTCTGTGCAGGTTTGGCACTGCCGCTCATGGTCGATCCAAGTTACAACACTGATATGTGAAGGATACTCGACAGAAGGTTTATGGTCCCTCTCGACTCTATGAATTATATACCTACATCGTTGAGATTGAGTATTGTAAGCCTCGTGCCGGGCCCGAGCAACGCACGATTTTCTGCCCGGTTCAAGCCGTCGTGAACTGGTGAATGCTATCACCAACATGCTCGTCGGCTTTTTCTAACAACCGGCAAGGGTGCGACGGACGCGCTGACGCCGCTGAGACACGGCCGGACTGATTGACGGACCGCCTGACGCTAGAGTCCCGGATAAGGCGGCATCTTGTTGGATTCCCATCCCAACTCACCAGTCGCGACAATTATTAGGCATTGCTTGACCAATAGTGCGCGCTGTGCGTGGTTTCGACGCGGCGAGGAGAGTGGAAACGGCCGAGTTGATGCTGAGAGGCAGAGAGCACTCGGGCCTTACTAATATCCGATGTGGCCCGTGTATGTAATATTCACCAAGCATGCGAGTCTGCGACAATCCATCTGTCCTTCACATTCATCGATTCTTTTCTCCGTCCAAACCCGATGTGCGCTGCTACGCATGCTATCACCGCCCGGAACAATTGATTCACTGCATGCTCACGACTAGACCGATCAATCGGGATCATGGACCTGGATTTGGATTCGGCGTCTCGACTACAGCCGCCCACGGCATCATCAGTCAAGGCAAACCAGCGAGTCCTCGCCTGTGTGTTGTGTCAGCAACGCAAAATCAAGTGTGATCGCAAGTTTCCCTGCTCGAACTGTAGCAAGAACCAAGCTCCTTGCGTCCCCGCGGCACAGAACCGTCGTCGGAAACGTCGCTTCCCAGAGCGTGAGCTGTTGGAGAGGCTGCGTAGCTATGAAGACCTTTTGCGCCAGAATAAGGTACAATTCAAACCATTGCACCGAGATCTAGGCTCAGCCAATGCCAAGGGCCAACCACATAGCAATGACGCCTCTGACGACGACCCAGCGGATACCAAGACTCCAGCTTCTCCTCAGACTACGACCAAGCCAGAGACAATGTATGAGGCAAGGTGAGTCGCCGTCTTTTAACCTCTAGGGTGAATTTGACGAGGTGGTAGGAGTATCTGGCAGGCTATGAGACACAGCGTACGATTGGCCCCTATTACCTCATGGCAACCGATACTAATTATGTCACAGAAGCAAAATGATGACGGATCTGAGACAGACGAAGTGACCGAGCACATGCACGACGATATCGTGCGAAAGACGTGGGACACTCTTGGGGACGAGCATATTTTGTTTGGGTCGCGCCGGGAGTCTGTTGACTTGTCCACTGTCCATCCCGAGCCAGCACATGTGTTCCGCCTCTGGCAAGTGTACCTCGACAACGTCGACCCCATGCTGAAAGTCACTCACACTCCAACGCTACAATCTCGAATCGTGGAAGCCATTGGTAATATATGTTGCATCGAGCCAACGCTAGAAGCCCTCATGTTTGGTGTTTACTGCATCGCACTCAACACTCTGTCCCCACACGATTGTGAGGCGATGTTCGGCATGTCCAAGGATACCCTTTTGACTCGCTTTCGCTTCGGATGTCAACAAGCCTTACTCAATTGCCGGTTCCTACGCTCTGCTGAGTTAGAGTGCCTCACGGCCTTTTACCTCTACCTGGTGAGTCGCGTTTGCTTGTGGCTCTTTCCCCGCGTTCGGCATGCTAAAGTTGTGAGGATAGCACTCTCTGGCCAAAATATGTGACCCACGTTCCCTCTCTTCCATGCTGGGAATAGCAACGCGCACGGCAATGCGCATAGGAATACACAGCGAGCTACACAACAGCAGATATCCTGTTCTTCACGCTGAGATGCGTCGACGCCTGTGGTATTCCCTCATCTTCTTCGACGCCCGGATCAGCGAGCTTGCCATGTACAAGAATACTTGCCTCACCCCGACCTGGGACTGCAAGGCACCACTCAACATCAATGACCATGATCTTCGCGCAGGTATGCGGGAGCCGCCGGTGGCGCAGTCAAAAACTAGCGAGGCTCTCTTCGTCGTGGTACGGAGCGAGATTGCCAACTTCGTGCGTCACGCGTCTTTCTATCTTGAATTCACAACTCCAGCCCTCAAGGCAGTGGCGCGGGAGGTGGCGGAGGAGAAGCAAGTTGCAGACTTTGCAAAGTCAATGGAGCGAGACTATTTTGATCATTGTGATCCTGGAAACCCACTTCACTATCTCTCCATCTGGAGCACGAGATCGTTCTTGTCCAGGTCGCTCCTTCAAGAGCACTACGCTGCGTGCTCGAGCGGCGCAAAGACCACATCTAAACAAGCAAACGACGCCCTTTCTCATGCAATACACATGATCGACTGTGATACGCAACTGCACAATACCGCCTTGGTCAAGGGATTTCGGTGGTTCTTCCGTTATCAGTTTCCAGCCATTGGCTACTTCCACATCATCGAAGTTCTGAAGAAGGATCCTACAGATTCTGTCGCTAAACGCGCGTGGGACGTAATGAGCGAGAACTACGAGGCACGTCATGCAGCGGGCGACCACACCGACTTGAACGGGCCCTTTGTGAGACATTTCACCAAACTTATACTCGAGTTGTGGGACTCGACGCAGGCCACAGCACAGGATGGAGGCAAGCACAACCCGGAGCCAAGGATTGTGGAGCTCATGTCCTCGAAAGCTGCGGGCCTAGGTCTACCAGGAGGTCCGGGAGGAGTAACAGGTGTCGGGGAAACCGAAGACACAATGAGCACGTACATGGACGAATTCATGTGGTCCATGTCAGCAGGGTATCCTCCACAGGACTGCACGTCTGGTCTCGGGCTACCGGGTTCAATAGGCGGTATGGTTTCCAGTCTACAAGAACAGGTGTCAAATCCCATTGGCGCTGATTTGCAAACGCCCGCATCAGCGCCGTGGATGGCTGGCGGATACTGGTAGGCACGAGCTATCACAATCGCCGTGGAAATATGGAGCGTGCAAGTGAATTAATCTCGTGCCAGTGTTCGCGAACACTGTCTGAGAATTTGTCATAGTATCTAAATTGTAATCCACCGCGCCATCCACGTGTCCACAACTTTCTTGACTTCATCTACCAGACCAAGCTCCAGGAGAAGCTGCGTGGTGCCGCGCACGGCAGACTCGAGGGCAAAGAAGATCCAAGCGTGCGTGATGCTGGTGTGATCGCCAATGAAAATCGTGTTCAGCTCACTCTTGTGATAAGCTGGGATGAACAGCTCCTGCTGGCCAACGGCAACAGAGGCCCATGCGCCAGCCTGGTGCTCATCAACCTCCCAGCATTGGCGATCATAGGCCCCGGCCCACTGTTCATTCGCAATCTCGCCATGCACCTCCACCATGGCTTCTTGAACCAGGGCGACGTGGTCCTCTTCACTCAGTGCGGCAACAGATCTTGCTTGCACAGCGCTGGCATAGGAGGCGAGAATGACACTAGGACCCGTCGAGTTGATTTTGTAGGCTGGATAGCAGACAGAGCCGATACCAGGGATGTCGACTGATCCGCAACCACCTATGATAGGGTTCTCCTGACTCTCCTAGAATCTTATTTCGTAGTGAAGCGCGACCTTGTAAGATTGAGCGTAGGTCAGGGTGGAAATCGCTCGCGACAGTAGGCTGGAGTAAGTGGGTGTCCTCCATAGCCTCACCTTAGAGAAAAGGACAGCCAGGACAGCATAGTCATATTCTTCAGACTAGACGGATTTGTCCAACGGATGATTCCTGCTAAGTGAGTGACACCTTTAACGTATCGTTGTTGTAGTCCAGCCCTGTGATCTTACGACCGTACGGGATCTTACCCTGAACGTGGGGAGCGAAGGCTCGCGGCAAAGAGTAGTCCCTTGTCAATCGTTTTCTAATTCGTCGCCGAGAAATAGACACTTTCGTACTATTCACCCCATATAGGCGAACTTCCAAAGCCGGATAGGAAATCCACCGTGTCCATGTCCAGTCCGACCTTGTATTTCAGATACGCTGCTTCGGACCAGTGGAACAAACCTCGGTTAATAGCCTCGCGATGAGCGCGGAAGATATTAGAGGAGATGTTGCGCATGCGCTCGGGAGTAAAATCTAGCAACTGATTCATAAATCCCTCTCCTAGTTCAGCACCGACGGGATTAGAAGCATTGGCTGCGGGGGGGGGGGGGGGGTAGCACGCTTGGATTAGCCGAGAGCTGAGCAGCGGTGGGAATGCGGCCGTTAGGTAACCGATAGCCCCGAGAATTTGCGGGTGCGTTGGGATTGCTTTGAATCCAGGGAATGAACTTGACGGCTGGCTCTATGTCGTTGCCGTTCATTCCGTTGAGTACGTCCGACAGTTGGAAGACCAGCTTGGGATCTTGGATGTCCAACGTCTCGTTGCTGTCTGTGTATTTGACGGCCACGGGAAACCGTATGGGTCTCATTTCTTGATACTGGTAATTGTCAGGCTTTGAATCATTGAGACATCTGGTGCGGACGCGGCCACCAATGCGTTCGGTGGACTCGGTTATGTGCCAGTTCGTCATGCCGACAGATGTTAGAAGCAAACTAGTCATCAGCACAGACATGCCACCGCCGACAATGGCAATCTTCTTGCTTTTCGCCTCCCCAACGGAGACGGAAGTCTGCTTAGTGGAGTTGAGATATTCCACGCCATTGAACCAGAGACCGTTGGAGTCGCCCATCTCATCCAAGGACTAGCGTTTGCGGAGTGACGAAGAAAGGTTGATAGGATCAGACCGACCGACGAGCGTGTTTTCGAAGTAGGCGTGTAGACAGCCATTGTCCATGATGTCCTGCGGCACTACTCACGCAACGCGATCAGGAGTGAGCCCAGACTTGGCGGAGAACGAGGCTACCTCGTGATGGAAATCATGAGGGCTCATCGAGGTGCAGTCGCCGTAGACAACACGAACGCCTTCAAGAGTAACTCTGTCACTGTATTTGAGGTGGACATTGTGAACAGACTCTGAGGCAATGTCGAAAAGGTCATGGAAGGAGATGATGTCTTGAGGCGTAGTAGTGGCCAAAATACCATAGCCCAAGGCGAAGAAGGGCAGCCAGGTGTCCTTGGAAGCGAACGTTTCTGATACCTGTTTGATACAGAGCTCTTCAACCCATCGTGTCCGTGTCCAACTGAACCTTTATATCGTGAATTCGCGATCCTGGCCCAGTGACGGAGTTGAGTTCGTATCAATATTCAGCCCCCAGAGTCCAGAGTCCAGACGCCATGAGCGCCGGAGCTTTGACAGCCGGGACACAAAATTTCTTTGACATCCCGTCGTGACGATAAGGACAATAGCGGCGCAAAGAAGACGGTAGGAAATCGATTCTGCGCCCTATGAGGGACATGCAGGCCTTTGTCTTCGACCTCCAACCAGATGGCATCCGCTGCATCTGCAAACCTCCCAGCCCTGTGAAGGGACATGGGGATCCGCGATTCCACGCCGCCCCCCATGCAAGCATGCCTTCGTGATTGGATTTGTTGAGTTTCATCCCTGCACATTGCGGGGCTCGGTGGATGATAAGAAACAGCCGGGTGATATAGAAAGTCAAGATAGGCGTGACAAACGTGCGAGGAAATGTTGGTCCTGTTTCCTGTACGCTGTAACTTCCGGAATCCGCCACCTGTGTGTCTTGGCACGCAGGATATCCATCGGCATTTGGCAGGCGAGGATGGCGCGGTTCAGACTCCACGTCCCTAAGTTGACTGTTCCCACTTGACATGAACACAGCACGTCCGTGAGTGAGGAAGTCTACCACTGAATGTATTGGCCAAAGAGATGGAAGGCTGTTACAATTCTAGACAAAGCAGATGCAGAAGGAAACTTGAACATAGCATGATCGTTTGGAAACTCTGGAGTCTGGATGAGGTCGGGGACTTCAAGTCCTACCGGCAGCCCCGCATTAGAAATTAGCTTGCCAAATAAAGGTCGTTGCCGGAATAGACGGCGGTTAACGGCTGTTGGAGTTCTGCCGCTCCAGAGCGATACCATCAATATCATCATGATAAACTCCGACCCCGCACTTGAACAAGGGTCGTCTTCGGTTGATGGGGTGCTTTCAAGCAAGACGCCATTGACACAAAAGATAAGATCGGAACACTAGAGCCGACACCGGACTAGATGCTCACCGACGGATTCAATGTGCAAATTCCGATGATCTGCGCGGGCTCAACAAGTGGCAAGTCACAGGTACTCCGATCACCAGGAGACCCCGTCGCCGGCACTGTCGATTTATCAGCACCGATGGCCGCCACGAGATAACAACAGGGCGCCGATGACAAGGCCAGGGAACAAGGATTTCTGAGACGGTGGATGTCAACCTTACATAGTTGGAAGATAAGCGTTTTGAGCGTGTAACAGTTTGCAAACTTACATAGTATTCGATGGCTCCAAGTACGTGGAGACGTGGAGATATATGAGGTGGTAGAAACCCTGCTCACTGCTTGAGTCACTTGTCACTGAATGACGGTTTGACGATATAAGCCACAAGTCGACCTTACTTTCAAGGTAAAGATGATTTTCGTTTCCAGCTTCCATCGCTCTTGTTTGCCACGGCGGGTGCCATCCTTGGTGCCCCCGTCCTTGAAGCACGAGTCAAATCACCTATTAATTACCTAGGTAATCAGGTTGCAATCTTGTGTGAGTCCCGACGCGAGGCATTGCGAGCTCAAGAGAAAAGAATGTGAATAATCATGCACAGTTGGAGGTGTTGCGACAAAGGACCTCGTTTATACTAGTGGCACTGTTCCCTCTATCAATGGAATAATCCCCGAGGGAATCGAGGCTCAGACGGTCATTCCACTCACTGTGTCTCGCATGTCCCTTTCCTGCTGACATGAGCGACTATGCAGCGACGAAAGAAGCATACCGTAGCTTGCTGCCAAATCCAAAGCCCGCAAAGAACACGATCCAGGCTGGTAGACTACTAGTGTAATTTTTTGTCAAGATAGAAGCACTGGTAACAATGCCACTCCAACTTCGGGAAGGAATCGGTCGGTAATGTGCCCCGGAAGTAGCATCCAGAACAGCGAGGGACGACAGGAACGACGTGGCGCACTGAAGATAATTTGCATTGTCAAGGTGTGAACCAAGCTGAGCTGTTAACACGCCGATGACCTCTCACCTAAAACATCATCTGTCTTATTTCTGTGTCTCCTCGATGCCTTCAACGACCACGACCTTCATCCCGGTTCGGTCCCAGAATCCTGCCTCGTCTGCATCAATCCTCGCTCTAGCGTCCTCTGTCGACAAAGCGCCAATGAATCGCTGGAATGCGGCCTCGTCTTCAAAGTCAATATTCACGACTGCGTCGCATCGCACGTCCTCAGCTCTGCCAGCAAGTAGGACAGGCTTATCGCCCGGTACGTCATGACGTATGTACGACCTCGTGTGGCGGAGAGGCATCAAGTCACGGCCACAAATGTCCTCCACTAGGTGCATGTGCTGCTCGTATCGGGCCTTGAAGTCCTCGTGGGTGACACCGGCCTTCCGTGGCGCTAGCACTATGATGCGGTAAACCATTCTGCGAGAAAAGGAGACCGAGCTGTGTTTTTCAGTGGTATGGATCGGATCGAGTTGCCCAAGATAAGTGTCTGGTCGCTAAGGCAGAGGAAACGAAAGGTGTCGCCTATTGGTGTCTGACTTTGGGTGTATATTTATCTCACTTTCATCGAGTATGTGGACACGGCATGCGAGGGTACTTATTGTAATGTCCCGGTCGCGTGCAAGCTTCTACTTGGTACTAATGCGACCGTTTGATTCTGTTTCATTCCGGAAGGTTCTGGTATTTCTAGGATGTCTGCCCATGCACCCACCGGGGTAAGACGGCCTTTTATCTCCGATGTGTAGTCGTCATTGCGCATTGGGGGGGGGGGGGGCAGTATCCGTATACATGTAGAATCGAAATCATAAATTCGCATCTTTTCGTTGTGTAGACCACCGACCCCGTTGTCCTCCAAGGAACATGCTAGTCACCAACACGATATTCCAGGCATGCCCGAGCGACGGATCCACCGGCTCTCTTAGGTTGCATGGGTCCCTTTCTGGCGATCCGGCCGTCTCTGCCTAGTGCCCGCTGGAAGAAGGCTGCTCAGACTCGTTGGCGTCTTCGCTGGGTCTCTTCGGCAAGGGCCACCATGGAGCGTTATCGGTCCACATGACAGACATGCAGCAAGTGAATGGCAAGGCTAGGTAGATTAAAGTCCAGAGGCAACCTCTCTTCACTTTAACATGCGCTTCATGAGGGTGTTAGCAGTCACTCGGTGGCACGGGCACACTAAGAACGAACTGTATTTTATGTAGTACTTAATCCAATCGGAAGTTTTTAGCCTGGCCATTGAATAGCGTAGGTGTGGTCGAAAGACAGATAGATTGAACCAGAGTAAACGCTGATAAAAGTGGAATACAGCCAGTTGTTGAACGCAAGAACTGCACAAATATAGTGTGCTACGTACATAAGTGAAGATGAAGGAGAAAGAATGAGGATTAATGGGTCCATTAGGCGTAGGGGCATATCGTAAGCGCTAGCGTACCGTATGCGATACGGAACTGAATGGTAAGAATCAATGTTAATCCGTGGGTCATGTGTTTCCCCGCATTCCGACCACTAGACACGTAAAGTTTGATTGGTAAGGGCTAATGTTAATCCGTGGGTCACGTCCTTCCCCGCATTCCGACTATTAGACATATAAAGTTAGAACTCAACAAAAGGAAGAGAAAGGTTCATTCCATACATGCAGTAATTTGTCTCAGACTTCCGAGCAAAGGCCCCTACAGCATCATAAAACTCTATAGCATAATTCACTCGCTGCTGCCCTTTGTGTTCTCTACTTTAGCTTTCGGCAGTAAGTGATTGATCGACGGGGGTTCACAGTCACACTAATCGTTATCAAAGAGCCGAACTATGATACAAGCGGAAACCTCGACCTTAGCTCCGACAAGAGTGAAATACCCACGGTCCAAAAGGATCACGGAGGCTGGGTCAACCCTGAGGATCTAATGCCCATGCCGCAGTGTATCGCCCAGCAAGATCAATCGTCGTGACTGGATACTATGACTAAATACACTCACCACCGATGCACTTCATACTTTAGACTGATCTACACGCGCCACCAGTGGCTGACAAAAATCAGTTACCTTAGTATTGAGTTCTCACCAAGGGCCATCGAAAGCTATATAGCGTACTACAGTAGATCTATACTCGCTAAAGCATAACTCCATTCCTGGATACAGCATGTGACTGGCCGGACGTGGCTTATTTATATTAGTGATACCAACGGGCTACAGAGTCTCTCACCAGAAAGCCTAAGAGAAGGATACGGAACTATTGTTGATGTTGTTAGTAAGGCGCCAGCATGTCTGCAGAATTTAGTTTCGTCCTTATCGAAAGATTCGTTTTAACACGTTATTGTATCCTATAGCTTTACGAGTAACACGCTCTTTACTAGAAACGCCGGTCGTCCTTGGGAGTATAGCACGTCACGAAAGTCTATGACCGCACTAGGCTTTAACACCGTCGGATATGACGTTACCAAAAGACAAATACCCTCCGGCCAGTACTTTGATAAGGAGTGTTTTTGTAGTATATTCGCCTTTGAATATCAAGATAAGCCTTGTTCGACATTAAGCTAGTTGGCCTTGACAGAAGAGCGGCTGTGGCTAAACGCCACTTGCGGACCAGCATCCCTGCCTATTAATTAGACTTCGTCGCTTAAAATCCTAGGGCTCATATATATCCCACGCGGAGACTGGCATCTGCCGGGGCCTGTTCGAGATATCCCCCAGGAGGTCACGGAATTCAGTCAGAAATACGCGACCGATGCTTGTCAGCTTGATTCAGATGGCTATTGCAAAGTTAAAAGCGTAATAGATAGAACTTGCTTCTGTAGGAATATTAACTACGATCTTTGCCAAGGCTCCTGCTAGACCTTGAAGGCCCGCAGATAATACGTAGTTTGGATTCACGGCCTATGTGGTAATGTGGAAGGTTGGTATGGTCTCCCTAAAGAATGGCGTGAGATGATCGCCCCTCAGCGCCGCGATATGATCCCATGGCAATAGACTCTCAGACTTGGGAATATAGAAAAAGAGGGAGAATGCCCTTCTAATAGGTGGAAATTAGGGAGTATTGCTCTTACTAATCTAGCTCCCGCGCTTGCTATGTTCTTTGCTAATCGAGGAAAATATGTCGATACCACTATCAGCATCTCACTGTAGTCATGTTTGCCGCAATGGGTCTTCTGAGGACTCCTACTTGCCGGTCTTTATGTATCTACGATCTAGGCTAACGTATATATCACTTAAAGTATACCTGGCTATATGGATGTTCTAATTTTTGAATTGGCGCTTCTTTGGTGCTCGCTTCCTCGACTCGGCTGGCTCGCATTACACGGAGGTCGCCACCTAAGTATAAAGAACTTCGTTTCGGCAACATCTGCGTTACTCTTAGAGTCAATTCTCCAGGGGCTTTCATACTACCCCATGACCCTGACTGTGATATACGGTCTCCAGAATAACTTCTACTTCGGCGGCCTCGTAAGCGCAAAAGAGAAAGACCTTACCTGGCTTATTTATGCTAGAGCACTTATATGGCTATCTATAGTAGCCATAATGGCCGTTCCATTCACTCGGGCTATACACGCTGTTCTCAGACTCAACACCCAACCACCAACCCCGATCAAGGGAAGTTTATTAAATCCCGATAGGAGCAAGTACTCAAAACCGGAAGATAAGGAGGCAAGTATCTACGACACCCTGCTATCCATGCCTCGTGGGAGCGACCCACTGTGTGGCGAAGGTCGCAGTTATGGCACTTTACTAGTGAAGTCTCTATCTCATGAGGTACTCGAGGCACCACTTTAGACACTATATACAATTATGGCCATAGCGTTAACTTTAATGTGGTTTGCGCAATAGCTCTCCTGGGTCGGCTTTATTCTTCTGAGTTCCGAAAGGTATATACTTGCTCAGAAACGGACTAGAGTTTATTGCTAATGTCGCAGTTTCTGCCCCCCTTCACTCGACGTTCAAACGGCTATTTGGGTAGCTACCTCTTTAGGGATATTTGTTATCTAGTCCTATATCTAGACGAGGCCATGTAATATATACATGTGGGCTCTGCACCGCACGGCGACCTTGTCCCGGCCTCTGTGAAATGGGCCCCTATTCCGGGCCACCCTCCATCCACGCCAGCTGGCTTGCGCTTCTGGCCTTCTTTCTGCTACTTGTTTCAATCCAATAAGATGAATAGGTCGCTGCACGCCGTTGGGTGCCCAAGCGCGGTGGCCTCTTGCGACCATCAGATAGATACCGAAGCAGCGCTCTTTGAGTCACTTGCGGCCCTGCGCCCTGGATCATCTGCGCATTCATTTCAGTGGGCCTCAGGACTATGCTCGCGTGCTTTGCTCATCCCTTCAAACCCAAGCTAATGACCATCAACTTGATTAATAACACCATTATGGCTGCTGCCAAAGGTGGTCTCCATGAGAACCACCCAGACTTCGTCGATCCCTTCAAGTCCGGTAAGCACAAAATCGAGCCTTAAAGCAAACCCTAACGCTATCGAGCGTAGCTAGGCAACGTCCACTTTATCAACCCTATGTAATCTGATTAAACGGAGATCTATAGAAGCCTTACCCTACCGTAAGTCCTCTGTCCAACGTTCGACTAGTACGGCTTAAACGGCCGTGATCGGCATTTGCGTTATTGCCGCGACTAGCAAAGCGGTCATAATATATAGAAGATATATATGTATATTTAGATAGGACGCGCCCACGGCCTCGAGGAGGGTCGGAGGCCTCCTAGGGCAGATCGTACTCTTGACGGCAGGGTATATGATACACTTTGGAGGTTTTGGCCGTTCAACCAAGATACATCCGTGCTGTGTGTGGGTGTCACGTGCTAGTCACGTACACGCACAGGTACGATAGCTGTTACGGTTCTACCAGCTGCTGGCGGCTAGGTACAAGACCCAGCCCGGTTCACCTAGGCAAAGGACGCGTGCCCGCGAGGACGCACAGACCTCGTAGAGTTTTATAAGAAAAGGGGACTATAAGCTCCCTCTTCTTTTTCTTTTCTTACATTATCGTTAGATAGACTTAATCTAAGTTACTAAGTTATTCTAATAAGGACTAGCCTTTAATATATCTAACGATCTATCTAACGATATAACGTATTTATATAGCACGAGCTACGATATCTAACGAATAAGTATTTAAGGTACCTCCCTAAGTAACCGTATAAGTTATTAAATAAATGAATACCTTACTCTAGCCGATATAAGAGTAGATCGTAGAGCTCTCGGAGCTTATCTATAATACAAATAGAATACTTATTCTTTCGTAAGCCCCCGAATATATTATATACGCCCCTCTTATTACTAATAATATAGCGCTTACTAAGGCTACGTAGGCCGACTTATCGACTGAAGACCCTTAAGGACGAAGACCCAGCGGCCACCTCGCGAGGAAGTTATTAGCGAACTTACTAAGGTTCTTAGGTAATAATAAAGATTATAGCCTCTA